GATGACGTGGGGACTGGTCTCGAAGATGTTGGGGAAGGTCAGGTTGAGCAGATGGAGCATGGCGTCTTCACAACCGAGACCGACAACGCCGAGGGCGACGTGCTTGACCACGGCGGCGGCGGTCTGTCGGTGGACTTGGTCGCGATCGACAAGGGCATCCTCCAGCAGTGGGGTGACGGCGTAGACATAGTCCTTGGCCATCTCGCCGATGTACTCAAACAAGAAGGACAGGGCCTTGAGAACACCATTTTGCACGTTAAGTTCTGGTACGCGGTACTCGTTCATCAGAGCTGGAAGCACCGTGAACGGAGCACAGGTTTCGGCGACGATACCAATAGCGACGGCTGTACAGACACGGGACTGACGCTCCTGAACTCGCAAGTTGTTCAAAAGAGTGGCCAAAACGTCCTGGGGTCCGATGGCTTTGGCGATGAAACCGAATGTGTTGTTGGCTGCTCGGCGAATGCCCTTCTTGTGGGCCTTGAGCATATCCAGCAGCTCGAAACAGATACGCATCCATTCACGGGCGTTGACTGATTCGGGTCCACGGTCGGCGATACGACCGACTAGGTCGATGGTGTTCTCCTGTACCTTTTCGTGACGGTTGCGAAGAATGGGCGTGAGACGTGGAAGGAGGTCGCGAATAGGTGGCTGCATCTGGTTGATACCCACCACGGTGACGATGGAACGCAAGGCACCCAGGATGGATCCCAGAACCTCTGGGTACTCTTCACCCAGATATTCGTAAAGAACAATACCAAGCTTACCCATGAGGGCGTCCTCACCACACTGTTTCATGACCATCGCAACGCGGGAGATGAGATCGGCTGCTTGCTGCCGAACGGTGGCGGACTTGTTGTTGAGACGCCAAAGAATAGTACTGACAATCTGAGGGAGGTACGGCTTGCATCGTGTACCAAGTGCATTCACCACGGTACCGAAGCCATTAAGAATGACAATGTCTTCGATACTTTGCTCCTGGAATGCAAAGAGAACACCGTCGATGAGGCGTTCTTCCAGTCTCTCGGAAATGTCTGCAGCTCCGAGGGATGCAATAAGCTTTTCCACGGTTTCCACAGTCATCTTACGATATGGCTCGCTTTCGTCTTTCAGGTTGTTGACGACGCGCTCAAGGATTTCGCCAACACCCACCTTCTGACCAAGATCTACAGTGGTATCGACCACTTGGCGGTAGTTCCTGCGATCAAGTGCCATGCGGCGGACCCAGAAGCTCTTGAAAAAGTCTGTCAAGACATGCTCCTTCAGGTAACTAGCAGTCACACCATCAGTGCTGGCGCATTGAGAGACCACTTTCAAGACCACCTTCTTCATTTCTTCGTCTGGCGAAGAGAACTCCCGAAGAAGGATTTCCATGATTTGGGTGGTGTAGTAGTTGGCATACTCCTCGTCCATCAGAGGGATGATATAGCCAACAGCCTTGAGGAAGGCAGCGAGACCCTTGCCACGCTGCTTGCGGGCACCGGTCCACAGAGGGTTCAGAATTTCATCGAAGCTTTCAATACCATAGGGGTTGGCCGCCTCGGCCAAAGCAGCCACAGACAAAGCGGTGACAGTTCGGACCTTTGCTTGTTCGTCGCTAAGGTTATCCGAAATGCAGTCAACCAGGCCCTTGAGATGGGGCAGAATAGCGCATCCCATGAGAATAGGAATTTGCTGGATAATCTTGACACCAGTGTGTCGGGCTTGCCAAGATTTTTTGCTGCGACAAACAGCACGGAGGAAAGGAAGGAGGGCGGGAATTCCGAGGGCAGAGGCCACAACGGCGAAAGCTCGTGCTGTGGTGTTTCGCACGTACTCGTCAACATGGTCGATATCAGGACGCATAGTACTAATCATAGTAGCAAGACCAGCGGCTTTGGCAAGATTGGAAATGATTTCTCGTCCTTCAACACGCGCGTAGTAGTCTTGGTCAATGAGTAAGGGCTCAATGACGACCAAGATCTTGTGAACATAGGGACGAACCAGATCATCCAACTTGTAGAGGACACGATCAATGACCTTGACTAGGAGATGGCGTTCCTGATCCTCAAGTGATTTTTCCATGAGCAAAGGCAGAATCTGATTGAAAAGAGCTCCGGCACCAAAGTTGCGCGCATTGTCTGTGAGCTGTCGCAGAGCAGTCTTTCGCATGGGGGGAGTACCGTTCTTGACCTTGAGCAGCAACCGCATGATCTTTCTCTCCTTCATTTCTTCGACGGTCATGCTGGTTTCGTCGTTACCTTCCATCAGCTTACCAAAGTAGGCCATATCCTCCGGCTTGAAGAATTGAAGGTCACCAACGCCGGGAATATCAGTAGGAAGTTCTTTGCCCATAGATCGAACGCTTTCTGGCTCTTGCATCATGAAACCTCCGACACCGCCAGCGGCCATGGGTGCTGGCGTGGCTGTAAGCTTGCGAGCCTGGGTTCTGATGGGTTCGTATCCTGGAGGAGGGTCAAGGACTTTGTAGCCGTCGGCCTCACCAGGAAGCATGATATCAAGCTCTTCGTCGGACCACCCAATAACCTGACCGGCCCCGGCAGAAGCCACAGGGGCAGCCTGTGACGGGTGCATAGGGGTGGCGAGTCCTTGGGTACCGACGGGCGTGGCAGCAGTGAGAGATGGCGCCAGATCCCATCGCGAGCGGGCTTTGGGAGCTTCATCGGGTGCGCCAGGAGCGGGTGTTTGATCCCAACGTGACCGCTTGCTTTTAGCTTCGGATTGATCACCCTGATTCTCTCCCTCGGGAGCAGGCTCTGCAGTCGCATCATCCCATCTCTTCTTTCGCTTCTTGCTGGGGGCCGCTAGGTCCATCGAGCCTGAATCGGCAGTTTCTTTGTCGTGCTCCACTCGTTTCAGTGTGGCCTCGTGCTCAGTCACATCCTCACCTCGCTCTCGCTTCTCCGCAATCAGCTTTTGCACGCGCTCTTCCTCCTTCTCAATCTCACGCAGGGCCATGACCTCACGATAAGTCTGGCCTTCTCCCTCACCGTTACCGTTAGAGTTGGCGGCGAAGGGGTCGGCGCGTGTCGGAGTCAGGGGTCCGCGGTTGAATCTGCGCTTTTGATAGTCCGTCTCGCGATCTGCAATGCGAGCTGCCTTCTCACGAGAGAGTAGGATGTCCTCCTCCTCCACACCGTTTCCTTGGGCCATCTCGTCGATCTGGCTCCTGGTGGCAGTGTACTGACCAACCAAACTATGTCCTCCATTCGCATCCTCCATTTCCTCGTCGTCATTAACGGCGATGGACGTGTCGTAGCCTGAAAATTTGTCCGCTCCATCCCGCTCGTACAAAGTGGTATCGAAGGAGTCCGTCAGGGAGGCCTTGGTCGAGTTATCAGTACGTTGACCAGATGGGTCAAAAGTCCTAGAACCTTTTTGACGGGAAGCAGCGGCATTGCGCTCAGCTTGAAGCCGGCGGACAGCCTCGAGATCGGCTGTTGTGGTGATAAGCATGTGGTCAGGCGGGTGAGCTTGCGAAAACTTACCGTCAGACATTGTGATAATAATCGAAAGTCGCGGGGATATGAGAGAGCCTATGATACCGCAAAAAGGGTCAAAGTCACTACATCCGGATTGGTAACCGCTGAAACGGCCACAAGTTTATCTTTGCGGATGCAATGTTGCTAGGGACTCGCGATGAGAGATTGAAAAGGCCGTCGGCGAAGTCGCGCTAATGGGTGACTAATGCCCAACGCCCCACGTGATGCGATAGCTATCAATATTGGCACGTGACAGGACATCTGAACGGGTGAGTCAGCAAACTGAGCTCATTCGACCTCTAGGAGCTGGGGAATTCTTTCATTCTCACAACAGGCAATTTATGGACAATATCTCAATTGTAAATTGAGATGAATTTTCTTGGAATGACTTCATCTGCTTTGGAGAGCTTATCCATTCTCCTGAGGAAATCACAGCCCGGGAGGACTACCGTCGCAATTCACACTTCCCACGTCAATGAAAACTATTGATATTCCTCACATTCATAGATATAAACCTCTTACTGCATAAGAAGATAGGAACAACCACTTCGTTCTTTCCATTTCCTCGAGGGCTACCCTCATATCCCATGAAATCCTCCATGCATTAGTGGCGCAGACAGGGCGCTTATAGTTCTATTTATGTCCCGCAGCCGGCGTGTCAGGAAACATTAGACTTTCTGTGCACAGCAGACGGTGAGTTCTCTCACATTTGATACTTGTTTTCGAAGTTGGGAAATTAATGCCAATGCAACCAGGATGAGGAATTCTCCGAAACAGAGCCAATAGCAGATCTCCTTACCCTGGGCGCTTAGCTGAAGCGCTATACCAGGGGCTGCAAACATGTTAGAATAAAATTGCAGAAGAATTTGGATATCTCAAAATTGCTAATACTTCCGGGGAAACAAGAGACCAAAACACTCCTACCCTTATCCTAATACCCTTGTCCAACCTTCAAAGCGGCAACTTGCCGAATGACCAGTAATGACCGAGCCAGTGTAACAAATAGAGCATGTTCGTGTGGTTGCATTTATTTAGATTATACACTTCCCAACTGTGAGTCCAGGGAAATTAAAACAGCCCTGCCTCTCGGTCCAATATGTGGAGTTTGACAACAAATACGCCAATTTTAGCTCTCTGTTAGCCCCGACGTCCCCCGGTCAGCAGACGGGACTACCTTTAACAAGGGACCACCGACTAGATTGGAGAAATATTTGATCTAATAATAATTTTTTGATTGGTACACCCATAGGCTCTTTAAATCGGGAACTATCGAGCTTGGTTCGATCCGGTATAAACGGTGAGCCTGACTATCTGGAGGAAGTGTGCCAAATTCGGAGCATTTACTCTTTGTTACATATCAGAGCAGCATTGCTATTTAATGTTATACCTCCCTTTACCTTATATTTGGTGTCTTAATCATCCTCTTCTATCCCGGTTCTTTTCCCCAGACCTTCAACCTTTTAACGTGATTTGTTTGAAAAGTCAAGACCATACTCCTTCCAAACTGCCAACATCACAATGAGATGCTTTCTAGCGCTTGTTTTGCTTCTTGTAGCAGCAACCGTTAAAGCATACTCCGCAATTCCTCATCCTCTAGCTTATGCCGCTTCATTCTCCCTTATCTCTCGCGAGCTGGACCTGATCAACCTCGGAAACTGCTCTATTGCCAATGCATATCTCCCGTTAGCAGACACAAAGACCAAGCTACCAGATCCCTCTAAGAATCTCACTCTCAAATATGTTGCGTTGGGCCGTGGAACTCAGAACTACTCATGCCCGACTTCGAATGCTTCATCAAACCTCAAAGCCACCGCAAAGCCTTTTGCTACCGGGGCTGCGGCCACTCTTTTCGATGCCTCCTGTCTTGCCTCCAGCTCGGGCGCCATCCTCCATCAGCTGCCTGCAATGATGAGCAATGTACCCCTTGGTAGCATCGCTTTTATGGCGGCTCTCCTAGGCCAGGGCACAAAAAGTACCGATCTTATCATCGGCGAGCATTATTTCAACGCTGGCGGGGACCCAGTCTTTGATTTAAGCTTGAGTGGCTCTCCATCATGGATTGTTGCCAAAAAGGACGCAGCGGTCTCAGCTCCTGCGAGTGAACCATCTGCTAACCAGACTGGCAATGTTCCATGGCTAAAACTTGGACACAAAGATGGATGTAATATTAAGGTGAGTCAAAAATTCAACCACCTAATCTTTGAGTCCTTCTAATCTCTTCTTTGTAGGAAGTTTATCGTGTTGTAACATCTCAAGGAGACCCGCCGTCGACGTGCATCGGTCAAGCTGCAACTATTCAAGTTGCGTACGCCGCAGAATATTGGTTCTACGGATGACTCGAACTTATTGTCTTATTAGCAAAATCTAAATGTTTAATCATTGAAACCCCAAAGATCACATCTCCAGATGTTCAGTTCTTATGCCAGTAGAACCAATCAACCATGTAGTATTATTATGTCGTATCTGATATCCTACGTATTTCCTACCAATCGCTTAACCATGTAGCCCTTGAATTTGTCTATTTGAGTTTTGAAAACCCTCTGTAGTTTGTGAAATTTATGTCCACGCTGCCCAAGAGAAAGCAAAACACACAAAACTATAGATATCCTATCTTATTCTTCCAGTCCTTTGAAGTTGCCTGATCATGTCTCTTATCAGAGATATCTATTGCAACCTTTTTATCCATGGATGGCAACGATGTGCTGGAGAATTCTGGCGAAGACACTATATTACTACTTACAACACAGAGATCTTCCAAGATTGGTATATAAGAAGGATCACAAATTTGTATACAGCACCGCTCATTTAGTAGTGCACTAATGCTATCTCTCGCTTCTTATTTGCTGTTGATCATGAATTAAGCTTTCAATGACGGCCTCAAGCCTCTCAACACCCTCAACCAAGCGCTCTTCATCCTCCCACATGAGACAAAGTCTCAATCTGCGATGCAAATCCCTTTCCACAGAAGCTCTTCCCGGCACAGCGAAGAATTCACCAGTACCTAGCACCAAGTTCTGCTCCTCAAGAGCTGACCGACACACTTGAGTAGCATTCAAAGCAACAGGAAGTTGGATCCAGATGAAGTATCCACCCACCACCGAGGTAGTCTCAGGATCAGGAGTGAACGACACACCCAGATGACCAAGATGTTTCTTAATAGCTGATGCCAGTACATCATAACGCCTTCGACCCTGCGGAATGAGAACGTTCGTGATATACTCCGGTAAAAAGTGATCTTCCAGTAACTCGTTTATAAAAGTCGACATAAGCTGTGAAGGAGCACCGCCCGAACGTGTAGAACCTCTTAAGTAGTTAAGTTTGTGTCAATAAATAATTATCGCTTAGATGAGAGGTGGTAGAGAAACTTACGCCTGAGAAAGACCATAGATAAAGCTCTCCGTTCCTTCAGCCCATCCAACCCGACACCCAGGTCCGATGAGTTTGCTGAAAGAACCATTGCTCACAGTATTACCATATTGATCTTGAGGGCCTCCATCAAGTTCTCGGTCAACATCGACAATGCGTGCCGGCGTCTTAGCCACAGCCTCGGAGGTAGAGGAATCCCTCCAAGTAAGAAAATCATACACATCATCACATACGATGAGAGCGTCATACCTCCGAGCAACCCTGACAAGCGCTTCACGCCGCATGCGCGACATTGTCGTGCCAGATGGGTTGGAGAAACTCGGGATACAGTATACAACGTGCTTGTATATCTTCCGATATGGGGTTTGAGGCTTGGAACCCTGTTCCAGGGAGTTAGTCTCATATTCCAACCCCCAGCCGCGAGAGTCACAAGTATACATACCTTATGATGTTGATCGGTATTCTCCCTATTTTCAAACTCACTCAAAGCAAGCTCAAGAGCAGTAACATCCATGCCATCCTGATCCTCCGAAACCCCAACCATGCGCCCCGCAAATCCGGCATCCTCAAAAACCCGAAAGACAAGATGATAGCACGGATCAATGATCCAGATCCTCTGTGTTTGGACCGGGTCTGTGAATACCTGCAGTATGCATGCTAGGTTCTGACTTGCGCCGCCGGTTATGCAAATGCGCTCTGCATTTATAGTATGCAGGGGAACATAAGAATCGGTCAACCACTTGGCTATGTTCTTTCTGAGAGGGAAGTAGCCTTCATCAGGACCGTATGCTAGTCCATCACTGGCGATGATCTTGTTAGAAAGGACGTCGTTAGCTGCTTGTTTTAGGCGCTGGGTTGGCAGCATGGCTGTGGCGGGCCAGCCCTGGAATAGGTCAATTTGGCTCTTGGGTTGCATTTTCCTTTTTCTAACGGGACGGGATGGTGTTTTGGGGTTGTACTATGAGAATATCTGTTGTCTTTATACCCAAGACTAGGGCTAATCTTGATTTGGGGGTATAACCGATCTGGCCAATCATGAGGCGGGACATGGTTAATTTCCGTTGTGGATTGAAGATAGACTTTTAGTGGTGTTTACTTGCTGTATTATCATTGTCCGAAGCCCGAGAAGTCAAGGAGGAGAGGTGAATCCAACCTGTGTTCTGTTTTGCAGGATAGTTGGTCGGTTGATGGGAGAGTCAATACATAATTTGACAGAGCACTTGAACTCTACCAGGGCTGTAGAACTGGAAAAATTACTCCAGGTCTAAGTTTACTCTCCAGGGGTTAAAACTTTGATATCCGGCCAGAAAACATGTCAAAAAGTAGAGGGCTCTCGCATTGATCACCACTGAAACCAACCCATGAACTCCCGCAAAAAGTCAACTACTTCGTGTTTGGAAGTCAAATAGATAACCGACCTGCGCCAGCATGAATGCAAACGCACAACAAAAAAAGAGAAAAAGAAATCACTGGAAAGAAAACGAAAAAGATGGACCCCATGATGCTTCTCCGGTTTAGTTCCGGGGTGACACTCACAAAGAAACGCTGATATATGTGCCGCCCCACCACAAAATAAGAATGTTTCTAATGGTTCAATGATCTTCTTGTTCGTCACAGCCAAGTGTGGAATATGACATGAGTCGAATTCATACGTTGTCATCCTCATAGACAAAGTTGATATCGCGGATACGGCGACGATTGTGAGTGATGAATTCTTGATCGCCAGGCGGTCGTTCATCACGATTGTTTGCAGTCAGCATGCTCTGAAGGCTCATACAGACACTTTCGACAGTCTGAACTGGGGACCAGCCGGCTGATCCGAGGAGGTCGAGGCAAATGATGCCGTTGCTGTAGATATGGGGATGCATAGGGATCGTGCGGGGATGGCCGGTAGAAGCGTCACATGTAATGAATTGGACCTCTGGAGGCTCTAGTAGGATAAGATATGTCAGATACGGCGTCCTTTGTCTTGAATTAGAGCGTGGAATGCGCCCCGAGAGGAAGAATGACTATGTTTGATAGGCAAGCTGAACTTACCTATGGGGTATTTGTTGCTGAAGCTAAACTTCAGACGATATGTTTGATTCAAGTAGAGTGGATTTTCATCCAGGACCTTGATATCCATCTGCCATTCTTCAAGACTGTCGCTTTTGACAATGTCGATCCCAGGCGGAACATGGTCCTTCATCTAAAGGTTTGATAATGTCAGAGAACTGAAAAAAGGCGACCGAGAGACGCATGGCGATATGAGATAGACAGAAAGTGAAATGCGACAGCTGGAAAAAAGGCGGGGAGGCGTTCGTACCTTCAAGAGCTCCTGTAGTCCAAACCCTTGGTCAATTTCGGTTTGTCGCTAAATGGAACCCCCCAGAGAATACTTACCTTGCTCAGACGCTTGGTTGCGAACATGACGGTGGACTTGGCAGGTGAGAGTGAATGCAGAACTTGACGATCAAAAAGCTCAGGTGGAGAAGGAGGGGCGGTGTGGGGTAGCAGATGTATGACGTGGGGGGATGGACGTGAAGTAGACGGAGGACCTCGCAGATGTCAGAAAGAATAGACAAAACGAAGCAATCAGTCCGAGGAGAAGTTTGAGAGAGATGCGAAGTCCAAATGGAAGAAAAAGATGCAAAGGTGGGGAGATAGTAGCAGCACGTGATATCAACGCCTGACTCTATACTTGCCCAGCAGCTCAGGTCATGCCACGAAGATGACTCCTTTGTTTCACTGCTGACTTTATCTGAGGGAAAGAGATCAGACAGAACAGTCCTAAACTTAGGTTTCAGGTCAGATTTCAGCCTCTCAAGTGAGCACCTAAAGCGTATATCTAAAACCAGGCCCTTTATCACCCAAGTCCTCCACGGGAAACCGAGGCACCGGATCAGCCTCAGCGTCCCTCTGGGAATTAATTCTACGACAAATCAAATAATAAACGATCATGACCAACAGCCCCAGAGCAGCAAAAGCTAGAACCAAAGCATGACCCAAACGATATCTCGGCGCATCCGCACTCCGATAAAAGTTAGAAGCAGCAGCGCCAGCCATAGTGCCGAACCCGATTTGAATAGCAATACCAACAGCACGTTTAGCATCTGGAGCCCAGTTATTGGAGGATAAGGTCAGAAGACCTGGGATAGCTGGATACATGCCACACGCGGCAATGAAACAACCTGCATATGTCAGGCCAGGAATAAACCGTACTGGAGCGACGGCGATAAGGAAACCAACAAAGACTGCTGTATAGCAGGCAAAGGTGAAAAAGCTTCGTTGGCCAGTTTTGTCAGAGTAGTAGCCGACTAAGATGCAGGATAGTGTTGCTGCTGCGTAGACGGGAATCGTTAAGAGTTGAGCTAGAGCTGCTGAGTAGCCGAGTCCTTTGATGATTGTTGGCAGGAATAGGGATAGTGCATATACGGAGCAGGCCTTCCATATGCTGTTAGTGCTATCATACAAAAGATCAATTCATCTTACCATTCCCCAGTAACCGAGGCAGTGGAACCATGTCTAATGCATAATAAGATCAGTAAAAGCCCTTTCGTATAGATCAGGACCATGAAAAACATACCTGCCAGTCAAGAAGCGCGTCTACAAAATGCTTCCATTTGAAAGAATGCTCGTTACCCAACTGAGGTCTTGTCGATGTCTCAGTCTGCGTATAGTTCAGCGCATCCAGCAAAACCCTTTTCTCCTGTTCGGAGAGAAACGTCGCCGTTGCAGGCTCATCCCAAACAAGAAAGTAAGAGAATATTGCAACAATCACAGTGAGTAATCCTTCCAGGATAAAACTAGAATATGTTGGTACTCGGGGCTCAAACGAAGAATGGAGAGAGAACGTACATCCATCGCCAACCTTCTAATCCACCCACCCCATCCATCTTACTAATGAGATAGGCCAATAGTCCCGAAAACGCACCCGCCATAGAGGCAGAGGCAAATATCAGTGCTAGTCTGAACTGCGAGTTCTTCCGAGGATACCTGGACGATGTGAATATGGATACGCATGTCTTCCCAACGGGAGATCATACCACAGCGAAACATAGAACGCCAGACCAGGAACTGTACGACATTAGAAAAGGACTCCATGGTGAGCTAGAAAAACATACACAATCCCGCTTCCGTCACTCCTATAACAGTGATTAGCCTCGATCTTCCACTATGAAACCAATATACCAACCAAGAAAGAACCGAGCAGCCAACAGCCCGGAATACCCCTGCACAATCCCAGTCAAGGTCATGACAATGCCTAAGGTAAACAAACAGATCAGTCAAAGCACGTCCAGGGTAAAAGAATATACCACCAACCCCAAGCAACCATAATAGATGGCAACCAGACACTAGGCTTCAACCGAACCAGCAACAAGTTGCAAAGCGGCTCAAAGAACGAATAAGGGAAGAAGAAGATCGTAAGACACCTAGTACATGTAGTGATATGAATTAGCATAACCTCCCTGCTCTACATCCAAGCCCACACTCAAGTAGAATAGTCACCAATTATATTGCTGGCCAACTAAACCCAATGTCTTCGATAATCCCTGGACATTTGCATTCCCAATGTTTCCTGTTCAAGACAGCTTCTTGAGTATAATGATTCCCAAATAAGATCCCAGGAAATTACCTCGATCCAGAAAACTGAGCAGATATAAAACTGCCAGGATGGGAATGACGCGAAGGTCAACTTTGCGGAGGAGTCTATCGTACTCGGCTTGTGAGACTGGCAGCATAGCCAATTCTGTGTTTTTGGAGGTTAATGGCGTTTCATGAAGCTCCTGATGAGTAGACCGTCCATCTCTATCTTGGAGTTTGGTGTCCATTTCTGATCTGGGGAAATTGTGCTTAAAGTCAGCGGGGGTTGGATGTGACTGTGAGTGTTGGCGATAAATTGACACTGGAAGTGATGCAAGGGAGGAACGAGGAATGGGGGGAAAAAAAGCAACGACAGCAAAAGGCCTATTTCCGGGGTTCTGCAGACCGATATTAGACCGAGGCCCTGGCTGTTCTCCCCCGCTTATGCTCTTTTCTCCAAATATCTGCATGTCGGATGCTGCTAGGTGTGTGGTTGCATATCGGCTTTCCCGCCGGTCTACTGTTCTGGGGGCAAACTACACCTGATCATAGGAACGAAGTAGGGAGAAGTATAGCATGATAGAAGACAAAGATCAAGTTGAGGAATTGTATGTCTACTTTGATAGACTATGAAAAAAGGGGAATCACAGAACTATTTCCAAGAAGCCGCCCGGCGTATAGCCGAGTTATGAGGCAGCATGTCCAGGAGAACCAACGTATCAACAAAAGAAAAGAAAGGAAATGAGCAGAAAGGAGAAAGAAGGGAAGGAATAGAGGAAGAAATATGATATGCAATCATGCACTCGCGGCCTTCTCTCGCGCTTCGCGCTCAACCTTCTCCCGCTCCTCGTTCTCCTTTTGTTCGCGAACCTTGGCCAGAACAACTTCGCGGAAGATGGCTCCATGAGCAGCACTGCTGAGACTCTTCTTCTTTGTGTGACCAGGTGCAGGGCTAGTCTCACCGTTGGACTCTGTTGCCGGCGCGGCACCTGCGTCGCCAGAAGCGCCCATGTCCATAGGACTGGGAATGTCCTCTCCATCTTCTTCTTCGTGCATCTTGAGGGATTCGATACGGTTGGCAAGCTTGACGATCTCGATACCGCGACGGAGGCGGGCACGTGCAATGTAGGCGCGGATCTCGGGCAGCAAGTCGCGGTCGCTGGCAGTCTTTCCGGTCAGCCACTCATGCTTAAGGGCATCCTCTGAAGTGACTCGCTTGCTAGGGTCGGCGTTAAGGAGAGTGAGGATGAAGTCTTTGGCATCCTGGGACACGTCGCGCCAGTAGCGCTCGTGGAAAATAATGCGACCAGTTCGGCATTCTTCGATCAGGTCGGTCAGATTCTCTGAACGGAAGGGTGAGTAACCACAGAGGAGAGTATAGGTGATCACACCCAGCGACCACATGTCAACGGCCTTGCCGTGACCTTGCTTCAGCATAACTTCGGGAGCGGCATAGCCGAATGAGCCAGCCATGCTGGTCAGCACTTCGGAGGGGCTGTGCAGCATCTTGGCGATACCGAAATCAGCCAAGACTAACTCGGAATCAGCGGAGCGGGTGAGGTAGAGAAGGTTCTCGGGTTTTAAGTCTTTTTAGATGTCAGCGATCAGAAATTGCTGGTGCGTACAAGGAAACTGACCTCGGTGGACAATGTTGCGCTTGTGCAGGTAGTTCACAGCATCGAGGACCTGACGAATGGTCTGCGACGCATCCTTCTCAGTGAACTTGCCGTACTCGCAGATACGGTCGAACAGCTCACCACCCACAGCTAGTTGGGTGACAATGTAAAATTTATCCTATTCTCATGGTCAGAGAACTTCAATAAGACATGGGTCTTGATATGAACGCACCTTGGATTCGAACCAGTCGACAAAGGAGACAATGTGGGGATGTTGGAGAGATTGCAGCATCTCAAGCTCGTCATAGACCATGGTCTCATTTCCGCGCACATTCTTCTTGAGAATAATCTTGACCGCGACCTTTTCGCCATTGCTGGTCTCTGCTTCACGAACAATGCCATAGGTGCCTGCACCTAGCGTTCTTCCGAATCTGTAGAGAGCTCTAACAAGCGAAATACATCAGTAGCTGCGGATAATAGAATGAAGAAATGGACCGTACTTCTTCTCGTAGCTCTCCGGCTGTCCGGACAGCTTGTTGAGCATATTTGCGACTATGAACAATATGGTCAGCACATTGACAGACCTTGAAGGAATCGCACAAATAAATAGACCACAGCCGCTTCGCGGGAGCCGACCGAGCCGACAGGGGTACAGGCATTGAGACGCAGACCATGATACAAAAGAAAGACCAGGATGGGTGACAGCTTCCAGAGATAGCTTGTCGCCAGTATATATATCGACATGGGAACCACAACGCAGTGCGCAGAGCGGGGAGGGGAGGATTGTGGACACGGCTGACGCGACTCGGAGAATGATCCGTCAAAGAAAGCCGCGGATCACGCTAAGGCCAAACAACAAAAGTCCGACGGGTATAAAATGTCGACTCACAGCTCATGATGTGGGGATAGGGCTGCAGATGCCCGAGAGGTACACGCGGTGTAAGGGGGGTTTGGACCACAGAACCCAATAGGCTAGCTGGCGAGGAGTCTTTGGAGGGGTTTGACGGTGGAGAGGTTCGAGTTCGCAGTGCAGTCTGGAAACGAGAGAACGAGGTCAGTGATTTGCACAAATTCGAGGGGCGACCTGACCATGCGCGGGGGTGGCTGCATAGGAGGATTTTGGGAACACGGGGAATGAACATACGAGATGAGCTTCTCCGATTCCGATCTCAAGCCGAACAAGTCGAGAAACAGCAACACAACAGAGCAGAGTCAAGAGAGAAAAGAGGGTGAGAAGGTGAAGAGTTGTTCTAGACACGATAAGGCGTAGGGTTTAGCGTTGCACCGCCACACTAAAAGTTACTGCCTGAAATCAGGGGGTTTGTATGTCAGCTATCTAGTTGGACAGTTTACACTATATGAAACATTCATGTGAGAGGCTTGCTCATTTATCTACACATCTGGTCTATAGAATCCAGGGCACTGGTTGTTCTACAGTAGTCTTGCAGGTGGCTTAGCTGCTCAGCCTTGTGAGGCTCATTGCGCAGAGCTCATGCATACACTGCGCTTCTAGTCTGCTTATGACAGGCCAGCAAATAGGCTGGAATCATACAATCCTACAAAAACAAAACACTGCCAAAATCCGCGATTAACATTCAAAAGTAAATAATTGAAAAAAATAAACAGAGTTTGATAGCCGCACTGCTTCTATGGCATCGAAGTATAGACATCTCGCACACACTTCCAACATCTATTCTCATTCACTTATTCAGAGAGTGCACCTGTCAGTGAAGTACACTTGGCTTGGTCCTCACAGCATTCATCTTATAACTATACCAATAAGCCATCTATACCCAAAGTATCAAGCTAAATGCAACCCCCATCCCTCCCTCTCGTACAACTCTAAGTCGAACCTAGCATGAATCGAAACAATCAAGAGCTGAAAGAAAAAACAAGATCAGATTTGCAACTGGTCCATGATGTAGACCAATATGGGTGTTAATATAAAAAAAAAGCCACGTTGATTCGTACCGTCTTCCGCCCCCCCCACCAAGTGCCTGGGACAGCGTCATCGTCGGACGTCATAGGCTTGCACCTAAGTATATATGAACCACCCTCGAGTATCTATCTGAGAACTACAATTATATCAAATCAGAAAAGCATTCTTCAATCATGCTGTCTTTCCTCTTCTTTTGTGCATTCCAAGTGGTGCTTCTTGCCGCTTGGGTCTCCGGTACTCTCGATCCATACCAGAAGAAACTTCAGGAATTCTTGCTGGACTGTATGGGTGAAAACAAGGTGTCTTATGGACTGAAGAGTATGTCATTGCGAAGTCAAACAGAAAGAGTCATGCTAATACCCGACGGTAGTGAGTCTCACAGGCAAGAAGCTCATCGAAGATGAGAACTTCAGCAAGATCCAGGATCAACTAGGCAACCAACTGGGTGGGATGTTTGGGAAGGGAGGAGTTGGAGAAGGCATTGGGTCTATTATGAGCAAGAGTCTTTAGTTGGAGACGGGGATGGTAATGGAAGGGGATTACATTCCGGTTGGATGGAAGTATGTATTAGTTTGTGGCATTGAGCTTCACATTGCATTGAAACATGGGCTTCTCTGAGCATTTGTCTTTCCACATCAATTTCGATATCAATTTCTTCATTTCAGCACCAGGATTTGATGTACCATTGCGGAGTTGAGATCCATACTTCCCAACTCGACCCCGTAAATCTCCCGAATTCACACTTTGAACCTTCCACCTTCCTCCTGATCAATACCTCACCCGAGTAATGATCCATCGGAAAGATGAACAACAAAAGACAATGATAGTAGCAATAGCTCAAGATCGTAATCGATTGTTAGACAGCACTGTTTACCACGAGAATGGGGAGGGATCCTTCAATAGAAACCCTCATCATTAGCAATATCAGCGAGCACCTCGTCGCAAAACTTTTCATAATAATCAGAACCTTTCCATACAGAATGGGGAGCACGAATACCAGTCTTCCAACCCTCCTTCCGCAGCCGAGAAATACGCTGCAACTTAGTCTCAATGCGAAGCACATTTCCAAATTTGTCGATATTGGGACCCTGATCCGGGCTCGAATCCGGGCCGGAGTTACGACGGAAAACAGATGACACCTTTTTGCGAAGGGGACTGAATGTCCAGAAGGACTGAGAACGGGCATGAACTGAGTCAGGGGAGACTGCGTCGCGGCGACAATGGCAATGCTGTAAGTTTTCGACATGTTCAATTTGCTGGTAGAGTCGGGTGATTTCCTTGGGGATTACCTCACGCAGGAAGCTATTGTTTGAGTTAAACCGTCTGACTCGGGCTTCGTGGAATGCCGTGACTGCAGAATCAGTTGGGGATGGGGTTGTGTATGAAGAAGAAGCTTGACTTTGTTCGGGTGTGACAGGAAGAGTGGTGGATTTATTGAAATCAAGCCCTGTGTTATTCTCTGGAGGGGTCTCTTGCGTACTCTCTAGGATGGCCTCTAACTGGGATCTCGGGGTAGAAGCTCGAGTTCGACAAGTGGGACTTGACTGGCTTTCATTAACATTAATCTGGAGACGAGGGATGATCTTGAGTGGCAGGCGAGGAGGGCGAGGGCGAACAGGCCGCTTCGGGTTCTTGTCAGTGTCATAGTTGCTTAGAGTTGAGTTGGATCGAGCATCAGCATTCGGAAGGGGCCAGTTTAGATTGTTGCAAGTATCCTTTGGGTTTGCGATGGTTTCCCTTTTTGAGAATCCACAGAGAATCATTGAACGATTGCACCTGATCACCTCACCAGATATCTTTCGAACAGAGAGCGGCGATGGTATCAATTCAATTTGGGTCCTGGGGTCCGCAATATCAGCAGGGTAGCTGACTGGGGAGAGTTGTACCGGGGAACGGATCTTGGGGGACAGATCCTTCTTCGAGATGAAAGAGGCATCCTCACTTTCATTCATGATGGGACCGTGGAGCATCAAGGTAATATTATCGATCAAGGACTCGCCGATGGGGGTATTATTTCTGGAATTGTTAAAAGAGACCGACTCCTGATCCGAAAATACAGGAGAAGGAGTACCACGACGCTGAGCAATACTCCCATTTGGATAGGAGAAATTCCGACTCGGACTGGAATGCCTGTAGGGTGATGGGCTGACAGCAGAGATTGAAATAGGCGAAATGCCACCATTGATACCATCCTTGAGGGGGAAATCCTCAATAGGACTCAAGTGACGAGGAGAGGAAACAGCAGGGATCGAATCGGGAGAGCTTTGACCGTTTGTATCTTCCACAGGAGAGAGATTTTCAAAGGGACTCAATTGCTGTGGAGGGGAAACAGCAGGGGCGGAACGTGGTGTGACGATGAAAGCTGTAGTAAGAGAGTCACCAGACGAGGGAGGAGTCAAAGGGTAGGCCGGAGGGGGAGTCATAACACCTTGTTCAGCGAGTTGAGTCTTCGTAACCAGGACGGGGGATACATCGCGCGGAGAGGACCCCAAAGGGGATTCAGGGCCAGGAGAATTATCGAAAACAAGCGGCGATCCAGAAGTAGTACGAGATGAAGGAGACTCTGCCCAGTCAACAAGGGAATAAGTTTGACCGGGGTTCAGGACTGGAAGGGACAAATTGTCTGGCAAAACATTGCTTGCAGCAATGAATTTCTCCACAGCACATTTAAGAAATGGGATCTTAGATGCTGAGTAGATGTGGGCTGCCTGAGCTAGCGAGACATATGAAATGGCGGAATAGTAGTGGAGAGCAGTTTCATGAATGCGGTCGATCTATGTAGGAACCCGTTAATTGTGCCTTCGGATCGGTGCATTTGGAGTACAAACCCGGACAGTAGCAGTGCCGAGAAGGGTCTTGCAACGCAACACGCATTGTTTGTATTGCTGAGACATGTTCAGTGATTTGACTTGCTTGATGGCCGCCTGCCACTCGTCGAACGTGGTTGGAGGTTGAGAAGAACCCCAGACCAAAGCCTCGAGCCTAGGAGGATCTGGTGTCAAGCGGGATGCCATGTTTGGTCAGATCAAAGGAAGCACAGAGTAGGATGAAAGAAGCAAAGGAAAGGGGAGAAGCAAAGGAAAGGGGATAATGACGAGATGGATATGGGAGAGGTGAGAAGGGAAGAAGTGAAGAGAGGCCGGTGAAGGATTGTCAAAATAGGCAGAAAGTGATCGTGTTGACTTCACGGCGAACACGAACCAATTTTGCGAAGTGAGTTTAGAGAAAGTAAAGAGCGGCCATGTCCGAGGCACGAGTTGATATAAAAGAGGACAGAGCAGAAGCTACCGACTCATTTGCTCGTGCCCTAACCGGACGTACTTTGATGCCATAACAGTTGATATACAGCCCACAGCAGATGTATCGGTGCCTACATTCCCAGTGTTGATGATGCCTACAGTATCATACACGAGACAACAAGCAAGGCACGGTGTGTTAAAAAGGAAATACTGACATTGATGCCGCTAAAATTACTCGTAAACAAAGTTATCACAATTCAACGTTGAAAGGGGATTCCAAGTCAAAGGCCCAGCCTTGAGAACATAGAAATCCAACAGTCTTCTAGACCTTCGTGGCCTCGTAGTCACTAGTAGTGGCAGTATGGTACCTGGAGAGAGCCTGGCTCGTGGCTGAGAGAGACCCAAGGAAGTCGCCCAGCAACCGATCGAGCTCAGATGTAACAGCGGTGTCATCAGCATCCTCCATCAAGCTCGCGGCACTTGGTGCAACAAGCGATGGGAAGGGGATGGCATCGACTTCTTCAGGTCTCGTGGTCGTGACTTCATGGTCCTGGTCTCGTCGCACATTGCGAATTGTTTCAAAAACCGGAGAACCGGGCTCTGAGACAGGACCAGAAGTCACCGAGGCCGCAGTGGGGGTTTCGGGAATTGGGATGGCTGTCGGTAGTGGTGGTGTGCTACCGTCGGTTGAGTCTCGCCACATAGGATGGGATTCTTCATCGGGCCCCGGCCCGTCCAGAATCCCTGAAGACTCGTACTCATGATAGCCAGCTTGAGTCATCATTTCAGGGAGATCATGGTCAAAGAAGTGGCTATGGTGGAGAGAGTTTGTGCCCTGAGGTGTGGTTGGGCGGTCGAAACGGAAAGGATCGTAGTCCGAGTCAGACACGTTGGATGCAGATGTAGAAGGGCGGAAGTCATCAGGCTCGTCGACTGGTTGAGACTCTGGAATAGGCTGGATCTCGGGAAGTGGTGCACGAAGAGTGTCATGGCGATCAGTATACGTCTGCTCCTCGGGGACGGATCCCATGACGGGGAATGTCCATTCCATTGTAGCACGCTTTTCGGCCTGGAGGGACTCTTCCTCAATTGGCTCTTGAGCAGGATTTGGGTCAGAGTCTTGGCCAGGAGTCTGCTCGCTTTCGGTCGGATTTTCTTCTTCGGTCTGCATGAATACTGGGAACTTCCAGTCCATAGTAGGAGGCCGTGGACCGGACGGCTGGAATGTATCATCAATAGATGCAGCTCCGTCGCTTTCCATGCCGCTGTCGGAAGACTTCGAGCTGTTTTCATTGGAGTTTCTGTTAAATCGAATACTGGAACGATTCGCGCGAATGGTGTCTGCATCGACCAATTGGAAAGGCTGGGCAGCAGGCGCTCCCGCCGCATAATGCGATGCCTCGAATGAGCCAATGTCGATGTCAATGAAGGTTGATGTGACAGAAGAGCGGTCTGTCTCTGTGCGGAGAGGTAGATCTGAGATGGATGGAGTAGGTTCAATAGGAACAAAGTCGTTTTTAGTCTCGTAAACGTAGCTGGGCTTCTCCTCATCAAAGAGCCCTTGCATAGCTTCAGCGCCTCGGCGCACACGTTCATCAAAATTGACTTTGTCTTCATAGTTCATTTCACCCTCGGAGCCCTCATCCATGAAGTCTTGCTCGGATTTTGAATCGGTTGGGCTGGCTGCTTGTTCCATTGCAGCGAGAGAAGCTGCTATTTGATCCAGATCAATGACGGAAAATCTACGCTCGAACCCGTCTGTTGTACTGAAATTCCAATCGTCGTCTGACTCTTCGGTGCCGGGGAGTTCTGCTGCCGCCGCACCACCTGGGTGGAACAAAGAGATACGCTGGCCTCCTCGCTGTGACCACTGGTAGTAGTTTCGCACTAGCTCACTGACGGTCGAGGTGGGATACTCCTCATCCGTGTCAGCAATGTAAGGATGAGCTAGGATGTCTGCCATCGTGGGGCGGGTGGAGGGGTTGGAATCAAGGGCGAAAGCGATGAGGTCCTTCAGACCTTGACTGTACCTTTCGCTGTCGAGTTTGGGGGTGTTTCGATTGAGTTGACGGCCGATTTGCATGCGCTCTCGCAAGCCAGAGTTTGGAGGATTACCATTTGCAAATTCGAATAGAGTGCATCCATACGCCCATACATCAATCTTGCAGAGATCATGTCAGTGGATGAAGCACAGAGCACAATAACTAGGACTCACTTCGCTTCCGTAACGATGGGCCTCGCCCCGAGTTGCAAACATTTCAGGTGGCATCCAGTGTGGCGTTCCAATCCACGTAGACCTTTTGTCTCGTTGGGATTGCAGCACACCAGCGACACCGAAGTCACAGATCTCCAAGCGACCCTCTTCATGAATGAGGATGTTTGCGGCTGCAGAAAAAGTCAGCAAGAATTATTACCAACTGTGAGTCGAGATGTTGACCTTTGACATCGCGGTGGATGATCCCGGCCTCGTGGATAGCGTGAAGACCAACAGCCAACTCGCGGGCAATTGGTATAATGTATTTCTCATCCAGCTTGTCGTCGGTTGCACGCATCTACAATGGTCAATAAGGCTCTGGAAAGGTAAAAATAGGAATTCAATTACCAGTGTACGGACACTACCGCCTGGACAATACTCGCAAACAAGCCACAATTGTGAGTGGATAGAGATAGCTTCAATCAGCTCGTTAATGTTTTTCGCCCCAGAATCCTTGACCTGCTTCATGACCTTCGTTTCGTGAATAAAATCCTTGATGGACTCATCCCTGAAATCTCGCAATGACTTGTAATCCAGCGAATCGATATCTAGGACCTTTATGGCAACAAGTCTGCCGGATTTGGTTTCGTGGCCTTTGTAAACACGGCCATAAGCACCCTTTCCTATGAGTTCTTCAAACTCGTAAGGTGGGACATCGGTTTTTGCACGTCGACACATCTCTTGCACGGCGATTCCCTGTTCTCGAGCGAGTTTTATGGCTTCAACTTTGTGTTTGGTTATGGCCGCCATCGCGGAGGATGGGTCCAAGAAAAACGACCCACGGGTATCCATGGTGAGATACAGTGAGCGATCAGAAGCAGAGCAGAGTTTGTTGCTGTTTTTTTCCTTGGTTCCTCAAGGGTCTTTCTTTTTTTCCCTTGTTTTTGAAAGGTTGGTGTTTCTCTTGCGTGCAAGGAGCAGAGCGGAGAGGTAAAAATGATAGAAAACTTTCAGACAGACAAAATAACGTTATCTTCAAGGTGCATCTCAAAAGGTAGACCTAGCGGGAACACAACGACGTGATACACGTCCAAGATCGGGGCTTGAGCAGCTTGAGACATCCACACCCTTCCTGCTCTGGTCTTGTCGGGTTGCGATCCAAGGAGCGGGAAGATTGGGCAACGTGTGACGGAAACGGGACCTTTCGGTAGTATCGGTGATCAGTTGCCTCACAGTGCGGTTGGTTAGGTGGGATCCTGCGGCTCGTTGAATTCAAAGAAGACTGCGGCAAAGGGTACGGCTTCGGGAACAACGCGTACGTGGCTCTGCTGGTATGGCTTTTGACCGACGGTTGAACCGACGCTGGAGAGTTCAATCCAACGAATTGAGTGTGGCGAATGTCTGGGTCGATAGACGCAACGGGAGACGTACGTAAGTTTGGGGGCGTAAAGTTTCGAAGAGGAGTACGAATTGGAGTACTTGAGGTAGATGGCGATAGAACGGCACCCGGGATGTCTAAAGTATCAAAGCTGAAACTGCCGTGAATTTGCGAAGGATCGGCCCGAACAGGATGGCAACGGAGAGGATTGATTCGACCGTGATACTCGGTCTGGTTCCGGCGAGCAGGTAAAGACTGCTTCTTATGACGCTGGGGGATCGAGGGACTTTGATCTCCGATATCAACGATATCTGTGTCAAGTAGGGCGGATGAATCTCCGAAGATGATTGGACCGTTGACGTGTCGACTAGTGTCAGGCGTGGAATTGTTAGCTTTTGTATTGCTTTCGGTGAGGACTTGTTGTTTTCCGGGCACAATTTCAGAAATGGCTTGTTTTTCCCTGGGAGAATCGGAGGAAGGGGGACGTGGGAATGACGAAATCAAGTTATCAACGGTTTCAATGTTGGATAGGGCACTAGACAGGGTTGTCTGTCGGATTCCTGGGATTTTGGGGGTGCTTGGTGGACCGGGGGTAGCAGGGACAAGCTGGTGGTTGCTCTCACCTCTGTCACTATCGTAAATGGACGATCCGGGTGGTTCGTTGGATTCAGGGCGACGAATATCCTCTGGCAGTACAACGAGCCCGCGCAATTCAGAAAGCAAAGTTATCGATTCCTGTGAGATCAAAGAGACCCACTCGTCTCCGTAATAAGACGAATGCCCTGGCACTTGTAGGTTGGTTGCCGGGTGCTGCACGGGATCACTGTAAGATCGATGTTAGCAAAGGGCCCCTGCAAGCGCATGTGGAATGATTTGCCTGGAAGAAATTGATGCAAGTCTTTGAGATACTGTAGCAATACTCAGTTGTCCAGAAGCTCTGTTGTTGAGATTGTGATCGAGGGTAGTGTTCGGACCAAGCTCGGCACCAGACAGTCCTGGAAATGGATTCTCGGAAGCAAAGAGACGGCACAGGAACTCGTGATCACTGGTTGGGATCCCAAGATCCTCGAGCACGTCTTGGGCACTGCGGTTCTGGTCAGCCATTTTGATACTTCGTGTTTGAACACTTGGGGACGGCGGGTGAATGTGCAGATCGCGAAGCAGAAGCGACAGGCGACGATGAGGGAATAAAACCCCTCATTCTCTGGGTTAGGCAACGCCGAGAATACATACCTAAATTTACCCTTACCACTTGACTAAACGAATTATCAACAGGTAGGTTGAAGGTATTCCGAAGTCGACTGTTGAAGATGTGGAGCTATCTTTCCAGTCACGTGATGATAATTGCTATCGTTATCGTTATCGGGCTATCACGAGGTTCGAGGTTCACCGCCCGCTCGTCACCTTCCCAGTTCCGTTTCCCTCCAACTGCCTCATTATGTGCAGTATACGCCTCACATAAAATTGCTGCAGGTGGGTAAATGGGACTGCAGTAAATACCACATTCATGGTGCCTAGACTCTGATCGGTGTGGCATTGTTGGCTTACTCGTTGATTGGGGTGTGATGTGTATCTAGGCCCTAGGTGAGCCTGTGGATGCCAATGCCAGGGAAGGAAAGCTGCTCGGTGTACGGCAGTTTACAGCTCAAAAGGCCCCGTGACTATATACCGAATTTCTATATTACTGCATCGTATGGATGTGTATTCTCCATAGTTCACTACCCTCTTCCACCCCCTCTTTCGGCTTTTTTCATCGTTCATCCATCTCAATCGTTACGTTTAATATTTATCACTTGGGCGTCAAACCCGAATTGACCCTTTTCAAGAGCGAATATCTTCCTTTTGCAAGCGATACTACCCTAGTGAATATTCGTATCTTTCTGAGAATTAGGAGTAATTAAGTGGAGAATTTGATGTTATTACCTCTCTCGTTAAATCTCTTGATCATTAAGCGTTACACCGTATCTTAGTAAATCGATTCCTAATTATGCCCAGGTATCTGTACCTACCTAGTAATATTGTATAGCGCTAAGATGCGACCTCGTTCAAATACCTATATTTAACCAGTCGGGTGACATGATCGCTTCAAGTTGCTCTCAATTTCTGTTGCAAAAATAAAGTGAATATCGATTCTCAGAACATATAAATAATGTAGAAATAAGCACGGAAACTCTATCTTTCAAGCCAATCTGCTACATTCTTCTCTCATAAGAACTGAAACCCAAACTGTGACCTACAATGGAAAGCATATTGCAAGAAGAACTGTTGCTGTTGCAACAGCCGAGCCCTCAATTGGACAAACTAGCACTATCATCCCTATTCGCCCCTGCGTCTCGTTTATTGACCTTGCAAGAGTCTACTAGATTGACTTATCAGCGAGCAAAAGCTTTTTGCAATGCATACGGTATCATGATTCTCAATTCCATTGGATGGGCTATTAACGAGAGCAGGTGTGACTGTGAAGGATATTTCACATATCACCCCGAAATTCTGGAAGATGCATCAAGAGGCATTGATAGCACTAGATTCTGGGGCCTTTACTCTTTTAACAATCCAGTGTAACTTATTTGTTGGCACACTGGCTCCGTTTGCAATGAAGCGTCCAGACCTTCAGCCCGTCCTGCAAGCAGCCTTGGAGTTTAATGTCTCGTGAGTGATCTTCAGTTTACCTAAAATATTTTTCGGGCTATCTTAATATATTTCATGAGTAGAGCCCAATTCATGTTGACAGAGGTTAACCATGGGTTGGATGCTCGCAACATACAAACTACAGCAACGACTTTGCCAGATGGAGATATTGATCTACACACTCCCACTCCAAAAGATGCCAAGTAAGATGATAGCGCCAAACTCTTCCTTGCCCTATGACTAACCATAGTTAAGGGTGATGCCACCAACTACTCCCAAAGGTGGACTACCGGTGGTTGCTATTGTGATGGCCCGCCTGATAGATGGCGGCAAAGACTGCGGAATTCGACCATTGTTGGTTCAAATCAACGATGGTACAGATATGTGCAAGGGTGTGATAGCTAAGTGAGCCATGGATCTTTTTTTCTATTTTTTTTCTTCTTGAACAATGACCTAACTCAACCAAGAGCTTTGCCTCAACGAACAGGTTGTCACCCCGTTGACCATTCCATAACTTCCTTCAACCATGTACGGCTTCTAAAATCATGCCTATTGAGCAGCCCTGTAGCCGCTCAGAATCACCGTGATGACCGTGACGAATTTATGTCTACAATCTACCGGGTGGCAGTGGGAACTCTGTTCATCACGGCTGGAGTGATTCCAGGGTTGAAACTTGTCACCTTCAATGCCGCACGCTTTAGTCAGCGAAGGCTTGTTACCGGCCAAGATAGAAAGCCTATGGCAGTCATTGAGTTTCGAACCCAGTGTTTACCGATACTGCATGCTATAGCCCAGTATAGCGTGCTAGAGCCGTTCTTCGTGTCTGCAGCGATGGCGTTCCGAGACACTTCCATGGACCCTCGAGTGCGTCATGGGATAGCTACTGTTTTCAAAGCAGTGGTGTTGGGTCATTTTGAGAAGAGCGTTAGAGCTCTGGGCGAGATGTGTGGATGGCAAGGACATTTTGAGCACAATCAAATCCTTCAGTTGGAGGTTAGTAACTACTATTTGATTTTGACCAATTCCAGGTAGTATCTGACAGGACTTTCAAGTTGGAGATTCGTGGTGTATCTACTGCAGAAGGCGACATTCGAGTTCTCGCAATTCGTACGTACCCAAAAGTTGTGATATGTGCAAGACTAACACTGAACAAAGGGCTTGCATCAGAGCTGTTGATTGGTCGGTATAAATTACCACCGCCTAAAGATTCAAACAGCCCAATTGCTCGACACGAAGCGAGTCTGCTCTCTGAAGGAAGAGAGATTCTCCAAAAATCAGCTAAGGGTGCCCACCGAAGCAATGAATTTAATCGGGACATCCTCCCTCTGGCACTTCCATTAGTCGTAGCCATTGGTCATCGCATGGCTTTCGAGGCTGCAAGGTGTTGCAAAGATATTATAGAGAATATGGTCTTTCAACAAGATCTCAGATCATTCTTAATATACAGCCGATATCATTATATCCAATACATCAACAGAAGAAGGCCCAAATAATAAAAATAGCAAAGGACAACCGCAGGCCGGCTTCTTCGCCAATTTGTGAGCCAACGGATTTCTTGAACCTGCTAACACCGGCCTCATCAGTGTTATTTTTCTCTAATATAGTGCTTGCATCTGAAGATAGCTCAGTTGAAATCTCGATCTCGTCGCCATCAGATATCTTCTCCTTTGTAGCCAAAGGCGAATCGTCGCCTTCCACATTATAGGCATAGTAGACCTCGTCCTCGGGCGCTCTTAAGAGGATATCTGGGTTCTCTGGTGATGTTCCCAACAAGGTATATGTCTTGAAGGCATTATGCTGACATGACCAGTTAGTAAATCTAAACGCAAACTTAGTGGACAATCACCTACATCACTGTCAGATGAAAGACTCAAACCATCCCAAATTGATAGAAGGCGACTCTTTGCGGATCTCAAAATCCCCCTATGTTCAACCCGAAGACCAAACTCGGTAGGCGTCTCCCTCTCTAAGGCCAATGCCTGTATCGCCGACGCGCCCACCAAGGCTAAGAACCACGACCCACCACGCATATCGGTCGGCCGTTAAAGTGGGTGCGAGGTTGAAATTTGCATGGTGGACACCGGTGTGTTTATTTAATCTTACGGGGGCAAGGCATTTTTCAGGTAAATCGACGCTAAATTAATTCGCTGCTCTGGTCTTAGCTGGGGAATTTGTTGGGGTGGTATTGGTCTCGCTTATTTTTTGAGGCTTTTGTTAGCGGGTGGCGCGGGCTGTACCCGGGGTGCAGGGGTCAAAAATAGACTGCAAACAATTGCTTAGTTCATGCAGAGAGGCTCGAGTCGATTGCTTTGGTAGATGTCGATCAGTTTGATCCCTCAAATTGCCTGGGTTGACTGTGCATGACGGTGCCAGTGTGCCTTGAAGCACCACCACAACAGAAAATATGTGGCTTGGGTCTTTCGTTTTCAAGTCCCTCCAAATAATCTAGCTAAATGACCCTAGTGACTCAAAAAGGGGGAAGGAAGAGATCAAAATAGAAGTCAGGAAGAGAGACCTGAGTAGGGGAATCATTGTATGTCACTCTCCCCTTCAAGCCTTCCGGGCAGAAGCCTCACACCCCCCAACAGTTTTTATACATTTATGATACTTAGACAGGGCCAGCCACTAATCAAACGAAATGCTTGGTTTCCTTGGGTCAGCTATCTTTTCTCGGAAGGGCCGTGAGCCGCACTCGGAACCAAAGTATTCGAGCGACTTGCCGATCAAAAGGGTCTAAAAGTATCAGTGTCGCTGTTTCAACGGGTTGCACTGAAATATATTCGGCATCCCTTCGGTAGGTGATCACTTGAGATAAAATTCCAGTGGCTCTGTCGTAGCCAAAGAAAAGTGATTGTTCTGGATAGACGTATATTTTCTCCCAAGCCCTAAAAAAACATAAGCAATATACTATTGAGTAACTTCAAATCGCAGGACTTTTGTAACTACGTAGCTTTTCCATTGAAGTGTAATTTAAGACCATGGCAGCTAGTCATCCCCACCGCTGTCACGAGATTGTTGTTTTTGCTAGAGTGTCTTGTGTGGCAGTTGATTAAAGACAGTGAAGGCATTATCATAGAGTGGTATTCAAGGAGAAAAAACGGGAGGAAGCATGGTTGAAGCTCTAGGGCATGTCAGGCCCTCTTTAAAGTAATAACTTGAATAAAAAATGGCCTGCTGACAGGAGACAAATGAATAACTGAGTGGAAGCGTGAGGTCCCGCGTTTGTCTCGTTTTACTCGTTTTACTCGTTGCGATGGTATTACCTATTTGGGACAAGAGGTGATTTCTCTTTTGTTTTCTCTCCCACTTTCTCATTATCTTACCCTGCTTATCCTCTCAAATAACGTACTTTAGCTTGAGATCACAGCTTCATTCGATCTAAGTGAACCACAAACCTACAGCCATTTTCATCTAGTCTACCCAGACTTTCAAAATGACATTCAGCACCCTTCCTCCGGAGATCAAGCTCTTAATCATCGAAAAGCTCGATGGCGATCACTTGTCTCTAGGAAATCTAAGTGCCTGCAACAAAGAGCTCGTCAACCTGATCGCCCCAACTCAGTGGTCACACGTTAGGTTGGGGACTGAACACATTGGCACCGAGCGTGCCCTAATTGAGACAACAATGGGAATCAAACAAGACGTGAGAAATTATCGTACTGTAAGGTATTCCCCGGGACATGAGATATTCTGATAATCTGACAACCAGCAAGCTCCGTCGGTTTACTACCACAATTCTCCGTTTTCCTGATGTTGCGAAGAAAGTGCGCTCTCTCGACCTGAGTGACTTGAATCTGCTGTGCGGAGCCAATGGACATATTGTGACCAGAGACCAGGTGTTGCCCAAGAAATGGGAGACCAGTTCAGACGACCGCAGACTGCTTCGCAAAGCCTTTGAAAACCTTTCTATCACCAGCACGAACAGACAACTCCTGAACTATGCATTTAAGTCCAAGTCGCTACGCTTGGATACCATACTGCTAGCTTTGCTACTATCCCTCCGTTTCCTAGAAAGGCTCGAGATCACTCTTGGACATGGAAACTACAGTGGCTTTGAGAATGAGTTTTTGGTTGATGACTTGGTGCAAGATGTCTTGTGCGGAACCCCCAATGGAGAAGTGTTGATTGACTCAAAGGCTGTCCTTGAACATTTGACTCATTTGAAAATTGAATGCCGCAACCGTTTTTCCGGCGATCCCATTCGTCTTATGAGATGGTTCCAGTTACCCTCGCTGACACACTTCTTTGGCTCGAATTGGAACAGTCACTACCTTGAAGACGAGGATTTCAAGAGTATTCCTACCAGACTCGCCCGATCGATCATTCACCTGGAATTCCGTGATTGTGCGCTGGACGCTCCATTTCTCCATCGCCTTCTCGCAGGATGTGAGTCCCTCGAGACCTTGATATATCAGCGGCAATGGTCCTGGGACGCGTGGGACGAAGACGAGTTTGAACCAAGCGACGACCAGGCTACAGTACATAATGAGCCATACAATGAACTGAACGAGGCACAGACTGGGGAGGACAACAGTATTGATGAGGTGGAGGAAGAAGAAGAACAAGAAGAAGAAGATGACAACGATGATTATGAAGAACGAGAAGACCCGAACATCCTGCTAGTCTCCGATCTCACAGCCGCACTTGAAGAGAGATGCAACACTTTGAAATCCCTCGAGCTAGCAATTGCCAAGTGTATCTGGCACGATTGGGAACATCTCTACTTGTGCCCCATCAACTTGGCTGGCATGAAAGTTCTGACCAAGCTGCATATCGCGGCAGGATACTTGATCTGGAGCCCACAAAAGGAAAGCATGTATGGTGAACTCGGTAATGGACTTCAACTACGTTTGTTTGACACAGTGGGAATGAAAGCGAACCCCAAGATCGCTCTGCATGACCGTCTCCCCAAGTCCCTCGAGATTCTGTCAATCAAGAACCTGCAGAACCAGACCGAGCTCCGAAACTTGATTCCAGCTCTCTGTACAATGCTTCGTCATCGACAAACGAGGCTTTCGAACCTCCAAGAGCTGAGACTTGAAGCTCCCACCGAGGGAGACCCAACCGTATTCGGGTTGCAGTGGCTTCAACAGGAGGCAGACGATGTTGGTGTACAGCTTCGCATCATTGATACCTCCTCTCTATTTCCCGTATCATGGTTGCGTCCCTTAGTGAATGTGCCTGAGCCAGAGGGGGTGGCCGTTGACTGGGGCATGGATGGAGAGTTTAAGTGGGGACATCGATTCTGGCAACCTCCTCGGTTCCACACCTTGCAGGAGGGCAGATCCCCCACCCGTGAGGAGGATACGACAGAGATCAAGGATGAGAATTGACCTTGAGCGGGCAGATTGATATGACCGGGGATAAGGCTCAAATGTAAGATTAGAAGCGAGAACAATTTGATTGTTGGTGTCTCTGAAATCCAACTCAGTTCAATTCAAGCAGTTCACTGATTGTCGCCAACGTGGTAGCAGTATACATGTAAATCGAGCCATTGACATCATATAACGGCTGTGTTTAGAGCCTAGGAGTAGAATGGTAGAGAATCAGGTCAACCTCACTCTACCAAGATCAATTGTCTATGGCAGTCGCGAGGAAGGTCACTGGGGGCACAGTTTGATAGTCGAATTTGGAGTAGCGCCTGAGGCCAGACTGTTTGTTTGGTTTGGTATCTTCTTGCCTGAATTACGAGGCCACAATTCAATTAATAATGCAGTTTCAGTTTCAGTACCCGACATGACTAAGCTACCCCTCCACCCGCCACCGCGAGGGGCTTTGGGTATCGAGTCAGTCGGAAGGTTTATGCGGATGGCATGTTATGAATCATTGGTGAATTGAGTGTCGAGAGAAAGAAAGAGCCATGGAATGTTCGGGTACTTCGTATTTATAGCTATCATCTCACCATAGGAGAGCTTGTACTCATCCTATGCGTCACCGGAGTACGACGGAAGGCAAACCATACCTTGAGGCAAGGGCATAAGCATCACGCAGAACAGGATTTCAAATCAAGACAATAAAAATACAGCTAGAGAACTAGAGAGCTAGCCATGTCTTATAGTCCCATACGCAGACAGTATAGAGTGAGAGATAAAAGTCAGTGACCCAAACGCACAAAACCGGCAAAAAGTCCCCACTTTCGCTTTCTTTTTTTCTCTCCCACTTTCCCCCCCCTCCTCTTCCTCTTTCCCCTCTCATCCCTCTCCCCAGGAGCAGTTGCACATAGAAGTTTTTGATCTGATCGAGAGCTCTCGGTCCTGGTCATCTGTGTGCTCTTCTTCTTTCTACTTTTTTTAAAAAGTTTTTTTTGAAGATCAACCGCCAACATGGTTAAGTAAGTCCCATCTCCATCAGCTCATCAGCTCGCCCCCAGCTCCCAAGAATATGATGCTAATATGGTGTGCCACAGCTTCACTATCGAAGAGGTTCGTGCTTGAAACCCATCATTCACAGATGGCAGAGGAGATGCCCTCGGAGGCATCGATTCTTTTTTTGCTATCTGGAGGGTGGTGGTTTGATTTTTTCCCCCTCGGCCTTCAGAAAACTAACGTTATAAACAGATCCGTGCTCTGATGGACCGTCGGGCTAACATCCGTAACATGTCCGTCATTGCTCACGGTAAGCTTGTCTGGAAACCCTCGGTATTTGATAGATGCTGACTTTTCTCTGTTTAGTCGATCACGGAAAGTCCACCCTCTCCGACTCCCTTGTCCAGCGTGCCGGTATTATCTCCGCTGCCAAGGCTGGTGAGGCCCGTTTCATGGATACTCGTCCCGATGAGCAGGATCGTTGCATTACCATCAAGTCCACCGCCATCTCCCTGTACGCCAAGTTCGCCGATGAGGAGGACATCAAGGAGATCCCCCAGCAGGTTGACGGTAACGAGTTCCTGATTAACTTGATCGATTCCCCCGGTCACGTTGATTTCTCGTCTGAGGTCACTGCTGCTCTCCGTGTCACTGACGGTGCCCTTGTCGTTGTCGACTGTGTCTCCGGTGTCTGTGTCCAGACCGAGACTGTCCTGCGTCAGGCCCTGACCGAGCGTATTAAGCCCGTTCTGATCATCAACAAGGTCGATCGTGCTCTTCTCGAGCTCCAGGTCTCCAAGGAGGATCTCTTCCAGTCCTTCTCCCGTACCATCGAGTCCGTCAACGTCATCATCTCCACCTACTTCGACAAGGCTCTCGGTGACGTCCAGGTCTACGCTGAGAAGGGAACCATCGCTTTCGGTTCCGGTCTCCACGGCTGGGCTTTCACCGTCCGCCAGTTCGCTGTCAAGTACGCCAAGAAGTTCGGTGTTGACCGCAAGAAGATGCTCGAGCGTCTGTGGGGCGACAACTACTTCAACCCCAAGACCAAGAAGTGGACCAACAAGGGTGAGCACGAGGGCAAGCAGCTCGAGCGTGCTTTCAACCAGTTCATTTTGGACCCCATCTTCAAGATCTTCGCCGCTGTCAACCACAACAAGCGTGATGAGATCTTCACTCTCCTCGACAAGCTCGAGGTCACCCTCACCAACGACGAGAAGGACCTCGAGGGCAAGGCTCTCCTCAAGCTCATCATGCGCAAGTTCCTTCCTGCCGCTGATGCACTTCTTGAGATGATCTGTATCCACCTTCCCTCTCCCGTCACTGCCCAGAAGTACCGTGCCGAGACTCTGTACGAGGGTCCCCAGGACGACAGAGCCTGCATTGGTATCCGCGACTGTGACCCCACTGCTCCTCTGATGCTTTACGTCTCCAAGATGGTTCCCACCTCCGACAAGGGTCGTTTCTACGCCTTCGGTCGTGTCTACTCCGGTACCGTCAAGTCCGGTATCAAGGTCCGCATCCAGGGTCCCAACTACGTCCCCGGAAAGAAGGAGGATCTCTTCATCAAGGCCATCCAGCGTACCATTCTCATGATGGGTCGCTTCGTTGAGCCCATTGAGGATGTTCCCGCCGGTAACATCGTCGGTCTGGTCGGTGTTGACCAGTTCTTGCTCAAGTCTGGTACCCTTACCACCGATGAGACCGCCCACAACCTCAAGGTCATGAAGTTCTCCGTCTCCCCCGTCGTGCAGCGCTCCGTTGAGGTCAAGAACGCCCAGGATCTGCCCAAGCTTGTCGAGGGTCTCAAGCGTCTCTCCAAGTCCGACCCCTGTGTCTTGACTTTCATCTCCGAGTCCGGTGAGCACGTCGTTGCCGGTGCCGGTGAGCTGCACCTCGAGATTTGTCTTAAGGATCTCGAGGAGGACCACGCTGGTGTCCCTCTCCGTGTCTCCGACCCCGTCGTTCCTTACCGTGAGACCGTCACTGCTGAGTCCAGCATGACTGCCCTGTCCAAGTCGCCCAACAAGCACAACCGTCTGTACCTCACCGCTCAGCCCCTTGACGAGGAGGTCGCCAAGGCCATCGAGTCCGGCAAGATCAGCCCCCGTGACGACTTCAAGGCTCGTGCCCGTATCCTCGCTGACGAGTACGGCTGGGATGTCACTGATGCCCGTAAGATTTGGTGCTTCGGTCCCGACACCAACGGTGCCAACTTGCTGGTTGACCAGACCAAGGCTGTTCAGTACCTGAACGAAATCAAGGATTCCGTCATCTCCGGATTCCAGTGGGCCACCCGCGAGGGTCCCGTTGCTGAGGAGCCCATGCGTTCCGTCCGCTTCAACGTCCTTGATGTCACCCTCCACGCTGATGCTATTCACCGTGGTGGTGGTCAGATCATCCCCACTGCTCGTCGTGTCCTGTACGCCGCTACCATGCTGGCTGACCCCGGTCTCCTCGAGCCCATCTTCAACGTCGAGATCCAGGTTCCCGAGCAGGCTATGGGTGGTATCTACGGTGTCCTCACCCGCCGTCGTGGTCACGTCTACACTGAGGAGCAGCGCCCCGGTACTCCTCTGTTCAACGTCCGCGCTTACCTGCCCGTCAACGAGTCCTTCGGTTTCTCCGCCGATCTGCGCTCCGCCACCGGTGGTCAGGCCTTCCCCCAGTCCGTCTTCGATCACTGGGCTATTCTGTCTGGCGGTTCTCCTCTGGACCCCACCACCAAGCCCGGTCAGATCGTCACCGAGATGCGCAAGCGCAAGGGTCTCAAGGAGGTCGTTCCCGGCTACGACAACGTAAGTTTTTATTCTGATCAACAATCTTTATCTCAGTTGCTAACAATCTCTTCCAGTACTACGACAAGCTGTAAAAATGGTCACGGACAACCAGAATTGCGTCTCTGCCAGTCATTCGTGGAAACTTTTATGAGAATGATGAATTCAATACAATTTCTTCAGTTCAACAAAATTATAACCATCGTTCTATGTTACTTGCCTCGACTTTCGCCTTAGAAGGTTAACCTCGAGTTGGCGACTCTCGAGTGTTAACTTCTTCCTACTTTGCTTTTTGTTCCTTTGGATGATGTGCTTAATTTCTCGCTAAGTCTAGCTGCCAGTTTCGCTACGAAAATAAATTGGTTAGCTAGACAGATTTCCCGTAAAAATTCGAGTAGTGCAGCAATGCGAGTAAACCAGTAAATAAGCGCCTGAAGGACAGGAACGACCTTGGTCGGCAGCTGAAGCTCTCTTCGATGACATGTATCACGTGATGGTAACCGCACGCGTTTTCAAGTCCGCTTTGCGCCGCGACGTCTTCACATCGCCACTTTCCTCATGGCTGAGGGTATCTACAGACACTTTTGAACTGTATTTGGTGAAGCTCTGCGTGAAATTACGAATTGTCCGATTCATATCTGTCTAGGGTAATCTTTGCGCATAAAGATATCGCCCGAAACCCGACTTTGAACTCGAAGCCTTATATTCACCTCGCGTGAAATTTCACTCGAGGCAATTTGAATCTTACATTTTAGGATTTTCTAAAAAGGAACAAATCTATCAAAATGCAGTTTACTGACGAGGAAGCCACTGGAGTCAAGCAGTGGGTGGTGAAGAAACTTGAGGATATGTGAGAAACTTGATTCTTTGACAGTCAGAAAGCACCAACTAATGTTTGATCTACTTCTATAGCTCCGATGCCGACTCGGACGTTCTTGCAGACTATGTCCTGGCGCTAATCAGGTCTGACGCGCCAGATGACGAGATCAGAAACACTTCGGTGGAAAATCTGGAAGATTTCCTACGTGAGCGTACGTGCCATCTCTCGATCGTGGTGGACCTGCAGAACCAACTGACACCGTTCCAGATACCAAGCCATTCGTGGAAGATCTCTTCTCAACCTTTGCCCCCAAGGCGCCCGCCCCTCCTGAACCACAGCCTCAAATCCAGCAGCAGCAGACGTATACTGCACCCCAATCGCAAGCTCCAGCCAACGTCCCGACAGGCCCAAGAAACGAAAGCCCCGCAAACAGGAAACGGACATTTGGGGAGGGTTTCCAGGGTGAGGCAGAGCGCGATGATGGAATGATGCAGAACCGCGCGATGAAAACTCCCCGGCGTGGGGGGCGCGGAGGTGGTCGTGGAGACTTCATGGGCCGTGGCATGCAACCTGGACAGCAGTTCCCTCAGCAGCAACAGCAGCCTGGTGGATTCCCCATGATGCCGGGAATGCCAGGAATGCCGCAGTTTGACCCGAACGACCCCATGGCTGCCATGATGGCCATGCAGGGAATGGGATTCCCCCAGATGCCGGGAATGCCTGGTATGCCTGGTGCACCTGGCCAGCCTGGAGCTGAGCAGATGCCCAAAAGTAATGAGCGCTGTCCGATGTATGAGACACAGGGTATTTGTTACCTTGGGAACAACTGCTTCTACCAGCATGGCGATGGGGCAAAGGATGATGGTAAGCGACTCTCGATATGCCAGATGTGACTTGGCTAATTTGCTACAGAATATGACCCCAAAACTGCTGGCTACAACGGGCGAGGCGGTGGTCATTCTCGTGGCGACCGCGGCCGCGGCCGTGGTCGTGGTGCGTACGGTACACGGGGACGTGGTGGCCGATCCGATTTCTCGTCGGCAGGACCTAACGAGGATCAGTCGGTTACCACGATTGTGGTTGAGCAGATTCCCGAGGAGAAGTTCAATGAAGAATCTGTCCGCGAGTTCTTCTCTGAGTTCGGCAACATCACCGAGGTCTCATTGCAGCCGTACAAAAAGATCGCGTTGGTCAAGTACGACAGCTACCCCGAAGCCAAAGCCGCATGGTCGAGTCCTAAAGTCATTTTCGACAACCGTTTCGTGAAGGTTTACTGGTATAAACCAAGCCGGGAAGAAAACAACCACTTACAACCCGAGGCACCAGCATTCAACCCAGAAGAATTCGAAAAACAACAAATAGAAGCCCAGCGGGCCCACGAGGAGAAGATGAAAAAGCGACACGAGACCGAAGCAGCCAAACAAGCTCTCGAGCGTCAACGCGACGAGCTTCTCAAGAAACAGCAAGATGAGAGGGCGCGCCTCATGCAGCGTCTTGGAGCTTCCGCCGACACAAGCAACGACGGCAACGCCATGGATATGGGCAGCGAGCCTGCGGACGAGAACGTGAGCGACGAAACAAAGCAGTTGCGCGCTCAATTAGCCGCCCTGGAGGCTGAGGCTAAAAGTCTGGGTCTCGACCCTGAGGCTGATCCTGCCAGTGGAGGCCGCGGGGGTTATCGTGGTCGTGGCGGATATCGCGGCCGAGGCACATATCGCGGACGTGGTGGGTATGATCCTTCATTCCGTGGGGGATACCGCGGACGCGGCGGATTTGGAGCTCGCGGACGTGGCGGTGTCCTCCGTTTGGATAACCGACCTCGCCGTGTTGCTGTGTCAGGTGTTGAACTCAACTCTGACAAGGACGAGGCACTGCGCCAGCACTTGATGGTAAGTGATTACACATACTCTACCAATAGTCAGCCTATACTAACATCGTTCAGGGCATTGGTGAATACGAATCCATTGAGCCAAACCCAGACCAATCCAACTCGGTCGTGGTAGCCTTCAAAGAACGCTTCCAAGCCGAAAAACTCATGTTCTCCCCATGGAACATTCCTTCTGTCGGCGAGGTCCAGCTAACCTGGATGCCCAATCCCCCGATTGTTTTCCCTCCCGCTGGATCTGGGGAATCCAAGGGTCCCGGTGGATTCGATCACAACGAACCCGAAGACACACCAATGTCGTCCGCTCCACCGCCAAACGCTGCACCCCCACGGGACATGGATTACGACGTTGCCGAGGATGATAGCTGGGGCGCATAGTCAAAAATACTTGAATGATTCATGTTCAGTGTGAACTTTGCTCATATCTGATTTCTCCCATGTACTATCACGTGTGTGTATACACTGCATTTAGCTTTTTTTCTCTTTTGGATACGAGGCTTTCCGGATTCAATCAAGGTGATACACAAAGACTTGAAAATGTAGAATGTATGCAATGTCCAAATATGCGATCTCAAATGCTTTGCGGAATCAACTCCACCGTATACCCATCCTATGCACATCAGTGACCAAAACGTAGTAACCAGCCATATTATCCAATGCATTGAACTCACCGGATCAGAAACCATAGCAAACTTTTCGAAAAACCACGCATAGTTCTCATGAATCTCACCACGTCCTATTCCCCTCTCCGCCTCCCACTCCGAAAGCGGCACAGTCTCTCTAGAAGAAACACCGACATCCTTCAAAATCGTTACCCCAGCCTCTCGCAGCCTCGCCACCGCAGCCGGAACATCAGGCACTGTAAACCCAAGATGTGCGAAACCCAGGTGTGGGGGTGTATTCCCCGTCGATACACCTCCTCCGCCACTAGAAGCAGCACCAATATTCTCTTTTTCAGTTCCGTGGACATGATACAGTTCCAATAAGCCCGATGTGGCCGTCATATTTGGTATTTCGGCAGTCTTCTTCGCCCAGGTATCAAGCTGCTCGGCGGATTCAATATCAGGCGGTGGATGGCCTAGATAGTAGATTGTGAAGGGGCCCGCGTTCATAGTGAAGATTATACGCATTCCCAGGAGGGTGATGTAGAAGTTCAGGGAGACTGTTGGGTCTGTTATGCGGATTGCGAGGTGGTTTAGTTTGTAGGATGATGTGGTTGCGCTGGGAGGTGGATTTATGTTTGGAGATGGGTTGAAGTGGCCCACTTCCTGGGATGGGACTTGCGGGAGGGAGTTTAATGGCATATTTTACTTTTTGCTTGTTTGATTTGATTCCAAGGGGTAGTGAGTGAGCAGTTGAAGTGGTTGCTGTTGGGATGGGAGTGAGGGGTTGAGATGTGGGACTAGGGCTAGTTCTAGTTCTACTGGTAAACAATCATGTCCATTCCTCCACTATATGGCATCGTGACTCGACGGAATCCACTGCCCTCGGCATCGACATAATCAAACAGTTCTTGATACCGATCAGCCGCCATGACAGTATTATCAGCTATAATCACCGAGCCGGGGCGGAAATGTGGCTGGCACAGCTTCAGCGCGGGCAGAGCGAGGGGTGTCCAGACTGGGAGAGATGTCAGTATAGATATAGACATAACCCAACGGATATCGATTGATGTCTGTGCAAGAAAGAATACACCAGGGAAGGAGAGAAGAAACATACTATCAAGCAACAAGAAATCCACAACCCCAAGCTCCGAAGTAAGAGTTTCCCTCAAATCCCCAGTTCTCAGCTCAATAACCTCCTCAACTTCCGTTCCAGCCGCAGCCCAATGAGCCCGTGCAAAGGCAGCCTTGGACTCCTCTTTCTCCGTAGCAATAACCCTAGGCTTACCCTTGCCCTGCCCCGGAACGCCCGCCCGCTTGGCATTCTCAGCAACAGCCAGCGCGAGGTAGATAGTACTCACGCCGAAACTGGTACCCGCTTCGACGACATTGGTGGCGTTGATGCTGCGTAGGATGTGGTAGACCAGTTCGCACTTGTCCTGGTCTAGCGCGATAAACTTGTCACGCATGATGTTGTCGAATTCGGTTGTACATTGTGCCGGGAGGGATGGCCAGCTTAGGGTTGACTCCTGGGTGAGGGATTTGTTGTGTAGGTCTTTGAGGAGGGCGTGGACCTGGGGACTTGTGTGCAGAGCTGTGGGAGCCATTTTGGAGTGATATCTTGAATCTCGCGAGTTGAGGAGGGTGAGATGAAAAAGTAGGAATTGGCAAGGGTCGAGAGTTAGGGCTTTTATAGAGTCTCGTGTCCGCGGAGATATTCATCTGAGTCATCTGCAGCTCTACGCCCTGTGAGAGGGGAAATTATATTGCCGAACTCGGTTGGGTGGAATACCGAGGAGCATTTCAATAGTGGATATGATGAAGACCTGATTGAGTTGATCGACAAGTCTTTAGCAATCAATTAGCCCTCCTAACAAGTTACATCTTTCGCTCTCTTTGGGTGTTCCTTGCTTGACCCTTTTTGACTCATTTTCAAGTCCGTTGGAATATGATAAAAGTGTATAATACTCGTCTACTGCTCCAACAAATCTGCATAGCTATTCAAAGACCTCCCAATCAAAGCAACCATCTCCCAAATATAATCCGCCGTGAACAGTCGCGCCCATAGCCGGGTAACAGCCGCACTGAGCCGCGTATTTGTAGCGAGCAGCCATTCCCGCGACACACCATGCTGCACTTCCATCACCATCTCCAACACGAAATCCCTCAGCCTGGCTTCTTGTTCCGTCAAAGCTGGCTCTGGATGAGGCACTGTCACCGCTTCAAGCCACTTGGCGAGGAGAACGGCACACTCGAGGGAACACAATGCGTGTTGGTTTGACCAGAGTGCGACCTGAGAGTGGGCCACGAAGCCGATTCCTAGCTTGACGGGGGTGCTGAGGGCGTGGGCGCAGTGAAGTGCAGCGCGGGTGAGACGGTCGCCACGACGGACGGAGAGATTCTCGCGGAGACTGGTTGCAATTTGGACAGGGTCCCAGGTTTGCAGTTGGCGGGCTGATCCGCAGTCGGCGTTGAGGCGGATGTATGCTAGTCGGAGGAGGGCGGCTGATGTAAAGGAGAGAGGGCCGTGTGGGCTGAGTGGATCGATTGAGGACTCTTGATTACGCTCCCAGCATTGACACCAGCGTTCAAGTGCTTGTTCAACGGAGGCGAGCTCGGGCGTTGATGTGATGGAAGAGGGGTGAAAGCGGTTTCGTCGGGAGACGGGTAAGCGACCTGCTTTGGTCATGAGCCAGATGTCTTGCAGGATGGCGTGAATAAGCACGTAGCCACCCAGCGAGGAGAATTGCTCTGAGTCGCTATTTGGCTCAATGTCAAACAGGGTGCAGAGGGCATTCTGGAATTTTGGTTCGCCGGGGCTTTTCATGCGCTCATGATGCCAGAGGTCCTCGTGAGGAGCTTGCCATTCTTGTTCGGTACAGGGCAGCTCGATGGTGACCTCTTCGGTCAGTATTACAGGTGGAACATCAAAGACAATAGTGTGAATGTTGAAGAAACAGAAGACAATTAATCTCGTTCGCTTCACAGATTCCCGCCGAATCCAACTGTGCCAAGTCCCGTCATTCTCAGGGAGTCGGTTAAGTCCTCCATTTCGGAGGAGCATCTCCATTAAACTGCGGATCGACAATGCCTCGTGGTATGGAGGATTGTTAATAAACCATGCCGACACCGAGGTCAAGTACAACAGCGCCTGCAATGTTTCCAGCGTGTCAGTGTCATCGGCCAAATTGACAGGAGGCATTTTGCCACATTGGAAGACCCGTCGAACGTGCTCTAGTGTCACTGGTTTGGCGATCTGGTAGAGACGCATGCTAGTCTCCGGCTCACGGCAATAACGCGCGCCCAATGCCGCCATCGAGAGAAACAGCGGCAAGGTCATTGACTCTACATCGAGGGTTGGGATATGCACAATCGGATAGTGATCATGGAACCCCGTGAGATACCCAGTTAAGCACCGAGACAGCGCATGCCGGGATGGAAGAGATGGATCCGGCACAACATTAGCATAATCAGATAACATATTCATGAACTTTTCTCGACATTGCGCTGTAACGGGTACGAATCCCGTAGGCTGGCGCGCCTTGGGGGTCGTTTGATACCCTTCCGGCTGAAGCGAAGGCAATTGAGCTCCATGGCGAGGAAGAACTGAGCTAGAAGGAGTGGACGGAGTAGTTGCAGTCAAGGGCGCTCTGTCCGAAGACTGATCATAGTCCGGAACGGGAGAAAATGGCAGTGAGGGGAACAAGGGAAGAGGTTGGTAAGCCGGCGAGAATGGATGACTGGGCAGAGGCACACTGTCCAAAAAGGACGTAAAGTCATTCCCTTCATAGTGGCCAGACGCAAAGCCACCAATATAGCCAAAGTCCGGGCCTGCAATCTGCGGCCCCGCAATTGGGGGGCCTGCAGTTGGAGGGTTGGCCAGCTGCGCACTCATCAAGGGAGTGCGGTGTACAGCCGGTGATAGGCTAGAGAACTGGTCATTAGATCCTATGGAACGGCGCGAGTGTGCATGATCGGTGACCACAGACGCCAAGGTATCCAACCCGTCCAGGATAGGATGCGCGGGGGACGGCGTTGTTGGACCCCGACTTGGAGTGCCCTCCGCATGGGAAAGACGCTCATGGCGAGCTAACAAGTCTCTGGAAGCTTGTCAATCGAGTGCTCCCCGTATGACCGGGGTGGATCTATCATACTTGCGCGTAAAAGCCTTGGGGCACTGGACACAGGTAAAGGGTTTCTCTTTGGTGTCTGTGGGGTATCAGATGCCGGTCTCTCATTCGAGCACAGAGACTTACGTGAGCGATCATGACGTTGCAGATGTTCAAGACGAGCAAAGGCCCGCGGGCATCGCTGACATTGGTAGGGTTTGCTACTCAACATGGGAGAATGTCGGAGATTCGAGTCTGGTGGTTCAGGTGTTTTCGGGGATTTGACGTTTCTACTCCGGAATATCTTTGCCGCCATACTCTAATTCTACACCAAGCCATCTTTGGGTCTATACACCCCGTCATGACTTGGTTTGTCAGGGAGGAACTTTGAATTTGGAATCTTGCACATTGGGGTTTGATCCAATTATTTGAAAGCGCCTGGCAGATCGGAATTATTAATCGCATACTGCTCTGGCTTCTGCAATCGGCAAATGGAGTGAGATTCCCCAATTTCCCCAATTCGGGGCTCGGTGACTCAGCATTTGCCTCCGAGAGTATAGCCGATCTATGAAGGTCGCTTAGAAGGCCGAGAAAGAGTTTTTCAAAGCGAGTGACTGTACGATAGATCTTGATATTCTCATAACAATGTGGACTGGATTCGAATTTAAGCTGAATTCTCTGCCAGTCTAAAAAAGATGGAATATCGCGAGTGACTAGCCAAATCGGCCTACTGCATATTACCTGTTATCGGTTTGGGGATCGCAGACCACTCCGGCTTCTCAATCTCCAATTTCCCCAACTCTTTTTTGACCCACGCCCTTCAGGCCCTTCAGGCCCTTCAGCTTGGGTCTCTTATAAAAAAAGCCTCCCTTCCAAGCTTCTTTATGCGTCAAAGCTCAAATCAACAGCCTCAATCCAGATGACTTCAGACACATCGGGCTCGCTGAAAGAGCCTGCCATGGAGAAGCGCGAGGGAACCCCCTCTCTCACTGACTCACAAGAGATCGAATTCCGATATCTAGAGCTGGAAACGCCTTTGCCTACGCCATATATCACGTTGCCTCCTGGTCCCAGCCAGTCGCCAGCACCTGACGCGCCCAGTCTGGAGAAATATATATCGCCGTTCTTATGGCCAAAATGGCGCAAATCAATGATGACTTATATTGCATGCGCAGTGACTGCTCTCGCTGGTTATGCTGCTGGCGAGGTGAGTCCGGCGTCGGAGGAACTGACGGTGGAGTGGGGAATTAGTGCTGTCGTGTATAACCTCAGTATTACCATTTTCTGTGTTGGCTTTGCGCTTGCGCCGATGCTACTCGCCCCGTTCAGTGAATTAAATGGCCGGCGGCCGATTTTCATTGCGAGTGGTATTCTTTTTGTTGGTATGTTTGGGAGCAGATTCTTTCTCCAAATGTCATCGCTATATATACTAACGAAGATATGCTAGCCTCTCTCTGTGGTTGTGGAGGAACAAACTCCTTCGCCGGATTGTGTGTTGCTCGTTTCTTCCAAGGTGTGGGTGGCTGTGAGTATATATACCAACCTCTCATGGACCTCCAGATATTGATTCATTCCCAGCAACTTTCTCGACAATGGTTGGCGGTGTCATTAGCGACATTTATCACGCCCACGACCGCAACACGGCAATGGCTCTCTTCTCAGGATCAGCTCTCTTCGGAACAGGTCTTGCACCACTGATCTCCGGTGTCATCGTCAGCCACACCACCTGGCGTTGGGTCTACTTTTCGCATGCAATCGTAGCGGCAGTCTTCGTCGTGATCATCTACTTCTTTTTCAAAGAAACCCGCGGCAGCGTCTTACTCAGCCGAAAAGCCAATGCCCTGAACAAGTACTATGAAAAACTCGAAGAAGCAGGCCACTACGGCGTCATCTTCTCCGACGAAGAGTCCTCCGGCGAAAAGTGCATGCGCCGAATCCGATGGAAGGTCAAGAGCGACGAGCAACGCGCTTCAATTCTAAGCATGATCCAGATCTCACTCTATCGACCATTCCGTACGTCAACGCCAATTCCAATCCCCATCCCACCTATGATCACTAACATCTTTTCCAGACATGCTCGTAACAGAACCAGTCGTCTTCTTTTTCTCCCTCTGGGTCTCCTTCAGCTGGGCAGTCCTCTACCTCCAATTCAGCTCAGTGCCCCTCATCTTCCGCACAAACCACAACTTCACAACCGAGCAAACAGGCGCTGTCTTTACTTCCATGTGCGTCGGCGTGATAATCATCACCATCATCAGTATCTACCAAGAGCGCGTCGCCAAGGCATTTGGTCTGCATTCCACCGCTGCAGAGGGTCGACTGTACTTTGTCTGCGTCGAGTCCATCTTACTGCCTATTGGACTGTTCTGGTTTGGTTGGACTTCTTTCCCGTCTGTGCCGTGGATTGTTCCGGCCTTGGCGGTTGGATGCGCTACTATGGGCATTTTCTCGATCTATTTGGCTACCTTTAATTATCTTGCTGATACCTATCACCGGTATGCCAGCTCGGCGATCGCGGCGCAGTCTTGTTGTAAGTTCTTTGAATGGGCTAGTGATCTAGTTGAGTGATTAACTGACTATTGTTGCAGGCCGGAACTTGCTTGGTGGTGTTTTCCCTCTGGTTACGAATGCCATGTTCAACAATCTTGGATACCCCGAGGCATCCAGTTTGCTGGGGGCTCTTGTAAGTCTATTCTAGTTGATATTTGAGAGACAATTGACTGATTCGTGGGTAGGGCGCTGTTCTCACTCTCGTTCCATGGGTGTTGGCCTTTTATGGACCTCAGATTCGAGCCCGGAGTAAGCTCGCAAGTGTAAGTTTCCTATTCTCCCTTTCCATCTGCTCTACTGACGAGAACACAGGAACTTGCGCATTGAGGTGGCGATACCACCGCACACCGCACACCGCACACCACACACCAAAAAATATAGACATAGATTTACATTAATTCATAGAGTACCCTACGAGGTACACCACCTAGAAGCACATAGATTCAATTGAATGCATATTATAATTGACGCAGACCAACAAATGGCCCAGTCCAAATTTCCAATCCAGCCAATCCATCCAGCCTGTCGTATCAAAAGGCGGCCACCCGTGATTCCGCATGATAGCATGAGGATGCACTATGCAATATGCAAAAAAAAAAGCCAAGCCAAAATAACGTATGCAACCTGGTTCTAAGTGACCATTTTGAGCATCCGCCAGAGAGAGAAGCCAATTAATGCATTTCAATTACCTCTGACGTCCTTGATGTCCTCTGAAAGGATGCGCGCCACTAATAGCTGGCCGGTAAGACGCATAGCGACCCTCGTCCTCGCTGTCGCTGTCCATTTGGTCCAGGAGGCGATCGATGTCGTCACCGGCATGGGCTTCCAGTGCCTGTTTTGTTTCGTATCCGCGAGTGCTGTGAGAGCTGGAGCTTTGCGAGTCTTGACTTCCGTTGTGATTTGTGCCGTTTGTGTTGATTGATTCGTTTAGACTGTTTTGTGTGCTTGCCGGTTGCAAGGGCCGGGGACTGAAGCGGTATCCCGAGTTCTCAGGACTGGACATGAACATGAGGGTTTCGATGGCGTCTTGTTCCATTGAGGTATTTTCGGAATTTGTGCGAGGTCGATAGAATCCGTTGGGAGTGGAAGTTGGTGGGTGTGTGGTTGATGAGAGAGATGGTGTTCCAGGGCCCAGTACTGGACGACTGAGTCCGTTCTCCTGGTGTGAGTGGTGCCGTCGGTGACGACTGACGGGGCTGTGATTAGGTTTTGAGATTGCATTAGGATTTGGTCGACGGCGTCGTGTGTCGCTATTAGATGGGATGATATCGACAGGAGGCGCTAATTTAGGAATTGATAGGAGGTGAGGAGATGAGAATGCTGATTGTGAGCGGTTATGACTCGGGAAACGAATGGAGTTTCCAGTGGAGGAGCCGGAGCTTTGATGTACTAGAGAGGGTCGATTTATCTCTGGCGCTGACGCTATATCACTTGGTGCATTGCTCAGCGGTGATGCGCTGTGATATGTGCGGAGGGTAGGGTGAGGCCCAGCCTCAAGCGAAAGTCGGGCTTTCTCTTTTTCTTTCTCTACCTTTGCAGCCGCGTATGACAGACGCGTACGAATATGGACCGATAGCTGGGTAACGTGTATGAGCTTTATGTATGTGGATGAGACTGAGAGAATCAAATACCTGTGCAATCCTATTTCCATACACCGACGAGCCAGTGCTTTTTGAACGTCGCCGCGCAGCTCCATTCACATCGCTGTGGGTCATGGGTGTATCTAAGGAGACAGGCTTGATATCCCCGGTTGCTGTTCTTTTCTGCGATGGAGCCAGCTCATCATAGTTCGACTTTGTGCGCGAATGCTTCGGCGGAAACACGGGTGATCCAGTGCCCGCCTTTATTGTCGGCAATGACGGCTGCCATTTTTCTGCAGCAGCCCCATTTACCGGCTGGATCGCCGTTGCCGATTGTGAAGACCTTTGCTCATTTGGTGGGACTGAACCATGTTCATTCGAGGTGTGGGAGCCGAAGTCTGGAAACCGGCTTGTATCATTGGAGGATGGAAGACTGGACAGAGAATCTGTAAGGGTACTAGCGGAGTAATAATCAGGTCGTCGACCCTCCGAAGTATCACTACCACGCTCTGATTCGATATAGGCTGGGGTCGAGTTGCCATCGCCGTGAGCGACAGCAGCGGCGCTCAAGCCATCTACACGTAGTGACAATGGCGCTCTCTGATTCTCGACAGTTGCAGTCGGTGTCGCGTGATTGACGGGGGTGTTTGCACTGTTCTTCGCATGCGCCCCGCGACTCGGAGTATCGCGACCGTCCATTGTCACGAGGGAAAGGGATTAAAAGGTGGATATGGGATACTGCACGCGACCTAGCTTAGTCGCCAGTTGATGCGGCCGCTTTCATTAGCTGTCTAGTCACCACATCGATACTGGGAATATTGAGAGACTAGGATGTCCTGAGACACAGTCGGGATCTCAACACGCGCGGGTGGTGACGCTGGAACTAGGAGCATCTGCCCGATCGAGTGGCGATCGACTAGCACGCGCAAGGATTCAGCGCGAGGGAAGTCTCCAATCTGGATCAACAGGGAGGAATTGGACGGGGACAAGGGCTTTGAAAGAACAATTAAAGAAGCGCCACCGTCTGCTAGCGAACTGGGGGGAGAGACGGCGTGGCTTTCCATCGGCGACGCGTGCGAGGCGCGGTCACGTGGTGGCTTGTCGATGCGACTAGACTCTTTTCAGTCTGCTTTGGGGGACGAGCAAGGGTCGGCGAAGTGTATGGAATTGTGTCTACAGGACGTATGTGGTTATTTCCCATGGGAATGCGCGTGCAGGGTTCAGACTCTGGATGTGTTCATGGTTGTCTATACTTCCGTATCCACATGGACTGCTTACAGCCTACAACTACACGTTCTAAAGGCTATAGAGACTGAACACCACACAAGTCCAGGAAAAGAAAGAATAAATTTCAAAATTTAACAAATGAGAGCCACGGAAATGAACTCCGAAGCAATGACTCAACACCATGATCAGCGATGCATTAATAGTCAAACAGAAATCAAAAAGGCACCAAATGCCAAACGAAAGTTAGCAAAAGAAAAGCAAATATAAACCGGGGAATCATAAACCCAGCAAATGACAAAAGACAAGACAAAAGAAAGACAAAGAAATGAAAAGGAACAGAAACAAAAGACAAAACTGGACCCGATCTATACAGACCGAGCCCACCACCACGAAGGAACCCTAAGTATACCCCATGACCGCAGTAGTCTTCTGGAGGTAACTAGGGCTCAGATCCGCAGTGATGCGATCCACCTCCGAAACCTCCTCAACGTGGTGATTAGCCACATGAGCCGACGGTGGCTTAGCTACAGAGAGTCAGCCAGGATCTCGCAGAAATAGGACAGTCAAGACTCTTAACTTACCGATAACCGTGGAGGTCTTCGACGGCTTCCACGTCATTTTCTCCCCCAGATCCTCCAAGTTCTCCTTGCAGGTTTGGAGCTTGGGCATGATCCTCTCCTTGTGACGCGCAAACCTGTAGACTAGTCAGTTTCCTCGTCTTGTGTAAACTGACTGAACAGGTGATTCAACTGAAATACTCACTTCAACACAAGAATGAGAATTACAAACATTCCCAACGCCCAACCGGCAATATACCAGCCGAGGAATTCTTCCCTCTCTGGATCATCCCAGTTCTCCCGAGAGCGGACGAACAGGGACATGTTCATGGGGGTCATGGTAGTGGGCGCCATGTCTGTGTGATGATTGATGGGTATTTTTGTGAATGAAGTGGATGAAAAGTGGCGATGAAGTGAGATGTATGCGTGCGAGAGATGTGAAGGAAGAAGAAAAGCAACAGCAGAACGAGGGCAGCGAGCTGGGCTAATATAGGTCTACATGAGTCAAAATGAAGTCCACGATGAAGGAAGAGTGAAGTAAACGTGAAGTTGTATAGATGTTAAATTCTGGCCTATTTAGGGCTAGTCGATTTCGGTATCCATGGGAGAGGCCATTGGACGCAAGTATTGTCTATGGACCCCATGGGGAAACGGGGAATAGTTCGATTGTAGGTTTGTGGACGACTTTGACTTTGAAGTCTGCTGCGAGAACCGTGTTTACTATGTGACTCAGATATACCCCCGGGAAATAAAGGCTACAAAGCGGCAAATCACTTGTAGAAAAGACTGATGAATAGTTGTCATATGAAAGATTCAATATACGTAGGTACATAGGTAATTTTTGGTGCCCAACGCCATCGATGCAAAGAAAGACCCCGGTAGAACAAATATGTCCAAAAAGGAATAGATCACTTGCGCTTCTTGAAGCGGCCACCACCGCCTTCCTCGTCGGGGTTCTTGCGCTTCTTGCCCTCCTTGCGCCAGTAATCATTGCGCTCTCTCTTCTCACGTTCAGCCTTCTTCTCCAGACCGTCAGCAACCTTCTTCCGGTAGACCTTGCGGCGCTCTTCCTGCTTGGCGGAACGTTTGGCCTGTTTCTCGTTACGCATGGTGGTGAGCTTCTGCATGAGATCGCGGGCCTTCTTCTCCTCGCCTCCAAGGACGACGGCACGCTTCTGCATGTATGTCTGGTCCTTGCGGGGCTTCATCTTGGTGATCTGAGACTTGAAGGGAAGCTCGGCAGCCAGCTGCTTGGGAACGCGGAGTGGGTTGAAGTGACGGGCTTGACGCTCGACGGGGCGGTAGGCAGAGTCCTTGATCTGGGGTGTGGCAATACCCTGAGCGTGACGGACCTCACCGGTCAAACGCATACCCTGCCATCCGCTGTCACCCTTTTCGCCCTCAACCTGGTCGAGCAGGTTGGTCACGGGGTTGTAGAAGCGGTGAGGCTTGATGGGGTACCAGGCACGTAGGAAGGCGATATCACTCATCAAGATCTTGTCCTCGAAAGTAGCACGGAAGCAACCATCGGGCTTGGCAAGCGCACGCTTGATTTGACCACGGATACCAGAGACTGTCTTGATAGAGGCGCCCTCGAACTTGGCAATTTCGAGAGAAGAGTTGAACATATCCTTGATGAAGGCGGTGTTCTTGAAGATCTTGTAAGGGTGACCAGTGAGCTTGAGCTTCTTGACAATTTCCGTGTGCTCGTCGACACTCTCAACGACACCGGTCGCAGCAATACGGAAACCGGGGTTCTTGTTAGAGAACGAGTTCACGCAGCAGAAACCAGTGTTGGGTGCGACAAGAGGACCGTAAAAGGTAGCGAAACAATGCATATGCTCAGGAGTATACTTGAGCATACGGTTTCTGGTTCGACTGTCGGTGGTACAGTAGATAGGCATGGTCTGGAATCGTCGCCAACCAAGCGAGAAGATCAATGGATCGTTACTCTTCAGAATCTTCTTGTGCCAACGGTGTCTCTTGATACGAATGCGCACGTAACCGAAACGATCCTCGGTAGGAGAAAGACCACCAACAATGACAGGGAAACGAGGGTTGAACTTGGAGACGAACTCGTAGGGAACGTTCTCGAGGACAATGCGGGCGTAGGTACCGGCTTTATAACCTTCGGCACGGGCACGGGAGGCTGGGTCGAGGTTGTCGAATTCGGCGCGGTTGATATCGGTCTGCTTTTGCATCTTCGCCTTCTGCAGATCATACCAATCGTCTTCACCAAACTCGCCTTCGAGTCCATCACGCGTCCCGTCCTTGGCGTTCCCGAAACCTTCACGATCTTCTTCTTCGAAGCGAAGCTTGAGCTCCTCCTTTTTCTTGGCATTTCGTTCACGCTCGGCCTCGAGATCCTCTGGCTCCTTGGACTCATCCTCACCCTCTTCATCGTCTTCATCTTCGTCACCTTCCTCATCATCATCCTTGATGCCGTTGAAGACTTCACCGGATTCCAAGTCCTCGTAGTCGCCATCACCCTCATCTTCATCATCCTCGTCGAGGTCATCATCCATGTCCTCGTCATCATCTGAGCCGCCACCGCCCAGCTTACCGGTAACGAAGCGAGATCTGATAGATTCAAGCAACTCCTCGTCACGCCACTTTCGCTCCAGTTCATCGTAGTCGTACTCGGGGACGGCACGGAAGTCGGCTTGGTCCTTCTTCTCGTTGTGTGTCTTCTTGAAGAATTCGTCGCCCTCGTCGTCAGCGGTTCCATCTTCTTCTTCGTCCTCGTCGTCAGAGTCCTCGCCGCGCCATTGCCTAACGACATCGGCCGGAGAAATTGAAGTGTCGTACATCATTCGTGACAAATCGGTGACTCGGAACGGAGGGCGCTTTCCGTGGAGAGCTTTGGCGTTGGCAAGCATGTTGTCCTTCCAACGTACATTGCCCTCTTCATCTTCCTCGTCTTCCTCATCATCCTCATCCTGTTCATCCCCATTCTCCTCGTCGTCTTCATCTTCATCTTCATCTTCATCTTCATCTTCATCGCCGCTCTCAAGTTCCTGGTCTTCGACGGAAGAGATGGAGCCAAGGTCAGAGTCACTGTCAGCGAAGGCCAGATCTTCCTCCTCGTCAGTCTTTCCAGCCTTGCCGTTTTGCTTGGCCTTGAAGCGAGCCTCAAAGTCGTCCGGTGCAGACATATCGAGTTCGCCTTCGTCATCGTCGTCGCTCTCGTCCCCATCGAACTCCGGGCTTTCCTCTTCGCTGTCGGAACCATCGTTTCCTTCAAGCTCTTGGTCGTCATGTTCAATTTCAGCGATGCGAGCGCGGCGTTGACCCTTGCGACCAGTCTCATCATCATCCGCTTGAGCGATAGCCTCGCCACCACGGAACAGACGAACACCCTGATCACCCTCACCAAGCATCTTGCGCTCACCCTGAAGGTTAACGACAAGCTGCTCACCAAGACCACGGCGCTCTTCGTCGTCCGTATCTTCGTCCGAATCATGGTCGAAAGTGTTGGTCTTAACATCGATGTAGACAGCATCCTTGTCAACCAAGACACCACCGACATCGGACATCGGAGCGAAAAGCAGTTTGGACTTCTCGCCCAGCTTACGGGCTTTTGACTTTCCTGTCACCTTGGCGATCTGCTGGTCCATGAAAGGGGTTGGGCACGGATCTGGCAAGCCTTCAATTCCGCTCACGGTCAAATCACCAACACCAGGAACGTGAACTCGAGCACCATGGGCTGGGAAGTTTGTACCACGGAGATAACCGTAGAGAGCGACAGTACGGTCACACTTGGGGTTCGCCTCGATCTGGGTAGGCGGCGTGATATCCAAGAAGCGATCGGCGAGTGAGTACGGATGGGAGTTGCGCCAGATGATCGGACGGGGGTTTTTCATGACCGACAAGAATCGGGACAAGTTGTGCACCTCACGATCGGGGTAACGGCCGTTGATAACTCCGGACAAGTAGAACAACTTAGCGCCGGAGTAAAGCTCGCTCCAAAAACGGTGCTTCAGGCGCTTCTTGGCATCTTTGAGAGTGCTCTGCTTCTTGAATTGATCAAGATGAGTAAGAATACCGAAGACGTTACCGGGCATACCGGCTGTGGAGAGGGCGTTCAAGAACTCCATGGTTTCCATCTCGAAGCCAAAGTTTCCGTCGATCATGAGCAAGACGATATCTGCGATCTTGGAGACATCGATGGCAGCCGCGAGGGAGTCGGAGGGGCATTCGAGGAAAGTGATACGCTTGCGCTTGGTCGTGACAACGGTCAATGGTCCTTGAGGCGAGCTGAGGGTTTGCTTGGTGTAGCGGCGGATCAGAGATTTAAGCAAAGTGGTCTTGCCAACTCCCGGGGGTCCAACGATAGCGACGATAGTAGGAGGTGCCTCCTCAGGCATGCGATCCACAAGGGGGACATGAAGTCTCTTTTCCTTGACCTAGAAGAAAAGTCCGGTTAGCTTCGACTGGCCGATAAAATTTTTCGTGTACGTACATCGTGTGATCGGGCAGCCTGCTTGTTAAGCTTGCCAGGCCTGGATGTGACAAAGGCCTTTGGATTGGCTCCTATACAAGCGAAAAATCAATTAGTATAGGTTCCAGTCGGAGATTCGCAGCTTTCAGATCGGAGCGCTCGTACCTTCATACTTCTTCTTCTCCTTCGCAGGCCGATGGGACCTGTTCGACTGTTGCTCCATGCTGACAGTATTGAGGTGTAATACCTCACAGCTCCTCTGATATCAGAGAAAATTGAAGGCAAGAGCAGTCGACGTAAAGTGAGCCGTCAACCGCTTGGCCCAAAATTATTTTGTCGGAACGGAAATACTTGGACCCCGGCACGGAGAAAAGTGTCTTGATAAGGTTTAGCGCCATTATACAGCCTGAGGCATCCATACAGCCTGAGGCATCCAGTTGGCTCAAAGGAGATTAGCGTTCTCCGGGCCGGTGCTAACGATAGATAAAAGATAAGCCCATCTCCAATTTCTCCTCATCGGGCCGAGGGACGCCTTCCTCCACAAGATCAGCTAACTATTCCCTTGACTCAATGGCACTCGTCCAAATGGAGAAATTCAATCTATGGTTATACTTTCCCGTCTTGGTTAGTCCTATCTCTGTGGACTTTGGCATATCGCAAACCCCCGCTTTTGTATCTATATCTACCGTAGATCGTCCAAGATTACACGACTCCTTCGTCAATCCTCGTATGACATTCTGCCTATAACCCGGACCAACTGCATAATGTCTCGCAGACCACCTCCAGCGTACACAGCACCACCTGATTCGGGCGTGCATGCAACATCGCAGCTCTACCGCTCAATCTCCGAAACCGCCTCTACCCCATCTGCGCGTATTCCGAAGGAATCTTTCACTATCAGACCCTGTTCTGGTCAAGCGTGGATTGTCCCCGCCGGCCACTTATGCCGCCTGACTACACCCAAGGGACCACAGGTAGGCGATTTGAACATTTGGAATGCGAACAACCCCCGAGAACGGATGTGGGCGGCACGGACTCGCCAAATCCATGCCTCCCACGTCTCGGTGGGTGATCGGCTATGGTCGAACTTGCCCTATCTACGACCCCTCGTGACAATCACCGGTGACTCGCTGGGTGGCGGACAACTGCATGATGTGCTTGGGCCCGATGGAAAGAGAAAGCCAGAGGTGGTGTTTGGAAGTACACAGTTTGGAGGACGCGTGCATGACTTGATGGGTACTCGCTGTGATCCCTACGTCAATTTACTTATGGGTGGGGAGACCTTTGACTTCCACTGTCACTCGAACTTGACTCGGTCCGTGGTTCCTTATGGGTTGACTGAATTGGATGTTCACGATGTCTTGAATGTGTTCCAGGTGACTGGACTGGATGAGGAGGGCAAGTACTTTATGGAGACATCCCCTGCACAGGCGGGCGAATACTTCGAGTTCTTTGCCGAGATGGATGTTCTCTGTGCGCTGTCTGCGTGCCCCGGTGGTATGTTGCTGTTCCTTTTACGATGTTTGCCTTGCTAATTGTGTCAGGTGATCTTTCGAACTGGGGGTGGGATAATAAAGAGGGTGATATGGGAGCCACTTGTCGCCCGTTGGGGGTGGAGGTTTACCAATTGGCTGATACCCAGGTACTGGATGGGTGGAAGGCTCCCGAGTGCCCCAAATACCAGGGTATGCATGGGATGACCATGCCCACTCGCGAAGACGATGGATATGCTGGAGTGTAACAAGCTCCGAGACCAGCGCAGATAGCAAAATGCAAGTATGTTATGCAGCACACGTGACTGCCCCGCGCTCGTCATCGGCAGAGGTCATTGCCGTTACATCGATGATCGGACATCAAAATCCCCTTGCAGGGGAAATGCAGCTGAGTTCCTGCTTCAGCCACCGATGCCACAGCCATGTCAGACTGACTGGTACTGGGTAAGATGCTGGGTAAAACCAGGTAAGACTAGGTCACTCTGTAGGGTAAGATGCGAAGAGAAACATGTCAGATGTAAGGGAAACGAAGGTGCCTACCCTGCTGGGTAGAGTTGACCAGGTGTTCCTCAAAAAGGGACACTCCCCGCCCGTCTATAAGACCTCACCTTTCCCCTCCCCCACTTCCCTCCTTCACACCTCTCCCAAATCCTTCAACATGCCTGTCTTCAATGTGAGTGTCTGGTTTTGGAAGCTTGGTATAAGCTCTATACTGATCTTGAAACTCGCAGGTCACCCTCAAAGCTGATGCCCCTCCGGAGGAACTCCAAAAGTATGTGGCCTATCCCCTCTCTTTGATGCAAGACTGCTAACACACCGTTTGAAGGGCAAAGGAGACTGCCCAGGAAAAGGGCGGCGTCATCCAACACGAATACAGCCTGATCAAGGGATTCACGTGAGTATTGAGGCTCTGTCATCTGCGCCTCAACTGCGCATTGTTCCCTGTCATGCTAATCACAGCTACAGGGTCGCATTCCCCGATGACCACGTGGATACACTCGAGTCGACCGAACACATCCACGTCGAGCAAGATGGTGCTGTCAATGCCAACTAGTTCTCCGGTTACCATGCGACAAGCTCCCCACGGGCTCAAGAGCTTGGACTACCCCGGAGACGATCTGCCCTACGACGACTGATGGAATGAACGGAAGTGCGAGAGCTGGATACCCACGGATGCTTTTTATTCTTTTTTGTTTTTCTTTTCCTTCAGCGAGATGACATGATACCAACACACCACCGGCTCCACGATGCCAGGTACTTCTGATTAGCCAGCTTTTCAATGAGACAAATAGGCAACCATGGATATGGAGCCAAATTCATATGATCTCTTGTAATTGTAATCAGAATAGCAATTCAACACGTAGAATGTGTAAGTTATCACTCATATTGCGAGCTTCATGCACCTTGGCCAGTTATCGTCATGCCGATCTCAACAATTATCGACCGACGATACCCGGTCTACCGTCACCGCCTCACTCGTTATCTCCCACCTTTCTCCCCTCAACCACCAAGCAATGGCAACACCAAAAGCCATGTTGTCTAGATCTCGTAGTCGGGCTACACCGGTTACGCGGATCTTTGTGCGCCAATCTTCCACATCACAAGGTCAAAATTGGGCCGGTCGTCCATTCGATGTCGCCAAAGACAACGTTGCGCAACTGGCGGCCAGTCCTCGCCGGGCTTTGACACTGGCAGATTTACTCAAGTGAGCTGCGTACATTCAAATCATGAGATATGAGTACTAATTTTACCCCAATGTAGACACGGACGTCCCCCTCTGTCCAAAGACGCACTTTTAGCCTCGGCCAACTTCACTCTCTCGCTGCTGCCCGCCCGTCTGGCATCTCGAATCCAAGCCCTGCGAAATCTCCCTTATATTGTGGTTTCAAACCCCCACGTCTCCAAAATTTACCATAATTACCTCCACTCGCTGTCGACTCTCATACCCTACCAGCAGCGCCGAATCACGACACTCGAAGAGGAAAACCAGTTTGGAGATGTGCTTGCAGACCTCGTACAGACACACACAAACACAATCCCAGTTCTCGCACGTGGTTTCCTAGAGTGCAGGAAGTACGTCAGCCCAGCCGATGTCACGCGCTTTCTGGACACGCATCTGCGCGCTCGTATCGGCACGCGTTTGATTGCCGAGCAACATCTGGCTCTTCACTATGCCTCTCAGCCTGTCGGCGATACGCCCTCTGGGACAACGGCCGGGTCAACAAACCAGAGCAAGATCCCATCAAATTACATTGGAGTCATTGATACAGCGTTGCAGCCAGCAAACATCATTCGGCTGTGTGAAGACTTTGTCGGAGAAATCTGCGAGTTGAAGTATGGCGTGCGACCGACGTTGAAAATCGGAGGCCAACCCGAGGCTGCGTTTGCTCACATCCCCGTGCACATCGAGTACATCATCACGGAGTTACTGAAGAACGCGTTCCGGGCAACTATCGAGAACGGGAATGAGCGGGAGCCTATCGAAGTGACTATTGCGGCTGCCCCAGATGTCCCTGGAAATGAGCGCCCAGTCCAAGGCGATACCGATATTGGATTTGAATTTGATGCGGAGAGTGAACGAGGGAGCTCACCTGAGCCCACTGGGAACTGGAACCCGTCTTCTCAGAGCATCACAATTCGCATCCGTGATCGTGGTGGCGGTATCCCACCTGAAGTTCTGCCTCATATCTGGTCGTATAGCTTTACGACGTTCTCGGATATGGATTTTCAGTCCTCGGATAATGGCATGGATGCTTTGAATACTATTTCTGCTAACAGTGGGCACCTCAGCAGTATTGCCGGCCTTGGTTATGGATTGCCCTTGAGCCGAGCTTACGCGGAATATTTCGGTGGCAGCATCGCCGTGCAGAGTCTTTGGGGATGGGGCACAGATGTCTATTTGACACTGCAGGGAGTTGGCAGAATCGATTAAGCATAGAAATAATCATTGATGCTGATGGCTCTGGTGGCCATAGTGACCCGGCTCAAGTCTGTCTGATCTACAGTCTCGCTTTTCCCCTCTGAACAAACAGATCCACAAAGTCTGAGACTGGCATATCTGGCTTTTGAACTGCACCCAATATGCGACCGATCTCTGTTGCCAAGAACATCTGACCCATGATCTGGAAGAACTTTTTCTGTACCGCTGCTGGTGTTTGAGGGTGCTTTGCATGTCCCAGGGGGTACTCGATTAAGATTTCGGGCATGGAGGAGCCATCCACAAGATGAACTATCATTCCTGCGCCAATGCTCTTCTTGTCCAGATTGAAGTAATCCTGTGTGAGTTCTAGGTCAGCACGCACCACGGTCTTCTCTCGCAGCGATTTCAACTCTTCGCTGGTTGCCCAGGGGCTTTTGTCCAAGAAGTCTGCAGCCTCTGGCTGTTCTTGCTTCAAGAAAGCCAAGGCGACAACATACTGAATGCAATGGTCACGGTCAGCAGCATTGTGCAGCGTACCCTTTTTGTTCACAATCAAATCCGCGGCAGCAGTCGTTCTAAGATCGATTCGTTTGATCTGTCCAAGAGGATCAGCCAGGCCTTGCTGTCGAAACCGCCGGCCGTTCAAGATAGACGCTTCTACTGCTGAGATCGCATGTCCTTCGACGGGCATAACCTTAAACAAAATATTCTTTACCGTCCAAGAACCAAATGGTCGCGGGAACTTGAAGCCGGTTTCGCCGAAAGTCCGCTCCCAAAATCCCCACGGCTTCGCACTCAAGGCTTCCGGTGACCCAGGCTGACCTCGTTCAACAATCAAAGCCAACTGCACGGCCCTTCTCGCCGCATCGCCAGCCGCCCAACCTTTTCTCAAGATAGTATTAGCACCAGATCGGTACACCCGGCTCGGATGACCATCCATCCAAACATTCGAAATGGTCGCCATGGCTTGCTCTTGACTTAATCCAAGCAACCAAGAAACAACGGCAGCTGATGCCAGTTTAACCAGTACAACATGGTCAATCCCATAGGCATTGAAAGCGTTCTGCATTTGATAACACCCTTGTACCTCATACGCCTTGACCAGTGCAATTAAGAGTGTTTGCATAGTCAACGGCGGGCCTTTATGAACCCTCCGCCCAGAAGCAGATGAACGAGACAACCAATCCATAAGTGGAAGTATGGCGCCGATATTATCTGCAATTCATGCTGTTAGCGCTGAATTATAGCCACATATCCCAACTGAAACCAACCACTTAGTCTCAATTTCTCACTCTGATCACGTATAAACTATCGGGTTCAATAAGAGTAACAGAATGTGATCTTACCAGAAGGATGTCCCCACTCAACACCCCCCAAAGCATCATTATAATCCAAATACCGTATCAAAACGCCCAACCCAAAAGCCCCAGCTAGAGGATCAACCACGAGCTTCGTCCCCGGCATGGGAAACCCATCCGGAACAGCTGTATCAACGACAGGAGCAATCAGTTGAATAGCGTCGGAGCTCGTCATCGCTGTTGAGATTGCGCAGGCCATCGTGTCTAGGAGGGCTGTTCTTGCTGCAGTCCATATTGCTTCGTCGGTTTCGTCTAGCTGGTGGTTGTAGATGTAGTTGACAAGCTCGATTATGGGTTTATCGTAAGAAATTTGGGTGTTATGAGTTGGCATTATGGAATCGGTTTAAGTATTGGATTGGGAATTGAGAGATGAATGGGGTTGGGAGTTTGTTTTTCTGTTCACTGGAGCACTTCGGTGCATTTCTAGAATGGCCCGGTTGTACGTGTACTTGTCTTTCTCGATGGCTGATTAGATATGTTACTTTCCAATATCGACGCTTAATCCCGTTCTTTGCATGAGTGAAGTCTCAACTTCTGATTGAGATACTAAGAATGGTGCTGACCGTCGAGCCATTACCCGGCGAAAGCGAAACAAATAAGACGCGTTCAAGATCCCATCAAATAGCAAAAAGATAGCTTCATCCAAATAAAAGCCCAAATCAAAAGCCACCAACACCCCTAACACGCTGTACAGCACCCACAACGCCCTTGGCCCAACTAAAGCGCCCGGGATTCGTTCCAATAGAACCAGGCGGAATCTCTCCCGTCTCAGGATGATGCCAGCATCCATCCTTGGGACTAGAAGCACCATACCTAGCCGTATTCTGATTACGATCGATCAGTTCCAGCCAAGCACCACAAATAACCGGGGAATCAATAAGCACATTGATCTCCTGGCTGTGGAAAAAGGACTGCGTGTCGAGATTGCCATTACCCTGAATCGCAACGCGGCCATCCACAATCATCAGCTTGATATGACAACTCCTTTTCTTGAAACTGTTATGGATGGGCATTGTCTGGTCTTTGCCGACATAGTAGAAAACCCTCAGTCTGCTTTTCTGCTCGTCAGACTCGAGGGCGTTGTACAGTCTATTGGCGATCATCTCGTTCGTGCCATTCTGGAAGGGGAGAAGTTCGCCGGCATCGTTGTAGCCCAGGCAGAGGTAGCAGGTGACGATGACGCCGCGACGGACTGCGTTGAGGAGGGGCTCGAGGAGGGGCTCGGCGTTCATGTTTGGGGTTTGGATGAGGACTGAGCTTGCTGCGTGGTTGATTGCGGAGATCCAGGCTGAGTTTTGGGGGGTTTGGGTGTTGCTATGGTTTGGTGCTTTGGAGTGTATTAGTAGAGGCACTGTGTGCGGCAGATTGGGGGTCTTACATCCGAAGGGTTCTCTGTTCACCAATGCCATGGCTACGGGTTCGTGATGCGGGCTGATCTTGTAAGGGGGTGAATATGGGGTCTTGGTCGGTATCTGGTGCATCTCCTGTCGTGTCTGGTTGGATAGTGGTATCTGGTTGAATGTTAGGGAGGGTCAGAATGGAAGCTATGCACCAGGTACATACTGAGATGACGGCTAACAGCCTGTGTGGGAGTCTCCTTTTCTCGAGGTAAAGCGCTATCGTTCACTCTTGCGGCTTCATGCTCGAGGTCCACGTCATAATGCTCGGACTTGACCGAATGCTCCGCAAGATGCTGCACTCCTTTCTCAGTAGGAAGGTCATTACTCGTCCTCGTCTCGTGGCATGGAATCGGAGCCGCAGCAGCTGGAGAATTTAAAAGCGGAAGTGCAGGCTCCAGAGCCTTTCCCCATGAGAGCAAAGCGGCATCATAGAAACCATCCACGATAGGTCCCTCGATATGAGACAGCATCTCGAGATTATCATTGTCTTGAATATTACTGCTCTGCAGTAGAGCAATGCGTCGATCAATGACGGTAAACTTGGCATGGAAAGTTCCAAAAATCGGCCGATGGAAGTTGATCACCTGCAAATCGACATTGGGGATTTCATTCGCGGGAGGCAGTTTCACTTTGCCGCCTGTGTACTGGTCCTCGTGGACGCTTAGTCGATTTTCCAAGGCCTATTTGAGATGTGAGCTTCCTTCGGGGTCTTTCAGATCTTAATTTATGTGATGTCGGGACATACCTGACGGGGATCACCGCGGTCATAAACCATCTTCATGACGACCTTCCTCCCTCGCTCACCCGCCCGCCTCGAAAGCTCTCTGATGGCATTCGTGACTAAAGTCGAGGCATTTGAATAAATCCAAAAGTTAGTGCCCAAGAAGACTTCATGTTCGGCGCGTGCAATGCAATTGGCTAGATGACGGCACAGATCCGGCAACGGAGCGACTATGGTTAATGGGACCACGCCTGTACTTCCCATTAACGAGGGAGAGACCACTCCGGCCGTGGGATGTTTGTCCAAGGAGCATAAGGCATCATGATAGATCTGGAGGGAATGGATTAGATTTGTCGAGCAGCAGAACAGAATGCGCTCGATACCTGTAAGAATAACTGGCTTGGCTCCACCGATCCAAAATGGCCACATGCGCGGGCTTTTTCCAACTCGTCTAGTTTTTCATAGTCTGATCCAGCATCTGACACCGAGTCTAAAACAGAGTCCGACGTCGAGTCTGAGCTCGAGTCTGACTTCTTGTGTCCGTGGGATAAATGTTCAAAGAGCTTGTGGAAGAGCTTGGTCGGACATTGCGACGGGTCGCGCGCTAACTCCGAGGTGACGGTTTCCGGCTGGTGGCAGAGCTCGTAGACCTTACGAGAAAGCATGTTGGGATTAGTGGGTTCTTTGTGCTCGTAAAAGTGAGGTTTAAACAAGAAGAAGATAGCAATCAAAAGGGCGAAAAGGACAACAAAGGTAGATGCAAACTCCTGGATCTGGATCTGGATCTGGGCCATGGATGAATATTCCCCTCAGATGACGTCGATCTTGTCCTTTTATATGAAATCCACTGAAAATCCACTAATAATCCACTGGAAGTCGACTGGAACTCGAGAATTGTGATGCCTAAAAGACGCCCGTTCAGCCCTGTGGACTCAATAGGGCTGGCGACGTCATCCGGCAAATGCGCCCCACAAAGCTTGTTTTTCTCCGCCGAAACAGGATTGCGACGGCTTTTTATAGCTGGAAGCCTTGCTCTACTGTATCTGTATGTATTCCTGCTGAGAGGGCCTGGGAATAAGCACTCTCTGACAGGCCAGACTCTTGCTATCAAGGTTGAAACCATGGAAATCATTCAAATAAGCATTAAATTGGGAAATATCCATAACAGTACAAGCCATCCATATACTGGCTATAAGTTCAACACCAGATTACCCCCTTGCCACGGTTTCCTCGATCAAGATCTCCTCAGAAGTCATGGAGAAGCCTTTGCTCTGAAAGTTGGAAGACTGGAACCCCCACTGCTGCTGGAAACCATTCGGCTGGAAACCATGCTGCTCAGAGTCAATCGGCTTGAATCCTCCTTGAGAGAACGGTGGCCGACTTGGAACATCAACGCAGGATGTCTCCACCTTGATTCCCACAACCGCATCCAATTCTGTGGCGACATACGTCCGAGCCTCTTCGCCGGCAATCGCCAGTCTCTCGTAAGAATCTACTCCACCAAGGTGCCACTCCCGTAACGGTCTGCCCACAGCGCCGATCTGGTACTCAAAGCAGGGCTGCTTGTTACCATGCTCGTCCTTGTAGCTCGATGGGTAGCGGCTATACTCCTTGCTACCAACCGGGTTGTAGTCCTTCTTCATGATATGCTTTCGGAATCCCACAACGGGATGGATAAACTCGCAAGTATCACCGACCGGCTGGTTGTTTTCGTCCAGAATATCGTAGTTTCCGGGGGTACGTCGCAGAGACCCATTCAGGTAGTACAGAGTCTCGAAACTATCTTCCAGATGGCCGGTTCCCCAGCCATACTTGCGGAATTCTGGGGTAGTCTTGGCGGCGGTTGCGAAGGGATGTCTGATGGACGAAGCGACTGCCGACGCATTGCGTCCGGCCCATGATCCCCAGGACTCATTTTCGAGGGGATTCACGGCGATGGCTTTGATGTCCGCATTTCGTTCCTTTCTTTCAATTTTGAGGTATTCCTCGTTCAAGAATAGGAAGGGCTTGATCTGGTCCAGCATCCAGGAGAAGGTGATGTTGGACATCTCTTCCATATCACCCTGTTTCTTGAGGGTTGAGTCGGAGCCACCGCCGATGTGGATGTGGTATCCCGGGAACCAAACCTGCTTCAGTGTGCGAGGGTGAATTTGGTGGTTCATGTCGTCCTGCAGCCGCAACAGTTTGCGGAAATGATCGTTCATGACTCTTGCCGCCTTGTTGAGGTCGCATGCAGCCTGGTTGACAGCCGCGTCGGTGGCCTTGCCGCTCGACTTGAGCTTTTTGGCTTGTTCCAACTGTTTCCTCCATTCAGCCGCTGCAGCATCGATTGCTCGCTTCTGTTGTTCAATTTGGGTCATATCGGCATCGCCAAACTTGGGGAGATACCACAGCGTAGGCGAAAAGGCCTCGCGGTGTTCATCCAGGGCTAAAGCCTGGAAAGCGTGTTTGACATCTGAAAGGACAGAGTTAGTATTCCGTTCAGTTATGGCTTCAGAAAAGGCCTCTTACTTGCTGAAAGGGTCACATTCTGCCACCCAGAGTCATCTCCTCCCGACAAAAAGCCCGTTGGGAATTTCATACCCAGCACTGCAGGCATTCCAATAGCCCCGACAGTGTCATAAACACCCACAACCTCCACAATGCGGGAGCCATCTTGGGCCCAGTCGCTATTGCTGCGCTCTACCCATTTGAATTTCTTGCCATTAGCGCCCTGTTTCTCATCGGCCTTGCCTTCAATCCACTCGAACCAGGCATCACTGCCATAGAATGGCTCCTTCTTCAACGGTCGACCCTTGTAGGCATCCCACAGATCAGGGAAACGATTGAGATCCTTCTTGTCGCAGATACCGACATCAGAAATCAGTCCAGCAATGGTCCGAGCCGTAAACGCTCCTCGTGAGAACCCAAAGCACATGATCTGATCGCCAGGGTGATAGTTCATGACGCAGAAGTTGTATGCTTCGATGACATTGCCTTCGAGTCCCTGGCCGATGGCTCCTTCAATCTTCTTACCGATGGCAAGGGAAGTAGTGCCGACTCCAGAATCATACCAGACAATCTGCTGCCACGCCTCTCCTGTCGCATCTTGACCAAAGCCGTTCAAGGCGCGACACAGGCGAGTGACATTGGAAGGGACGTTCTTCTTGCCGGACACCGAGGACTGCCATGTCCCATCGCAGCAGAGGATGATACGTTTAGGAACACGAGGCACTTTGACAAAGTCATGCTCACGACACAGCGACATGATTGCAAGCAACAAATGAAGAAAATAAGAGGAATTGTAGAAATGTCTCTCTCTCTCCCTGCCCTGCCAACAGCCCGACAACAACCCTCTATTTAACCAACCCTCCACCTCTCCAAATACCATCCAGACAAGGCTGAGCTGACCACGATATCTCGCTCTGAATGATCACATTCGCACTCTCGACGAAGCTATCGTGTTCTAGCCCGCCCCGTGCGCGAACACCAACGCCACACTCGGCAGTCTAAGCCTAAAACAGGCCATTCAGCTTCTCCCCCGTCCACACTTGTCTTCAGCTGCGATAGAGGCAGTGCGCAAACCCGGCGTGCCTGACTGTGCATAAGGCCAGTGACGCGCCAATCAGGGCTGGCTGTCACTTGGTTTCCTTAGGCGTCCGCGCCCCACGCCCCGTATTCATTTTGCAGAAATAAGCGAAAGCGAGGCTTAGGGGTTTCGGGAAGGCCGCTAGCTTGGTTTTTTTGTTTTTTTTTTCTGGAAGAGGGGGCTAGATAAGGATACTCTGGGCAGGGCTGGCTATGGCTATGGAGTGAATGGTGGAGTTTTGTTACAGTTGACACTTTGTCCAGGCGAAATCCGGGGGAGCGAACCACACCACTGGGTAATTCTGCCAGTCTCTTCGACTATCTAACGCCATGGGATTGTGCATGTGAAATTTTGGAATGGGATGTGGAATTCTATTTCGGTCGCTCCGTAACAATCTGCTCGAATGTCTTCTGGATAGTAACCTGATTCCGGGAAGGCGTCAAGGTAAGCTCTGAATACAAAGGCTCCTCACTACTATGACTAGCAAGAGTAAAATGCTGTCTTCGCGGCGATGAGACAGTAATAATGATACTTTTGCTGTCGTCGGGATCCAGATCAGGACGCCAGTAACTCGGGTCATGGCTGCTGCCCAGCTTGAGACTGGATAATGGGTATTTGTATTGGCGGGAATGGCTTGGGCCAGGCGGATTTCGGTTGTAGGTCCTTGTTCCATCTAGAAGCCAGCGGAAAAGAGGTCGGAGGGTGATGAGGCTGCCTGCTGTAATCCCGAGGCCTGTTTCGATGACGGACCAGATTGCCACTTGGAAGGTTGAGTCTGAAGGCGTGTTAATTTGATATTGAGAAGGGCGTTGGGGGACAACATACGGAGGAAGTTTTTGTCGGCGTAAAAGTGTAGAAAGGGGATGCGGATCATGACGGCGACACTGGCGCTGGGCAATGTGAGCGATTGGCGTTTGATAGAGATGAAACACCACTTACAGGGCACCCAAGCTGAGAATTCCTCCAACAGCAAGCTTGGTCCTGCGGTTCATTTGGAGATTCCAGACCAGGAAGGCAGGGAGAATTCCAAGAGTCAGATCACACAATATAGTGAGAGAGCTGTAAAGATAGGCAATGTCCAACAGGATCGACAACGGTAGGCAGCTTCCTGTGCTATCTTGATCGACTTGATGCCAGAAGTAGCCGATGGGTTGGCAATCGAAGAGTAAAACGAGCCAGAACATGAGCCCAATCGAGATTACAGTACCAATTAAGCCCCAAAGGATGATACGATGGGATTTTTGGATCGTCAGGCGAAGGAGAGCCAGTGCAATCGATATTTTAGCGACTGAGGCAGCCCAGATATAGATCATTTGGCCGAGCCACCACCACTACGGCGGACAAGTTAGTAGTCTGGGGAGATTCACGGGGTGTGGAAATCTTACCAGCAGAGCTTTCTTGTAGGTCACAGTGCTTGTAAAGTCCTCCGAGGAGTGACCAATTCCATTCATCGATCCTATAATGCAACAGATGTTCAACAAGATGAAGAGCGCCTATCAAGCCGTCAGCAAGCAACCTTCATCCGGATCACAGTGACTGACCAGCGCTGCAACCATCAAACCATCATCCCACCCAAACGCACGAACAATCCTTAGTCGAACAAAACTCCTCAATGAGACCACCAACACGGAAATCGACATCATAACAATCGACACGACGAAGATCGCCAGACTCCGACCGACGAGGGGCATCGCGGGACCCATTTTGTAGTGGGGGGAGTATGGAGACAACTCGAATAGATCTGATGCGCCAAAAACTCAGGGATATCGCCCAACTAACATCCTCCTAGAGACAACGAGGACCGCATTCAGCGAGAATTGGAGACAGGGGGCCAAAACCAAGCACACCAGGACATGACGGCTCATATAGCGTTTCCCAGATCCAACCGGGAAACGCCAAAGATCAGAGCCACATGGCCGTGGAGCCTCAAGATCCGAGCCGCGAGCTGGAGATAGCAGAGACGACGGCACTAGCCCTAAGTGAGCCCAACCCCGGGCGCCAGTCTCACCCCAGAGCCAATCACACCTGTGCCTTGGCGAGCGATGGCATTGGGGTGACTCTTGCCGAGATCGCGTGGACTTTTTTAAATTGCGGTTACATGAAGCTCGAGATCCGATCGGGCCTTTAGTATTTGTATCGTGGATGGTGCTGTGGTGCCGTGCATAGTGGCTCCATTTTTGAGCCGATCCCTTTGATGTTTGCGTTGGGCTTTATGTAAGGGTCTCGTAACAAGGAATTTTCTAGAAGAAGGGTCCATACAGACCATGTCTTTCACAATTTTGAAACAGTCTGTAGTATTGTCATCTGTCTTATCCTCTTGAAACGGCAGAAAAATGCGACCAAATCCAGGCACGCTGGACTGGGGGCGTTTTCCAAACTAGGTTAGATTAAGAAACTAAGTCAAATTAACCAAGTCTCCGGAGATCATGACTTGAAGTGACTGATGAAAGAAAAAGTAGCCAGTGATTACATCAACCTAGCGTGTTGTTTGCTATCGCGACGAAGCATCAATTCACCGAGAGACCTCGATCTTGGTATCGAAGTGCACTACTTGGAAATCATTTATTTTGCGTTCTCGTACCTGACTGATTTCGGAGATATTAAAGCGCTTCACGACACTATGCTATCATGACGAGTGCCTATAAGGTCATGTCTGCAGTTGGATCTGTGGCTGCATTCGACCCGTCAGGAAATACGATCGCGCACATTGAAGCCAGTGCCTCATTTGAAGAGTGCCCTATGGTCTATGCTAATATCGACACAATGACATTCAACACTTCCCACAGGTACAGCATCGACGGCCAATTGTCGTGGGGCATCTTGCAGCAAGCACACTGTGAACGGTCATTACGTCCACACCGTCAGGGTAGAGGGCTCGTTGGTTCCACACAATGAGGTGTGTCTTGGTAAGAAACTGCGGCTTGAATATTTAATAGTGATGGCAATTACAGTTGACCCTAAGACACATGAAGTTTATGATCTCTATCGTTGGTAAGCTACTATGTGCCCTGGCATTAATATAGATCTGGATAATTCTATCATTAGTCTAGTCTATACAACTGTTTAGATAGAACTCACGTATACTAGAAACGTATTTGATCAATTTTGATTTACAATCGCTTTTAAGCTATTCCTTACACTCCGCTATATCAATGCATCGTCCTGATCTTAACATAAGCTCGGAGACTGATTCCCGACCATTTGAAAATCAACTACCCCTCGTTGACGGCAGAACAAAGATGGCCATAGCAAGCTCCAAAATGATGACCAAATGCTTCGGACATACTTTCCTGCAAAATCTATAACCGAGAAATACATTATTCTAAGCCAGTCGGCGTTGCTTCGAGTCCCCACGTCTCCTCATCGGAGTTGTGGCCGAGATCCAGTTCCGCGTCCCCATTGCAGTTGATCAACGTCCCATCGTAGATATATCTTCTTTCTTCGCTGCTCAACTTCTGTCGAAATCTGAGCAGTGATTCACCTTGACAGCTTGAATTTGATAGAGGACCAATATGTACGAGCTCTGTCCCTGCCATACAGAAATCGTCATCCTTACTTACAGGGAACAGGGTTTATACAGCATCTTTCGCTTTCTTCGAAGCCCTATGGGAGGTAAAATACAACAAGTAAATCCTCTTTACCTCACCAAAAATAACACATATACTACAGGGCGGCGTCAGCCATGTCTTCGTCAACCTGGGATCCGACCATCCCTCCATCCTCGAAGCAATGGTAAAAGGCCAAAAAGAAAAGAAAGACCAATTTCCTACGATAATCACCTGTCCCAATGAAGTGCGTCAAATCATTGCCAAACTGGCCCTACAATATGAGTCTAGCTGCATGTCAGCGGAGATAGACCCCACGAAACAACGGCATTAACAACTGTATAGATGGTCGCGCTCTCCATGGCCGACGGCTACGCTCGCCTCACCGGAAAACCCCAGGCAGTAATTGTCCACGTCGACGTTGGCACGCAAGGACTAGGAGCAGCCGTGCACAACGCCTCATGCGGACGCGCACCGGTTCTGATCTTTGCCGGTCTGTCGCCGTACACGATTGAGGGTGAGATGCGAGGATCTCGCACAGAATATATTCATTGGATTCAAGATGTCCCGGACCAGAAGCAGATTGTCTCGCAGTATTGCCGATACTCCGGTGAGATTAAGACTGGCAAGAACATCAAACAAATGGTGAATCGGGCTTTGCAGTTTGCCACGAGTGACCCCCAAGGCCCTGTTTACCTTGTTGGGGCTCGAGAGGTGATGGAAGAGGACATTGAGCCGTATCAGTTGAGTCAAAATGTCTGGGGTCCTGTTTCTCCGGCCGCATTGCCAAGTTCTGGTGTTGAGATGATTGCGACTGAGCTTGCGGTTGCGAAGCGGCCCCTTGTTATTGCTGGTTATAGTGGACGGAAGGCTCAAGCGGTTATTGAGCTGGTGACGTTGGCGAATAACTTCAAGGGAATCCGGGTGCTTGATACTGGCGGTAGTGATATGTGTTTTCCAGCTGATCACCCAGGCTGGTTGGGATTGAGATATCCTGGACATGAGGCCGTCAAAACGGCAGACTTAATTATTGTGATTGACTGTGATGTACCGTGGGTTCCAACACAGTTCAAGCCGTCACCATCGGCAAAGATTATTCACATCGATGTCGACCCTCTGAAGCAGCAGATCCCGGTCTTCTATATCCATTCCATGGCGACATTCCGTGCCGACTCTTCTACAGCATTGAAGCAGATCAATGACCATGTTGCTGCGCAGGGGTCTCTGCAGAGGTTCATTGCATCAACGGAGAATACCACTTTGGGGCAACTTCGAGATAAAGAATACTCCAAGCGCCGACAGGAGATCGCCGATTTGGCCATCGTCCCTGAGGGTGGTGATGGAGCCTCCTTGAACATCAATTATCTCATGGCACAGGTCCGCCAGGGTGTCCCAACCGACACGATCTGGGCCATCGAATCTGTAACCAATACCCACTGGGTTGCAGATCAAGTCTCAGCTACCCTACCTCAATCCTGGATCAACTGCGGAGGCGGCGGACTAGGCTGGTCAGGCGGTGGTGCACTAGGCATCAAGCTAGCCAGTGATGTGCAGCACGGCGGGCCAGGGAAGGGCAAGTTCGTCTGTCAAGTTGTTGGAGATGGCACGTTCCTTTTTTCGGTCCCTGGGTCAGTGTACTGGATTGCGCGTCGCTATGGGATCCCCATTTTGACCATAGTCTTGAACAATAAGGGCTGGAATGCCCCTCGGCGAAGTATGCTTCTTGTTCATCCCGAGGGTGACGGTTCCCGCGCTACCAACGAAGATCTCAATATCTCCTTTGCCCCTACACCTGATTATCCTGGCATCGCTACTGCTGCGGCGGGTGGTGAGGTTTGGGGTGGTCGTGCAGCCACTGTTGCTGAGCTTGCCCAGAAGCTCCCTGAGGCTATCCAGAGTGTTTTGAGTGGGAAGTCAGCAGTGCTGGAAGCACAACTGGACGGCACCACAGGAAAATATGTGGAAAGCTCCAAGCTTTGATTAATGAGTTGCTTCGTATAGCCCTGCAGACAAGCCAATATAGTGGGAGTTGTATAGTTCAAAGCTTATCGCGCCGATGCCGGCGATAGCCTTATCTACACGCGGGGCTTGTTTTGGTATTCCCGTATTATTGCCCAATTTACCACCAAACTTCCGACATGTATTGTAAGATGAAAACCACGCAAGAGCCCCGCGCCCTATAGTTGACACGCACTTAGTGACATTTAGTTGCATTTAAGGGAAGTTTAACTATATCCAATGTTTCTCCGAGTACTCCGCCGTTAGATAACAGAATCTTATACTCCGTAGCCTTATTCATCATCTCCAACGGACTCATCGGAGTGTTCGGAGAATGAGTCATGTGCCGGAGTGGATAACAAGATAAAAAGAAGCCGAGATCAGTTCCGCGGATGTCGCCAATTCTTTGCCTCCTTTGACACTGCAATTGTTTTGATCCTCGAGCCCTTCAGCTCCGTCCTCGCACGCAATAGCACGACACTCCGACGTTCGCGCGCTAAACTACCCTCCGCTACTGTCGCACATAAATATAAATCGCCGATTCCGCTCTCGACAATCACACCGCTCCGGCCACAATGAGTCCCCCAGCATCTCTCGATGTCGACCTCGTGGGCGTCACGGATACCTCTGCCGTCCCTGTCCCCGATCCCTTGACCGTCAATGGCATTCCTGCATGGAGAGCGAAGACGGCCAAGGTGCCCACTGGCGTGGCTGCGGCATGCAACAGTGATATGTTCAAGAGCCCGGTATGATATCTTCGAATTGGATGGGGGTCGGAGTGAGAGAGATCTGACCAGAAGGCTGATTTGTGTTTTGGGATATTAGATCTGCTATACCAAGCCCAAGGCTAAGCGTTTCGATCGTAAGTCTATATACCCCGATCAGATATTGAACTGCATATTTTGATCAATTACAGTAGTTCAGACATACTAACTCCATTATTAGACCGTTTCTCCCTCGAGGCTAAGTCTCGCAAGGTGTGCACGCGGAACTGGGTAGCTGAAAATCACTATTGCTAATCTCCTTCCACAGGCGTCTACTCTGAAGACTGCCGCTCAGTACCTGAAGAACCCTGGTGAGAAAGACAAATTATCCTGACATAGCCTAAATACTAAGTATCATTCTAGGTCTTATCTCTCTTGGCGGTGGTCTCCCCTCGCCTGAATACTTCCCCTTCGAGCACTTTGATATGAAGGTCCCCACTGCCCCCGGGTTCTCCCCCGAGGCTACTCGCGAGTCTGGCACCGTGCTGCATGCTGGAAAGCATGATATTAAAGAGGGAAGCAGCACATACGGTGCGTTATGTTGAAATCTACGTCAAGACTTTGTCCAGGGCTGATTTCATGCTATAGATCTGGAAATTGCGCTTAACTACGGGCAAGCCACCGGTGCTGCGCCTCTGCTTCGCTTTGTCACTGAGCACACCGAAGTAGGTCTATTGCCTTTTATGAATACTATGGCAATGCTAATATAAGTAGCTCATCCACAGACCTCCCTACTCCGACTGGCAGTGCACATTGACAGCCGGTAGCACCTATGCCTGGGATACCACTCTGCGCCTGCTCTGCGAGCGCGGCGACTACATTATTATGGAAGAGTACACATTCGCTAGCGCAGCCGAGACCGCATTCCCCTTAGGCCTGAAGGCTGTAGGCGTCGCCATGGACGAGCAAGGTCTCCTCCCCGAGTCCATGGACGACATTCTCAGCAACTGGGACGAAAAGGCCCGTGGTGCCCGCAAGCCATTCGTTTTGTACACCATTCCAACAGGTCAGAACCCCACCGGCGCCACCCAGTCCGCCGAGCGCCGTCGCGCCGTCTACAAGGTCGCTCAAAAGCACGACGTCATCATCGTTGAGGATGAGCCCTACTACTTCCTGCAGATGCAGCCATACGTCGGCGAGGACGCCCAGTCCGTACCCCCTCCCGCCACCCACGAAGACTTCATCGACTCTCTTACTCCCTCATACCTCAGCATGGATGTTGATGGCCGTGTCGTCCGTCTTGAATCCTTCTCCAAGGTCATCTCGCCCGGCTCGCGAGTTGGCTGGATCGTCGCCTCGGACCAGATCATCGAACGCTTCATTCGTAACTTCGAGACTTCTTCGCAGAACCCTAGTGGAATTGCTCAGATTGCTCTCTTCAAGCTCCTGGACGAACACTGGGGTCATTCCGGATACCTTGATTGGTTGATTAACCTGCGCATGTCGTACACTGCTCGTCGTGACTCCCTCGTTCACGCTTGTGAGAAGCATCTGCCCCGTGAGATTGCCCACTGGGTTGCCCCCGCCGCAGGCATGTTTGTAAGTTTCACATCTCCTTCCCATGGCCGTTTCAGTATAGGAATACTAACACCCTACACAGCACTGGATTGAAGTCGACTGGCACAAGCACCCTGGCCTCAAGGCCGGTAAGACCCACGCCCAGATCGAAGAAGAGATCTTCCTGTCCTCCGTCGAGGCAGGTGTTCTTCTTTCCCGCGGTAGCTGGTTCAAGCCGGACCACGATACTGTCGAGGAGAAGATGTTCTTCCGGGCGACATTTGCCGCCGCTTCATCGGAGAAGATCGACGAGGCTATTTCTCGCTTCGCTGGATCTCTCCGGGCTCAGTTCGGTCTGTGAATCCAATGTGATTGTACAAACGAATTGGTGAGCTGTCTATGATTTTGACGAATCTCTCCATGTGACAAGGGTGCATTTAGTTTTGAGCTTCTAGATACTAGACTTGCAGTTTTCAAAATGGGGCTTTGGTAGTTCCATTCGAAGGTGCCTTTGGTTGCATTTCGGAATGTATTGAATTTTTCTCAAGTTTGGGATTTAAAGCTACGAATTTTCTGCCATCACAAGGATTCCCCGGAGACGACGTAAAAAAATGTATGATTCATTGATGTAATGCCATGCAAATGTACAAAACGAATATGGTATCAGGCAACATTAACGACAAGGGATAATAATACAAAAAGAAGGACCCAAGAACTGTCAAATCACAGAAACCGGACCCAAAAGATCAAGGACCAAGAGGTCAAGCCCCGAGAATCTTCCCATAAGCATCCTCAACCTCCTTCGCAATCTCCAACAACGTAACAATAATGATCTGATGCGTGACATTGGGCAACTTATCCCTCTGCAACCCAATCCACTCCAAAGGTGGCGTAGCCTCACCCATATCCCTCAACTGCGGTGTCTCAATAACAGGCGGCTCAAGGGCAGTGTAGGTATACTTAGATTGCGGCACGTTGACAACAGCCGTAATCTTCTCCTGCTGCTCTGAACTATCACCACCACCCTCAGCACCGCCACTACCAGGCCCACCAGTAATGCGCACAGCAGAAGGAGGGAGCGGCTTGCCAAGTCTTGTAGCGAGCGCGCGTGAATGCGTGTCCCACATATCGCGGATGAAGCTGATGCGAGAGTAATTCCAGCCGACATCCACTTTCCCTTCGAATGTGCTGCGGAAGATGTATTCGATTTCGTGCGAGCCCGGGGTTTGCCAGGTTTCCATGCCTGCGACAAGACTGGGTACTTTGAGGATTGTTCCGCCTCGAGAGGCGGCGGCTCGTTCGGCGATTTCATCGACGGAGAGTTCGTCTAGCTGGGCGGATGTCGGTCTTGTGATGCCTGATAGAGCAACGCGAAGTTGGCCGAGTGTGAGGCCCAAGGCGCTGTGGATTTTGCCCGCTTCTAGGGAAACAGAGAATCGGGCCTCAGCGTTGTAAGCTTCTACCTTGAAAATTTGGTTGTCGAAGAAGGTGCTTGGGAAAGCGCCAACATTGACGTGATGAATGTTGACTACTACACATGTGTGTAGGGAGATCGGTGCTTTCTCTGGTTGGCTGTCGAGTTGCTTTACGAGTTCTTTCGTGCCGACTTCAGGGCTTTCTGTTAGAACAGAAGACTTCCGCCGGAGGTAGCGTTCTACTTCGCGGAGGGATGACTGGTAGGCCGCTTGGACGTCTTGAATTAGGCGCTGCCAGGCCTGGAAGAGAGCCAGGGTTTGAGATGCTGTGAGAGACGTGCAGAATAACTGGACTTTATCTCCTTCCAGGATACTGAAAAGGCGTTGGCTCTGTTCGCCGGATGTGTCTCGAACGTTATACATCAGGAAGTTGAACCTGGCAATATGGGCGACTAGGAATGGTTGGTAGTCAAATGAGACGTTGGCTTGGAGGTGATGGAAGGCAAGCGAAGCTTGAATTAACGGTGTCTGTCCATCTTCTCGGGAGTCCTTAGGCCATTCGATTGAGGTATGCACCTTCAGGTTTCCAAGCTCGACGATTCCACTCATTCGGCCCTTGCTCTCAATCGAAACAGAGCCAAAATTGACACACATGTTCTGCTCGTTGTCGGATGTCTTGCTAGTAGATACCCACAGGTCCTTAATGCCGAACTGTGCTTTGCCCAAAGTCGAGCCCAGATCCAGTTGGATTTGAACTTTTTCAATGGCGATAGTGGTGTTCCAGGGAAATGCAGATGCTGAAGCAACTTGCTGGTATCGCTGAACGATGTAGGGTTGTGCTTCAGACGACTCTGGCGGGGAGGTTGGATTTGAGGGTTCATCGTTGGACGGGAACCAGATCTCTTGGAAGAGAAGTGAGTCCTGGACTTGTTTGGCGTTGACTGCAACCTTCATTGGGCTCACTCGCAATATAGCTGACATTCCGCTCATCCGGCCAAGATGCTTGCTGTTCATCAACGACAAAACCATTGACCTGACCTCAAAGCTTGCGGTTGATTCATTAGAATAGACGTGTTTCACAGAGGCGGAGAGACCATTGAATGCCAATGATAGCGCAAGGAATCGGCCGTGCTCTTCTGACAAGACCGTGTTGACAGTCACGTAGACACTGTCAAATCGTGCAGTGGCTGCGACCCTTGCAATGGGTTGACAACTCAAACTGAATTCCTGCTTGCAGAACAGCAATCCCAAGTTTACCCTACATCTGCCAAGAATACTGGTTGGGTCTTCACCACCGAATGGCGCCTCTTGGATCAACTTCTGTGGCTGCAACCTCGCGGCTGCAGATGGCCTACGAGGCCGGGTCTGCTGGTCTCCCATGATCTCTTTTACGGTGGCGGTCATTTGCTTTACCAGAGGGACAAGAGTGGGATGCAATGTGTTTGTAGATGGGTCAACCTTCAACTCAGCATTGAGTACTGGATCATCGGTACCATTATCCTCAAACTGCACCTTCAGAGCCACTCCAGGGGCCTGGAGTGTTGCAGTGGTTGCCTTATCACCTTGGACATATTCTCCATATTTCGCGTCAGAGAGTCGGCTGCCCTTCCATGTGGCTGCAAGCAATGTTTGGTGATCATGACCAAGCTTGCCTTGAAGTGTAACAGTAGCACCGGCAAAATCGACATCAATGAGGAGAGACCGTAATCTTCTTTTGCCAAACAAATTGCGGTCTTTGTTCGTATCAGCGTTTTCAGGGGACGCTGCTCTGGTTGCCCATACAGTCTTTCCTTCTCGAAGGGCTTCGCTCGCTGTGGCAATGGAATCTCGCAACATGCTAGCCGGAATGATGAACTCTGAGGTCGTACGAATATCAAGGGATTTACCAGCTGCCTGGAAAGCAAGCCACAGCTCTTTTCCTTTGGATGAGTACGCCACGTTAAATACCAACTCAGGCATAAGCGCGGAGTTAAGCGACCGTTTCCCTCTGTCTGCCCCATATGGAACCATCTGAAGATGCATGTTTTCGATACGGAGTTTGGCTGCATTCTTCTTCTTGTTCGACAATTCAACTTGCTGGATGGAGAAGACCAAGTCCTCTGGATTTCGATCGGGCTTGTTGTGCACGACAGCCATATTCCAAGCGATTTGAATGTGTTGGAATTGAAGGGAGTAAAGGGCATTGAGAAAGGCCTCCGGGGTGTGAATCATCGTTAAGCTGAATCTCCGGGCAAACAGCAATGCCATCTTTGGCGTCGTGATTACGATGTCTCAACTTCCTAAGACGCTTGACTTCATGCGAAAGGTCCAACGTCTTAATGCGCTCTTGTGTATAGACTGCGATGTCGACAACGAGGGCTGCTGTCTCAGCAAATAGCTCAATATCAAATCTATCACTGGTAAAATGGTATGATCTTGTGACTTCTCCATTTTCGCGGACTGCGGATGTTCCTTGGAGTTTTACACCAGCACAGAATCCTCCATATGGCAGACTCTTTGAATGCTCTTGTCTTCGAATTTCAAAGTTGATTTGAGATGCGTCAATGTTGAACTCGGGATACACCATGGCGTAGCCCCTGTCAAGGCCATTTTGAAGTCGCATTCGCATCATACCGAGACTGAAGATCATTTCCGCGGCATAGTCCTTGCTTTTCAGGCCAGGTGCACAGGCATGAATCTCAAATCCAGCCATTGTGAGACGGCACTTGTAAAGAACCTCCTGGCCGTCGGATACTGGCTTTTGTTCAGGTTTTGCTGGTGACTTCTGTAAGGAAAGTACTTCATCCAAGTGCGATTGAAGGACGTCCACGTTTTGTTTGAGATCCGATATCAAGTGGGAAATATCAGGTCCTGTTAGAACGGCCAAGAGACTGCGCACAGCGCTCGCTTCCAGACGAATAAGTTCAATGGTGACATCAACCTCAACTTCCTTGCGGCTCGACAAGAGGTTTGCAAGTACTCGACCGTTGACTGGGGGAATCTCCATTTTCGACAGGGCATGGAATCTGTCTCCTTCCCCAGACATGAACATATGGGTATTCTTCTTCACATCAAAGTCAATCTCAATCTTGGAGGCTTTCGTTGGCATCACCGAGATCCGAGCAACGTCGCCAGAAACAAGATATGCCAAGGATGGTAGTAAACTAAAGTTCAATCGATAATCTTCCAAAAACATTGCCACATGGAAAGTGTCATGGGTTGGCTTATTTGGTACCAAACCTTCGTCGCGTTGCGACTCGGACTTGGGAAGTTTGACGCTATTCATGAGTTGCCGAATGTACCTGACCTCGTCGGCTATGAGTCTGTCGGCCGTATGCGCCAAGCTGACTGGATCTTCTTTCATGTCATATCGAAGCTTCCTGCAGGAAGCAGCGATCTTCCAGTGTCGATTACACTCGCTGACGTTTTCTTCTGATGCAAGAGAGAAGTACATGTATGGATCGGCAATCCTGGAAAGCATCAAAGTGGTAGATTGACTTTGGAGCTCCGAGGAGCATGCTTCGGCATTGAATAGAAGAGTGAGATCCTCTTGTTTTGATTGGGCTGCATCAAGGGATCGGTGAACAATCGAGGCTCGCAGTCCTTTTGATACCAACGCGAGCTTAACATTGACTCCATCAAGTGTGATGGAGCCGAAATCAGTTCCAAACATGAGTTGGAATTCAGTTGGCTTCTCATCCGGGGCCTCATGGCTGGCTGTATGTGGTTGCGCAGACTCAAGTGTGATGTTTGACATCACCTTCATCACACCCTCCACAAGGTCTAATATCTCCCATCTCAGCCTCAGAGCTGCAGAGCCGCAGTACGACTGCAAAGTGATGATTTTCTTGTGTATCTCCTTATTCTCATCATGCACAATCTTATCCGGAACAAGAGACGCGAGAGTTGACAAATTCTCCACAATAAAATCACTTTCTCTGGGACCAGGATCCATAGAAAATCGGAATGTTTTGATTGTGGACGAAAGGAACATTGGAGGCTCCGTAGCCTTTCCTCGATGTTCACAATGCGGCCAGACGCGACGCATGACATAACTTTTCGCAACATGGGCAAGATCCCAGGCCCGCCAGTGATCAAAGCCAGTCAAGACCGTTGACTTGGCATTCTCTGGGCAAGAGACGCAGCCGCTCAAGAATTTCTGCTCCAATGCACGCTTGTGGTGAATAGGCAAGCTTTTGTAGATGTTGCGGAAGCGAGAAATGATTTTCCACGAGTCATGCTGTCGCAAATGCGTCGAAGCAACTCTGAGCACGTAAGAGATGCGAGCAAGGAAGATGGGATCCGGTACATTGACGGAAGATTGTGTCAGAGAAAAGATGAGGTACTGCAGACGCATTTTGCTGGATGTTGAAACTTGCTGGAAAGACGACGCCACCGAATCAAACATCGTTGTGGCTCGGCGAACGAGGAATGCTAAACGCTCCACGGACTTCGCTGAAGTGACCGTATTAAACATTCGCATCTGGAGATTGGAGCGGATATCGGGCGTTGTTACCGCCCAGAAATTCAAGTTTTCTAAACAAGAACTGAACTCAGCTTTCTCATGGAAAGTATCCACCCGACTACCCTCCACTGTAATCGATAGGTGGTCTGCTGCTGCATTGACAGTGATATCCTGCTTGACACCTTCAAGCAGATCTCCCTTTGACGTTGCACCGTTTTCCTGAACTCAGTCCGCAGATGACGAAGCTCGATGCTGTACTCGTCTTGAAACTCGATTCTCTTGTTGTTCGGAGATTCTGACGTATCCACAAGACGCAGCTGTATTGCGGGAACTCGTAGAGACACGGCCGTGGAGTTCTTCGGCTTGCTCATAGCTTTGTCATAGCCAACAATGTCTGATATGACATCTTTTTGAAGCGAATCAATAATTCTGACAGGATGTTTTGGTTCCAATCCCTCCAGCAAGGAAGCCAGACTTGTAAGAAATTTGGGTGTGCAGAAACCTCGGATACCAAGCGGGAGGTCGCATGCGAGGTTGGTATATGTCGTGTTATCGTCATCAAAAGTAAGGAACACAGACTTAGGATTTACAGCTGCGTCGTCAATGGCTGAGCTATTGTGGTCATTGACAAAGGGCAGTGGAAGCTCTGATGTATCCAGTCGGATCTTATGGCAAAAGAACAGCGGCATTAGCCATGGGTTCCCATCTCTTGCTACAGATGATGAGACTGCAGTATCCCGAGAGCCTAGCTGCGTTCCATCCCTTGATCTGCTGGTATGTGAGGCCCAGCTTGCTTCCCGTGAAGGCAGAAAAGGTCGTGGTTTGAAGCTCGGCTCAGAAGCAGCTCGGAGGCTATTTGCAGTGTGTATTCTGACACTTTTGAGGCTTGATACTTCTGATTCAACGAGGAAACTCTTGGCACTTCCATTATGATGGGCCCTAGAAGCTTCCCGATATGACGGTGTTTTGAGCGAACGGGGCTTGTTATGTATAGGCTCCGGCATGGACGGTATTTCCATTGTTGGGGGGAACACATCATCGTCGGGAATTGTTGAGGCCGGTCCAGTCTCTTCCCAATCAGAAAGTAACCATTGCGCTCTATGGGTTCGTTGGTCATGGGTCTTGATGTGCTCTTGCTGAAGCCGACGACTTTCTGCAATGTCAGATTTGCGCAATGCCATCTTTACCCCAATGGTCATTTGGATGAGACCTATGGGAGCAACTGTTTTTCCCGCTGATGAATTGGATTGAGTTGCTTGTCGACGGTCGATGGCAGCAATTGAGACGTCTGGGACGAGAAGATTCATGCGTTTTGAAAACTTGGTATTTGCCCAGTCATTGAAGTTTACGTTTAATGGCTGTGTGCTCAGAATGACAGCCACTTGGTCCAGAAGCACTGAAATGTGAATGGCGTCAATCTTGGCTCGCAAGAAGGTCACATCATAGAGAATCTCGGGAAAAAGTGTCGGCAGAGCATTCTCCTCATTGTCAAAAGAGAAATCAAAGCTTTTCAACGACGATCCTAGACAGGCCAGAAATTCTGTGGAGCACTCTCCAATGATTTTGCCAACTTCAAAATCCCAATTACAGACGTAGGTTGGCTCAAGGGGTGGCAAACCAAACAGGCGGTGGCCATAGACTGAGACACCATCGATGAATAGTTGCGTTCCAGAAATTGTTGATGAACCGTCGGAATTCATGGAATGCAAATCAAGTTTCAGCGGGCTGATAGAAAATTGCAAGTCCATATAATAGTTTGTGAACCGCAAATCAACTTCGAGAGACGCAGCATTCAGTCCAGTGCATGTTGATGAGTTATAGATATTCACAGGGAGCAAAGCACATGGGGTATCCACTGTAACGCGAACCAGAATGTCCATATCATTTGACTTTCGGTTTGGATTGATGCCGGTAGGGTTCGACGGAGTTTCATCGGCGTAGATCAGTTCTTGGTATTCTTCCAAGGTCTTAAAATGCATCTCTTCGCCGAAGTAATTCTCTCGGATTGTCATGAAGCTCTTGATCAAGAACCCAAAAAGGTATAGCCGAGGGGACTTTCCATCAATGTTGAGCACCAAGGTATCAGTCAATTCCGGTGAGGTCTCTGAGAAATAGTTGTAGGAGCCATCAATGAACAGGCCTTGAAGAGTAGCCATGGACTTTTGGGGTAGGAACTCGTGTAGAGTGTCCCACAAAGGAGTCTCATAGTCTACTCCGCCGTCTTCGAGGTTGACCCTAAACTCGATTGCATTTTGATCAGGTTGATATTTGTTCAATGGAATCATGACATTGGACGTCAGACGATTACCCTTGATCACAATAAATCGATTGTCTTCCAGGTCTGAAGGATTGCTGATAATATTTCGGTCATTCACATTGATGTACAGCTGGAAGTTGGTGAAGTTGACATCCAGATTGTAGATGAAAGGCACAAATGTGTAGTAATCCGAAGGCGGGCCTGATGCCCAATCGCTCACAAGATCAGTGAGAAGGAAAATATGATCACGGAGAAGAAATAGCTGCAGATCTTCACTCTCAACGGTGAACTTCCAAGAGCGAAGACTGTTCCAGGAGAGTGGATTGGATAGATCACAAGTGACCAGTTGCCGTGGGCATTGCCAAAGCAAGCCATGATTAATGCTAGATGAGAGCCTCGAGTCTCGCAAGTCCAGAGAGAGTTCGTTCCGAAATCCTAGACTTGAAGCCACCATATCCATGGTGTATTTGATGGTAGAGTCAGGCGCAACTGAGAGTGAAAGCCACCCAAACGGGCGTATATCAGGTCCAATATGGCCTTTTTCTCCGTCGTTTGTACGCGAATTTTTTCTGTCGTTTCGCTTCTTGGTTCTTGGTGCGCCTCCAATGGCATCAGCGCGACCCTTCCATTGCCAATCTTTGGATGGCTCTCGAGTGGGGATTCGCAGGGTTAACTCTTCGTTGATCTCAATTCGAAATATGAAAGCCGTGCTCTGACGCAAAACACCAAGCGCCAACTGCTCTGCCGGTTCGGCGCTGCGGTAGAAGTTCGGGAAGAAGACATTTTGTAGCCCAATGCGCTCCCTGTCAGCCCATGGACCGTAATTCAGTGTGCCTCCATCAAGCTTGAGGTCAATCCCCCATTCAGGAGGAAGACCACAATTAATGTTTTGATCCACTGGATCTGAATGACATTGTTCAGCGGAATTTGGGCGCTGGAGGCTGACTCGGCCTGGAATATCCCAGAAGTAAATTATAGTCAAACTAGGGCTATCCAAGATGGTGGAAAACCGGGCATATTCCACTGAGCCCCATTTCTCATGATCGTTTTCATCGGCTGCGTCCAAATATCGTGAAAGACCAGTCCAACGAACGTCAGGAAACTCCGCCTGGCTTCTTGGCATGCTGTCGGTATTTCTGCTGTTGTGATGAAACGATTCGACAGATGTTTGGAAATAAGGAACAAGGTCACGGATGCTATGCCACACTTTGCGCCTTTGGAAATGGTAGTTGAAAATTCTTTGTCGCTTCTTTTTCGATTCGGGCTCATCGTCGTGCACGGCACCTATAGCTCTTGCAGTTGCAGGCTGATTTTGTTTGAAATCGGGGTTCGGCCGCATCTGAACTACTGGGTGATTAAGCTTAAATGAAAACACTTGTCGGTATAGATCCAGCGGGCCCGAACTGCAAGCATCAATGGTACCCGTCGCAGTATCGAAGGTTGTGGTCAAAACAGATCGGGTTTGCTCGTTTGCAAGAACGATGGCACCTTTTTTGCATTCCAACTTGATTGGAAGGAGTTCAAGCATGGTCGACACCGGTGTAGATAGCTCTGACTCGGGCATAGTGGACTTTTGAGAAGACCTTCCTCCCTTATCACTCATGCTTCGTTCCGACATGGTTTTGAAGGTGGATTTATTACCAGGCGCTTGTTGGAAATCAAGGTTATTTCCAGTACCGTGGTCGTCCGCTGTTGCGCGTGATCCTGGAGGGTTTGAATGATTGTCCAAATCAACATTATTGGGCGAGTAGCCAAATCCAGCCAGAATACTTTCATACGCTGGAGTTCGATTGTATACAAACCATTCAAGGCCATATGCTTTGATCGTTATCCGACAAGGTAGCTCGGTTGTCTTTCCCCTGCCACCCTGCTCTTCGAGGCTCTCGTCTTCCGCGCCAGCTTGCGCGGAGCCTGCATGTCCTTTGCTGGCCGGACCGTGAAGTCCAGTTTTACGGCGGGCTCCAGTCAAATCGTTTCTCTCCACGGTGCGTGCCCAATAGCGCCATGTTATGAATCCTCCGTGAATGAATATTGTCTCGTTCACACCATGGTATCGAATGCCCTTGAAGAATATTCGTCCTCCAAGTAATGATACCTGTAGCGCGTTTATATCGACATATGCTCGGTAATAGTGCCAGGTGTATGCTCGAATGGCGTAGGAAAGGAGAGTCGCGAAGAGCCGGTTGAAGTAGAGCAAGAAGAACAACGCACTAAACGATCAGTATCACCCCACTGAACAAATGGCGTAAAACTTACAGAATTCCAGACACGCTTAGTTCAAGCAAGAAGAACCTAAGTCGGTCAGTATGCTAGCCATGCTCGCTGCAAGTCCGCTGCATGTCGACGCACCAATTGAAGCTCGGATCCGGGGTCAAAAAGGTCGAGGTCAAGCTTGTACTGGCCATGTCTCTTCGCCATGGACGCGCAATATGCGCGAATAAGCCTCAATCAAATCATCGCCATCCAAAATGGCTGTGTTGCGAATGTCGCAAGGTGAAGATGTGTCGGGCGGTGTCGAAGATCGTCATCCCTCCTCATTCCAGACCCAACATTTCTCCAACTCCCTGCACACCATGTTTTGCCCCACGGAATGAGATTCTACGTTGGCAGTACACGACTATAGATCGTGTTTGTCTCTTTAAATCATGACTGCTGCCGGTGGAGGAACAGGCTCCAGCCTGGCTCGCGCGATCATCATCGTCGCTGGTGTCTCGGCTTTGGTTTCCTCGCTCTTATCCTTTGTGTGAGTTCTCTGGCATTCGAAAGAGAGAGAGAGAGAAAGAGATCATGATTGTTATAGACTCTTGGGCTAACTTTGATTCCGATGCGCAGCTCTATCTGGTTCCAAACGTACGAGCTTCCACCACCCCGTCACACGACTCTAGGCTTACGATATATCTAGCAAAAACTACCGCAAACCACTCCTCCAGCGCTATGTAGTTCGCATATTACTGATGTGAGTACTGTCCTAGACATACAGCTCAGGGGTGATATGGTTCATGCTGACCACGCTTAGGGTCCCGATTTATGCGGCATCATCATGGACGAGTATTGTGTCACTCAAGGCAGCTCAATTCCTCGATCCTATCCGTGACATCTATGAGGTACATAGTATCTTGACCATGTCTTGGGGCAACTCATGCTAACGAGTGACTCAGGCATTTACCATTTACACCTTCTTCCAGCTCCTTATCAACTTCCTCGGGGGCGAGCGTGCCTTGATCATCATGGCCCATGGCCGGCCTCCTATCTCACATGCCTGGCCTCTGAACCATTTTCTCCCAAAGATCGACGTATCAGATCCCCATACCTTCCTCGCTGTCAAGCGCGGGATCCTGCAATATGCTTGGTTGAAGCCCATTCTAGCTATTGTCTCCATCGTGATGAAAGCGACAGACACATACCAAGAGGGCTATATCGGACTAAGCTCGGGGTATCTCTGGACAGGTATTGTGTATAATGTCAGCGTCACCATCAGTCTCTACTCACTCGCCATGTTCTGGGTCTGTCTGCACGACGACCTGATGCCATTCCGCCCGATTCCCAAATTCCTCTGCATCAAGCTCATTATCTTTGCATCTTATTGGCAAGGTTTCTTCTTGTCCATTCTGCAGTGGCTGGGTGCACTAGGCGGCGTTGCTGGATATACTCCAGACAATCTTGCTGCAGCAATTCAGGACACTCTTATCTGTTTTGAGATGCCGTTCTTTGCCATTGCCCATTGGTATGCCTTTTCGTGGCATGACTATGCAGACCCCACCATTTCGGCTGCACGTTTGCCTGTGAAATTCGCACTGCGTGATTCGTTCGGTGTTCTGGATCTGATCGAGGACACCAAGATGACCCTCCGTGGTGACAATTATGAATACCGACTCTTTGACTCGGGCGATAACGTCGTTCCGCATGCGGAGTCTGGATCACGGGTCAAGCGAGTCATGGACGGCATGAGATACGAGCGAGGAGGCAAAGCGAAATATTGGATCCCCAAACCGGGTGAAATCAACAGTCGAACGCCTCTGCTTAGCGGAGAATCCAGTGAGCGTAGAACTCGAAGCAGTCAAAGTTCTAGGGAAAGATTCCGGCCTGTCAATGATATCGAAACTCAAATGGATGAAGAGGATGAACACCTGTTCGTTAACGCCCGAGCTTTGGAATTCGGTGACTGGAATGTAAGTTTGCGCCATCTAACCCGTCGTGATTGTGATTTTGACCAAAAACAGTATCCGGTAATCACCGCCAACGAGGTGTCAGGCGACCAGCGGTTACCGCCCTCGAGAAGCTATCAAGAATCAAGCCGAGGTGGAGATGTCAAAAAGGCTCGCAAGCACAGAAAGGGCCGGGCGTCAGGCGGCGAGAGCCGACGAAGCCCAAAGCCCAGACCTAGTTCGAGCGCTAGCTCAAGTACCCCTGGTCCCTTGCAGCGCGAGGCCAGCTCCACCAGCACAAACACGCGAGAGAGCCAGCTGGTGGACCTTGTGGTGGAGAATCGAGAGGCTGAGGAGGAAGACCGAGCTCAGGTACAGCGGGAGCTTGGTTCAGTGCATGCCGAACCTGAAACCCGACGTTATTCGTAAGATGAACCCATTGGCTGAGAGATGAAGAAAAGCGCATGAGCTAACCCTAGTCTTAACTTCTAGACGGCCCTCCGGAGAGCCAATCGAAGAAGAAGCTGAAACGGACCCAGCAGAGTCTAATCACGACCGTGAAGATCGGTCAAAGGCCTGGGTCTATGATGGACTGGAGCAAGACAATGTCTGGGACAAATAAGCCGTGGTCTATTCTATGATCTCAGGGAATATCTCTAATTTGGGTCTGGTAATAGACCTTTAACGTACATACGCATCTTCACGAACCGAATTTACCTTTCTCATGACCTACCACAGGGGACCACCAGCCCTTTTTTCCCCTCGATCTTCCTATGATCTAGATGATTAACACAATAGGTTCGAAAATGTGTGACAATATATGAAACACAAAAGGCCCAAGTAGGGCGACATACAGTACAGTAGATGTTGGAAGCAAAGGAATGGACCCAGCCTGAATAAAATGACTAAGACAATTGCATTCGCATATTCACATGCACAATTCCAACTATTTCAAATCTTCAGCAGAATCAACCAAGACATGCAATTTCCGTAAGCGCCCAACTCTCATCACCCGTCAGGATGGACGTGATAAGCAGATGTGACCACTCCACCGCACACCAACGAATGACAGCGTCACAACCAACTCCACGGGCGATGATCGGTGGAGCTAAGAGCTTTGGCGCCAGGATGACTTTCTTTCCTGGGATTAGGCCCATGTCCCTAGTGGCGCTATGGTGTGTACCTGGTCGAGTTTGGTAAGGCGCTCACATTCTGACAAGGCCGTACATAAAGACCCAAGGTGGGGGGGGGGAGGCGTCTCTCTTTGTCTTTCTTCTGTTCTGTGTCTGTGTTTCGTCGCCTAGAGGGCGATATGCATTAACGAAGCGCTGGTCGCTATGACGTTGGCTTCAGAGCAAACTGGGTCGCAATTCATGTTCGGTTGGATGCGATTCTGCTTGTGCTGGGCCTCGAATGATACTCATCAAGATGTTCGGACCAAAGAGCGTGGTAAGTGATGTCTGCTATGTCGACTTCTATACTGGCATACGAATGAGTCCATGCTAATCAACATATTCTAGGCATTGAACGAGAGATGACAGTATGCCATACCCAACCGCATCTAGTTCCTCCTATGAAACTGGTTGTATACGATGATCTCCCCAGTCCAACGATTCCCCGAGAGCGTCGAAACTCATTGTCGTCATGGATCGATGAAGGCCGACAGTTGGCCTCACGAGCCTCCACTCGGGCAAGCATGTCTATGAAGAGGCAGTCCACGCCATTGAGGAAGCCTCTCAAGATCAGCGCGCCCTCAGACTTCCGCAGAGTCCAGTCCTTCCAGCCCCCTCCCTCGACCAAGTATCAACCCTTGGACCTCCGTATACATCGATCAGGTAATCGATTATCGGACCTACCTTCTTTCGAATCTTTCCAGTTCAACGATGGTCATCGCAAGACACTGCCAGCGCCTCCGCGCGCCCTAACAGTATCAACCGGTGTCCGAGATCGTCGCTGCCAGACTACATTCGCGATATCTCGCAAGCCAATTGGATCTACGAAACGTCGCTCACTTGGAAACCTCGAGCCATTGCTTGCGAAACACCCCGTTCGCATCACGAGTGCTTTGATTCCTCATTTCTCCACGGTGACTCCTGTCGAGATCTCTTTTAAGGAGCCACAGGCGCCATCCCCTATCCACAACAGATCTTTATCTGAAGGCACCAGCTTGACGCTCAACACCCCGTGGCCGGATCAACGAGATGACAGCGAACCATGGGGTAAAGCGCCCCAAACCCCCAATGTCTCCCAGGATATATCAACAGAGACATCACCATCAAAGTACTCTCCAACGTCCAAGGGCTCCCCTTCGACAGCCAGCTCACAAACAGCCCCGTCACAAATCTCATCACTTCGTCGACCCTCCATACCCTTCCCAGAATTCAAAGCCAACCCCACAGAATACCCGTCTCTTTCAAGCCGCGTAACTCAATGGATGCATCCAGCATCCGTTGACATCACTCCTTCCCTCAAAGAACTCTCTCCGGCCATCGAGCCGGACTTCACCTGGGAACACAGCCGTTCATTGAGCGGGACGACCCTGACTTTCGAGTCAAGTTGGGCCTGATTTTTAGAATTTTGTACCTTAATCTACGTCAGAAGTGAGACTTTTGGAACAACTATATAGCGTTATCATAATTAAACCACCATACCACCTGGTCGAGACTGTCCATACATCGGTTCTTATCTAGGCTGTATCGAATTAGGGCTTAACTGGCTCGTCGTAGACTACATCATGGCATTAGGCGTGTACGTATGTCCAGTGGGGTAGACTGTACTGGCTGAGGCCAGAGGCTACTTCCTGATGACCTTGATGCTTCCCATGGCCGGGTTGCGGGTGTTTGTCGTAATACGATGGTTGGCGCGTCTGGAGATCACTACCCTGTTTCCCTGGATCCATAGTTCAACTTCATCCAGCAAACAGCAGACATATAATACGATTTCGTGTGCCATGGAGTAAAACCTCACTTTTTTGACATGGCTAATATGATTTGAAATTCTATCTTCTTGATTCCAGCTCTAACAATGAAGGAAGAACTTTGGATAAAGTATGATATCCCAACTACTACGGAGGCTCTTATTGATGGAACCGTAGAAACCTTACAACTTCTTGGCCATTTTTTCCAATTCAACGATAGAGGGGCATTGGATTGAACATTGAATATGTACAGGTCCCATCACATAACAATCCAAGTTAATTGTACACAAAGGTCAACGGGGGCTATATGCGGGTATCTCAAAAGAACAATATAGCATCCAGACAAGACAGGGCACAGGAAGACTAAAAAAAAAAGCATGAAAAGTATGTACAACAGGTCACAACGTGGACCAAGGCAATCAACCTCAGCCACGCCCACACTAATACATCCGCTCATTTCAATCTGTAGATACAATCTCGACGCCGTCCGGCGCAGGAGCACTTATAGATGCATTCTTGCGGTGCTTTTGCATCCCCAGAATCTGCCACGCCCGACCCATCATGCCATGACCCAAGCCCTGAGGGAACTCAACAGAGCCCTTATGAGCATGTTTCGAAACACGATCGCGCAGTGCGCGTTCCTGTTTTGCAGCAGCCAAGCGATCTTGCTCACGCTCGTGGTTGACGATCTCGTCACGCCATTCAGCCCAGTGCTCGAAATTCTCGCGTTGCTGGAGAACCTGGTAGCGCAGACGGGTTTTGGATGGACGCCATGCGGTGCGGTTGACGGTGCTGTCGTCGCTGCCTGTTGGGCGAGTCATTGTAGATTTGAGATCAGGGACGTGCGACTCCTTCGTCAGCTTTAGGAGGTGAGACATGACATCTCTGCTTTCAAGGGCGGTGCGTTGGATCTTTTCTTGTTCTGGGGTTGGGCTGGCGGGTGTGAGGGGCATGTCGAGCCAGGCGTGCATTTCTGTTGAGCGCTGGATGGAGTATGGGTCGAGGATGTTGGAACGGCGGTTTTCCTCGCGCAGGAAACGCACAGCGGCTTGAAGGCTGTTTACTTCCGCACGGAGGGATTCGTTTTCTTGCATTGCTGCCAAGGAGGCCTCGTTGTCGATCACAATGCCTTCGCCTGTGGTTTTTACACCAGCCGTGCCAGACATGCGCTTCATGCGCTCGAGACGGGTCATGTATTCGTCTCGCTCTGCTTCGGCGGCCTGGAGCTCTTTCTTCTGTCTTTCGACTGTTTCCTGTAATTCACTTTCTGCTTCCTGAATTCGCTCGATTTGACTCTCCAGGTCCTTGACCACGGCTGCCTTCTTGCTTGCTTCGCGCATCCTTGACTCAAGGTGTTCTATCTTAAGACCTTGCTCTTCAAGTGTGGTGTCTTTCACACCAAGTGCAGCGGATGCCTCATGGATTTCATTCTTCAATCGACGAATCTCTTCATCGGCATCTGGGGAGATTGTCTTATTGGACTTTAGCTCTTGAGCACGAGCGATCCAAGGGTTGGCACCTCTCTCGAATTCAGTGGTTCGAGACAAGTCCGATGAGATATGGTCCAACTCCTCAAATTGACCGCTTAGGTCACGAAGCTTATTGAGAAGCAATGAAACAGGGTCGTTGCTCTCTTCCAGGGTTTCGGAAAATGGTGCAAATGATGCAGAAGCCTGTGACAAGCAATCTAGGATTTCCTCCAAGCTAAAAGCCTCTGTCCGAGCTTCATCGTTGGTCAGATTTGCAATGTTCTCGCCGAGTGTCCGAGCAAATTCAGAAAGCTGCTTGCTGCTGGTCTCCGCATTCTTGAAGGGCTCGTCGGCTTCCTTTGGAAGGGCAAGAGACCTAGACTGCAGATCGTCAAGAGACCTGCTGATTTTGCTCATTGCGACCTTACACCCGCGCGCCTGAGAAATAAAGGAATCGAACTTGTTAAGAGCAAACGATTCTTCCTCTGTACTCTCTTCAGAGGGAACCATTTTGGCCTTGATGATGAGCTTGAGGCGCGCAATCGCCGTACCAGCATGGTCAAGATATGATTGAGACAAATGGGCACGCATACACAATTCATCGGCAAACATCTCAAGACTGAAAGGAAGAAGGGTTTCAGCCAAATGCGCGATAAGAGCAATAGATCGCTGTAATTCCGTTGCGAGCTTTGAGAGGTTCACTTCATTTTTCTTTGCATTCTCGATCCAAAAGTTCAAGGTACGCTCGACTGGCTCCATTTCGAACATTGCGACTTTGACATTTCCAAATTGTTCAGAAGAACAGGTTGTAATAAAGTTCACGAAACGATCACACACATTTGAGATCCACATGAGATGTTCCAGCACCTCGTGGGCCTTGAAGACTTCTTCTTGCGTCGAGAGTGCTGCATTTTCTGAGCCTCGTTCTCGAAGGGTGTTGGTAATAACAGTGGCCTTGAATCCAACACGCTTAAATCGGAGCAAAGCCTGGACAGAATTTCTTTCGCCATCAAAATACTCCGGCAAGTAGAGCTTGACCATCGCAAGGTGTTGTGCGGCTTCCTCTGACTCCATTCGACTCAATTCCATATCGATAGACTTGGTCTGAGCTTTCGATGCAGAAGCTTGTAATTTCATGTTGAGATCTATCATGGCCCGGGACCGTGTGGTGAGATCGGTTGCTTCTGCCTCGGAGATTTGTTGGGTTGCCCGCATGTCTTCCAAATCAGTCTGTAGGTTCGTCACCAACTCTCTAAAGCGAGACAGCGTATATTCAAGATCTTCGATAACCTCGTCCTGTTGATTAATCTTTCGACATTGATCACCGAACACGCCTTCCCGATAGTCAATCTCTTCCTGAAGCTGTTTCTCAGTTTCGATATGAGTGTACTCCATTTCATCACTGATCTCTTTGAGAGATTCCAGATCCTCAATGGCAGCTTTGAGCTCGTTGATGTCTTCCTGGTAACGCATGTTCTTGTCTGCGAGCTCCTCAATCATTTCTTCGGCACCGAGGGCAGTCTCTAGCTGCTGCTTCAGATCCTCGACGTTGGTCTCTAGAACCAAAAGCTTCTCTTTGGCAGCCTCATAATCAGATTTGACAGCAGAGTATTCCTCCAGATCCTCTTCCAACTCCTTGATCTGGGCTTTGAGGTCTGATTCCTGCTGCTGGGTCATATCTCGCAAACGGATAAGAGCTTCACGAAGACGTTCGTTGGTTTTCTCCATCTGGAGCCATCCATGACTGGATCTCTCTTCCGGACTTGTGACCTGACTAAACACCTCGTTCTCCTCTCGAAGAACCTCAACCTCCAGGGTCAGCTCTTCCATCTTGGATCGAATTGTTTCACATTCATGTTTGAAGGCTTCGGCGGTCTCCTCGGCCATTTCGCGATCAAGAGCAGCCATTTCCATGAGTGACTCATGCTCAGCCTGAAGTCTGTCCAATTCATCGAAACGAGCTTCGGTGTCTTTGAGCTTCTTACGAAGTTCCGTGACCTCCATCTGCTGCGGCTGATATTTAGCCTGCAATTTTTGGATTATTGATTCGAATTTATCACGCTCAGTCTGGATATGCTCAAGGGTTTTGAGTTTCTCCCTATCATCCACTCGTTTCTTCTCCATCTGATTCAGCTTCAGCTGTAGCTCTTCGATTTCTCGATTTACTGCCGCATTCGAGACTTGGCGTTGAGACGAGGATGCCGGGGCTCCAGGGCGTGTGGTTGTTGGACGAGTGGCAGTCATCGACTGTCGAGAGGGCTTTGGCGCCGCTCCTGCACTTGGCGCAGCCTCGCCTTCAGTCCCGGGTGACTCAAGATCGGTTGTGTTTCCAGAATGTCCTCCTGCACGGCTGTCCCTTCCATCGAGTGCCTTTGTCGCACCAGCCTGCCTTGCTGTAGTAGTCTTCGGCGCCGTAGGGCCTGTTGCGCGTGTCGTGGTTTGTGAGCTTGGTCGCGAAGTCCGGGCTGCTGGCCCGGACACAGATGTTCGCGCGGCCTTTGGGGCATTAAGCGCTGCTGCAGATCCGATAGACCCTCGGGTTGTGGTAGTTCCTCGGGGTCGGGTTGTTCCCACGGTAGAGGTTCGTGGAGCAGTGGTTATCCCGGTTGACGGACGGCTAGCGCCTAGCTGTTTCGTTGGAGATTTTGTAGGTGACTAGCAGAATTAGAACGAGTTAGCTAACTGGATGTCACAAACCGCCATGGGCCATGACACACTCTTAGAGATGGGCGAGCTGCGGCACCCCTTGGCGCTGGGGTAGGAGTTGAGTTTGCGCTGGTGCTTTGTCGTCTGGCAGCTGTAGGAGGCAATGCAGGTTGTTTCCGCAAGCCAGCAGCTTGAGGCGCTTTGGTGGCAGCTGCGGTGGCAGCCGGTCTCCCGGTTTGTTTACTCTCCCGCATTGGTTGTCGTTGAAGGACCTTTCCAATAATTGATGGTCGAACAAACATGCCGTAGCCTGGCTCGCAATTGAAGTATCGTTCTCCCTGTACTGCACCATCATTCTTTCCGTTGGCATCATCCAACTCAAGACCTATCCATTCTCCTTCCGCAAAGTGGGTGGTACCGATGAACCGCACCGTCGCATGGCGTGCATTAGCCAACTCGACCACCGAGCCTACAATCATGTCTATTTCGGACATTGTGGATGATTGCAAGAGCCACGCTGAGCTCTTGGGCGAAAGCCGGGGGTGTTTGCTGATGTTGCAGGAGACAGAAACACAAGAGTCAGGAGTCCACTTGACGCGCTCCGCTGATCGACGCCTGCCTGAGGCACCACTTTATACTGGAACTTGATGGTCTGACTTAACTTGAACAAAGAACTACGTGAGGTCAAGCAAGTTTCTATCATTGGATTGCGATGCAGTCTAATTCCATGGATACCAATGTCTTATTTATTTAACGCTGGGTTAAGCACTATCTGTCATCATATGCTCGGGCATTCAGAGTCGTAAACCAAAGTCTAACAAAAAAGAGCCAATAGTCATGGTCCGATCTAGGCTGTATGGCTTTGCTGTTTAAAGACGTGGGGGAAAAGAACCCGTAGCTCTTCAAGGCTGGATATCACATACTTCGATGCCGGGTTGGATGGTATGGGGTTCCCGGGTTCCACCAAGTGAGCCGTAGTCCAGCCCCGGGCAGTCGAATGGACACAGTTTAAGTGAGAGTCGTCTGTTTTATCTCGTTAATCTGCGGTACCTAACAATGTAACAGAGATGTAAAGGCGACATACCAACAAAATAGCATCCTTCTGTAGTAGGGGCGCCAGCTTCCTTCTCCGCCTTGGCGTACATATCCTGGCTGGGCTTGCAAACTAATGGCAGCTGTCCGTAGTCACAATAGGTAATGCCTTCAAAAAGGTCTTCAACACCGAGTAACTTTACCACTCGTTTCCCGTGGTTGACATAAGCATTGGTGAGCAACCACGGCTTCACTTTGGTTGTGTCCAAGTCTTCGAGCAGTTTGCGCAACTTGGGATCAGGTTTCAGGATAGCATCAAGTGGTAAAGCATCATCGACTTCGTAGTTGAATTCAAGCGGATCGATCTTATGGTGGCGGGTAAGGCCCTCAATGGCTAATCCATACTCTTTGTAGTATTTCTGGTGCAGCATGTGGGCATCTTCCGTTGTAAGGTCAAGATGTTTCATGAAGAATATATCTAGAATAATACAATGATTAATTGCAACTTCCGAAAGACAAGTACAATGTCTCTTACTGATCAATTTCTGCATTTCATCGTGGATGTTGCAAGCTGCGCGCGAATATCAATCAGCCAGAGCTTCAGTAATCCGAAGTAGGTGATCCAACCTTTGGAATAGAGCTTTAAAGCAAGCGCATGTCATTAGTCACCCTGAGATATAGTATTCAATGATTACTGACTTACACAATTGTCAATATCGAAGAAGAAGATCGGACGTGAGTCACTGACTCCATTTGCGCCGTTGGTCGCCATCGATCTGATATTGAGATATTGCAGAGGCAAAAAAGCAGGAGAGAACCTAGAGGCCGTCAGCGGTCGAATAACCCGAGGCACAGACGAGCGATACATGTAAGAAAGAAAGGAGAGGGAAATCAAGGCCGAAGTACGGAGAGAGTACACCTCCTTATCGCCCCGTGATGTTTACCTAATCGGACTTAGCGCCGGAAAACATCGTGGACTCGCTGCAACTCTTCATTTGCTACTCGTTTTTTCAACTTTCAGAACTTATCTTCTGTGTAGGAACTGAGCCGTGAAAGCCACACGTGCTTTGACGTGTTGGCAGTTGAAGTGATTTGAGACTAAGCTCAGAGCTGTTCGACCGATTTTTCGGCCTCAACTGTCTCCCTTTCCCCGGCGCTTCTCTTCAGTCATGGCAGCTCATGGGGCAGCAACTCACCTTACAGCAGGTCCGATGGCAATCTCAGCACCGCTACCGGGTGATGCATTACGCGAGTATGAGAAAATTCTAACTATCAGCGATGAGATATTCTCGGGCTCCCATCCCCGGCTCAAGGTGCCCCAGCACCTCGTGCGCAAACCCGCATCGCGCAACGGTCAAAATGCCCCTGTCCGGCCTCAGTTGCCCAAACCAGCACCGCCGAGGTCTATCGTGGAAAAGGTGCCTCCACTTGAGACCAATCAACCTTACAATAGCTCGCACACTACCCCGGCTGCTCTATCTGCAGCACCACCGTCTGCTCGTTTGGCTTCAAAGCCTACTTCTGAGATTGATCCAATCTTTTTGACCAAGTCCGATGACTTGGTTCGAGCAGAACTCCAATTACAAAGACAAAGAGTGGAGAGACAACTGCGTGATCAAGTGGAATTGAGGAGGATGGAGACCAAGCAGAAAACTGCGGTCCAGGATACAAAGCCTGAATTTGACGTCTCGGAGGTTTTCAAACAGGCACTTGAGGTGGTGAAACCTGTCTCGCTGTGTGATTCGTCAGAGGCCAGTGGCCCTGATGGTCAGGCAAGCGACTTTGACAACAACTCATATTACTCCAGTAGAGCTCCTGATTCGCCTTTGCAGGCTGGAGGGCAGCAAAAATCTTCCCCTGTGGCTATTGTTCCACCTGCAGGCCCTGCTCAGCATGGCCCAGTAGCCCATTATCCAGATGAGTTGCAGCGACTCGAAGCTCTGAACCAACCTGGATCTGATCAGGAAATGCAAGATGCTTACCATGTTGCTGACCAGCGTCCCATGTATACTCAGACTCAGTCCCGCCACCAGAAAGCAGAGGATCCCAACCCATACCGCGAGTCACCGCAGATTGAGGCCGCAGATGACTCCGAGTACTCCCCGCCTGCTCCCGCGGCGCCCTTGTCCGAAGCTCACGACTACCCTCGTGAGATAGAAAGTGGAAGACAACTCAAACCAGATGTTAGATACATCGAGCTACCTCGTGGCCCCCGCAAACCTCCTTCCCCTGCGAACGTGAGGGTGGTTCAGAATCACATCACATCACCGGCAGCTCCCCGGCCATCTCGCGTCTCTCCTCTTGCTACGGCCAAGGTCCCTCCTGTACAGCACCTCCGCGATGAAAGAATCGAACATGCTTCCGAACAAGTGTACTCCGATCCTGATTCTGCTCGGGGCAGTCCAGCAAATGCCCCAACCCCGGTTATCATGTCTCGCAAGCGGCGCAGACTCCGTGAAGGTGGTGCAGAACCCCGCCATGCTTCTCAGAGGACAAGAAATGCAGAGCCCGTGGAGACATACATCAAAGAGGAACCTGTCTCACCGCCACCTTTTGCAGACGATCTTACCACTAGTCGTAACCGACACGCTCAAGATCGCCCCATTTACATTGATGTGGCTTCTCCCCAATATGCTCCCGTGTATGAAAATCGAGGTCCACCAATTCGAGAACCGGTGTACGAAATTGATCCGTACCACGAGTTTCCATCAGACTCAGGTCCTCCACGCACAATCTCTCGACTTAGTACCCGACGGCCAATTCGAGAGGATGCAGATCTTCGACGGGTCGCCAGTTTGCAATATGCCCGGCAATCAGACTATCCTCGTGAGTATATGGAGGCCCCGCCACGTCCAATGCGGGCAACATCGTATGTTGTGGAGCGCCCGGTGCAGGAGCGACCCAGGTATTACGAAGAAACCCCTTCTTACCCCCAGCACCGTTACATCCACGTGGATGATATGCCACCACCAACCTATCGGGAGCCTTATTACGAGGAAGCACCACCACCACCACCACCACGGATCATGGCGCCTCAACGTCGGATCGTGTACGATGAACATGGGAACCAATACTACGAGGTTCTCCCGGCACCAAGATACCAGCCAATGGCTCCCCCACCACGACCCATCTCTCAGATGTCCAAGACCAATGTCTATGATGACCAAACTCCGCACCATAATGCCAGTGTTCGCGCGCCCTCGGTTGTCCAAGACCCATACGTTGAACGCCGCTATGTACAGGAGATGCCCCCACCCCAACCAATCTACAGACGAGTTGCAACAGACTATGGTCGTCCCGTATCTCGCGCTCACGAAAGACAACCCTATGCAACTCCCTTGGAAGGCCACGAGCCTTACTCACGCAGCGGCAGTGTTCAAGTAGAATATATTCCCCCTCGCCACCCAGCTTACCTCGATGAGCGCGGCATTCCCCAAGAGAGAGTGATTCGAACAACCAGTGTTTATCCTCCCCAGCCTCGATATGAGGAGCCGCATGAAGTTGTCCAGCGGGTTGGCAGTATGCGTCCATCTCTACCGGGTCGTGAAGTCAGTGTTTTGATGGAAGACAGACCGGTGGGAGAGTACGTCGAGAGACCATACTACATCAGAGACAGACGCTATTATGACGCTGAAGGTGAAGAGGGAGATCGCATTGCATTGGATGGCGCAAATGATACGGTCCAGCGAGTTCGGCATTACCAGTAGCGTCTTCCACACTGGATTTATTTGCACGGAATTTCATGACTTTGTACCTAACTGTACTTCTCAGCGGCTTACACTTCAAAAAAAAAAAGCAACGCAATTTTCCATTTTCCATATTGATTCTCGTTTCAAGATACTATTTAGTCTACGGCCGCCGTTGTTACTGTTGGTAGCCCTATTATTTTTGGATTTATCAATCTTCACACCAATTAACCCCACCTCAATGACTCTTAGGCTGGCTTATCCACGATTCTAGTAGTATTCACCCTCGATAGAACATGCCTTTTGTCCCGGGACTTTCGAGCACGTAATTTCTGCATAGGCAGCTAGGTCTGCGACAACAATAACGTTTACCAAATAGAAGCATTGATGTACCAAAACGCAGCAAGAAGCACGTAAGATGCCACAAGAGATGAGAGTAAGCTTCACTGCATATATTTGCGAAAGATATCGGCATGCCAATATATGGGGCGTACTAGAAGAAGCTGTTCGGGTTCTTAATCATGAAGCTTGCATGTAAGTTATACACTTGTCGCCTACATCCAGTAACTCGTCAGCCATTTTTACATGAGAAGCTGTGCATATATTGCAGATGAACATGACAGTGAGAGCTGGATATCTAATTATTAGATCATTTACGAGGATTTAATGATCCTCGAATCTAGTCTGAAGGAAATACAGCCGGTTTACTGAGAAATTTGATTGGTTTAGGGTGTAATTGAAGTCAAGCCTGACTAGAAGCAGTCTACTGAGCCTTTGTTACCTGATATCAATAAAAAAAAGTTCTTGTGATACAGCTTTCGGATATACGTATGTGCCTATGGTAGCCAGCGAGGACATGTATCCTTAATCTTTGGCGTCAATCTATAAGTTATGGCTCCAACCTCTGACTCGAACCATCCTTATGGATTAGATACCAGTAAAGACTGTAGAGTCTCAAATCATTTAACTGGTCAAGTGTACAGTTCAATCAACATCATAACTAACGTTGACGTTAACTTACAGCCAACTTGACATGTACATACAGTAGCTTGTACCGACTAACGTTATACGTTGGGTTACTGATCATCGAGAGTAACGAACTTACCTGGGCCATTTACAACTGTATTGTAGGTTTCTTGTTTTTTATGCATGTTTTGGATGTTTCCCGGCTCGTAAGATTTGGAACAGACACACAGGTGCGTGCCTATGTGTACAATATATATTGCGCGGATGACATTTCCCATATCGGCTCCCCAACCCAAAAAATTAGAGCATTCTTGATTTGTTGAAAATTGACTATGACTAGAAGCAAACTACAATGGTCTATAGTCCTTCCATAAGATCAGAAGCAGAAGATGGATGCCAGCGTGTTATGTATGTAATCACGTGACACTGGTTGGCTTCCCCCAGGCCATATTTGACGCCCAAAACAAGGCATCAACCCTGGGAATTAATATGTGGACCAACCCTGCAGCAACCTGGCTAAAACGATCGACACAAAAAGTACCAAAAAAGAGCAGCCAGTGGCGATTCGCAAGACTAAATCCATAACAGTTCCCCTCAAATCTTGATTAAACCGGGGGGAGCAGAAGCCTGGGATTGAAACACACCACTGCCCGGTCCACCCAGTCGGATTTCATTTCGAGGTGATTGAATGTCTTGACCCACCACGACTATACGAGGACATGACGTCGACTACTTGAGGGGTCAAGAGGTGTACAGCTGTACAGCTCTGTACCCCGTACCTAGGTACCATATACAAGAGTCCAACGCTTATGGGGACCGGATGCACGAACAAGTGCCCCGAGTCCAACAGTACAGACATGACCAAGCTCCACATGCCTCAGTTCCCTCCGGTCCAGCCGGTGTATTCAGGTGCCCTATCAGGCCCAAGTGCCAGTGGATCGGGAGTACGGAGGCATACAGGGTTCTGTCTCCCGGAGCCTATGAGAGGATCGACCCGCGTATTACGGAATGACTCGGATCCCGATCTGGCCAGTGCCTGACAACCGGCTTCAAGGCCTGGGAGAGCTGGGCGATGTAGGAGACATGGGCCAGCTGGGGGGAGGGACCATCTGGGGGCTGGGCCAAGGTCTCAAATGTCTTACACAGCCTGGAGGACGCGCAAGAGGGCACGTGACCCTCGCTAGAGCTGCCAAGAAGACCCTTGCGAGTGCCATTCTTTTGCTCTGGCAACCGTTGGGGTATTGGGCTGAAATGGAATGATTTGCTGACTCGAAACTGATAGACGGATAGCAGATACAGTATGAAGAGAGCTATTGCAACTGAAGCCTATAATCTTGTCCAAACTAGACTCACTGTAGACCCCCCGTATTAGAGACCTGAGAGTCTCTCTGTCTCCTTTCCACGGTATTTCTATTTATGTCATGCGATTTGCATTGCACTATTAGATTATCTGTCCACCTATTTTCTATACTATTCCACTTGTGTTCGGTCTAGAAGGTGTTGGTTGGCCCGATCTTCGTTTCCACCATTCCCGCGAAACGCCCACAACTGGCCATTCCCATCCCTGTCGAGAACGGCCTTCTTCCCACTCTTCCCTCCCCCCCCCCCCCCAAAACTCCCATCCACCCTCTCTATCCCCTCGACTTGCTCAAGGGGTTAGAGATCTTACCCTGGTCATGCACAAGATCTCCAACTTTACGGGTCAAGCCCGTCATGGTTGGGAACGAATGACGCCGACTTTCGGGATGTCTAGACCTCATACCGACATGGCCTTTCGCCGACCACATGGGGCACCGCCCATGACACCGCCGACGAGTATCGATCCGACCGTCAATCTATCCTTCAACGTTCCTTTCTCATCCACCTTGGCCGGTCCCGATGTAGAGGACGTGCTCCACGCTAGTCCCGGCGCTCTCCAGCGCTGGACCTTTCCCGAAGGCACCCCCGAAGGCACCTCCGTGCACCAGCTACCCGTCCATACCAACAACGTTGAAAGTCTACAGAGACTATGCCGGAAGATCACAGAGGAGAAGGGAGGCCGCGTAGAAGCAACACTGACGACCTCGGAGGCCAAGGCTGTGCCCGCGCTACAACGCCGGCCAAACGGCTTGGTAACAAATGTCTGTGTCACGGGTGATGGAGAAATGGCGCGCAAGATGCGTGCCAGAATTTTGAACGAGACTCCGATCATGCTGGTACGTCGATGAAATTTTTTGGTTGCGGCTATGGCAAGATTTTCAGCTCCACAGACACCCCTTGCTAACCGGCCGTGAAACAGCGATGTGCCACTGTAGACGTGGATATGCATCTGATCGTGGATGGATCACCCAAGGGCATTCGAGCCAGTGTGCTCGAGCACATGGATACTTTGGCTGCCTACACCGGAGCCGACATTTTCTTGCTGACACCCAAACTCCACGACGCGGACAGCGCCGTGGTTTCTTCCTATGGATATGCGTCGGATAATGGGCTGGACCAGCGCTTCCGAGTTGCTATATACGGTGATCTAGAAAGTTCGGAACATGCCAAAACCCGAGTGCTGATTATGATTGATCAAATTGTACGTGTTGTGCGTGAGAATCTCGAGGTCAACAAGCTAACCAGAAAACAGCTCAAACGCCATGTTGATGCCATCAAGTTGGACTCGACCATGCACACCTTGGTCTGCGGCCGTACTCGCAAGAACATCAAGCTTATTGAAGCTGCTACCGGGACCGCTATTTACTTCCCTCCTCCTTTCCCTCAAATCTTCGGTTATATACCCCCCGGTGCGAATCGTCGAAGCGAAGATGAGGTTTATATTACAGGCGAGACGCCTGAGCAAATTGCACGAGCAAAGCAGAAGCTGCGGGAGCTAGTGATGGGGGTGAAAATCTTCGTCAAGGACGTGGTTGTCAGCTCGAGCAAGATTGACAACATTCTGCTCGATCGTCTGGACAAGGTCCGAAAGGTCATGGAAATGAACGGGTCTTACGTTTTGTTCCCTCAGCTGGGCAGCCAGCGTGGACTTGTTCGGATCCAAGGCACTGAGGTTTTGCACGTCGAGCGGACCGTCAGAGAGATTATGGCCTTGGTGAGTATTGCCGCAACGCTGTTATGGGAGTCGCTAATAATTGCTTAGGCTGGTCAGTTCTACTCTGCCTCATGGTGGATCATCATGCCGGACCCCGCGCAAGGTGGCCTCCGAGCTCCTTCGACCGCCGACATCCGCTCCATGTTATCGGATATCTGCACAAACTCTGAAGCAGAAGTCAGCTTTGACAATCTGACCTTTACGATCAACGGCTCCGATGATGCAGTCAAGGCTGCCATGACAGTCATCAACCAGATCCCCTTCGTGATGCGCAGTCAGTATCAGATGCGTGTGAAGATTGAGCTGGCCAATGAGCACAAGGAGTTTGTCAGTGGCAAGAAGAACGGCAAGATCAACAAGATCATGGGACAGAGTGAGTTCCATCGAAATGTGCCCGTGAAGCATGTTACTAATTACTATCAGGCAACGTCCAAATCATTTTCGACGGTTTCAACGAGTACAATTTCTATATCGACGTATGCGGCAACCAGTATGAGTCGACCAAGAACGGTCTGGATCTGGTGGAGCAGGAAATGCCTGCTTCTATTTCTTTCCATGTTCCGGACCAGTACCACAAGCGTATTATTGGAATTGGTGGACAGCATATCCAGCGCATCATGAAGAAGTACTCTGTCTTCGTGAAGTTCTCCAACGCCATGGACCGCGGTGGTATGGGTAAAGAAGATGACGACATCAAGGTTGACAACGTTATCTGCCGGACCCCTGCTCGCAACGCCCAGAGCCTGGACCTTGTCAAGCAGGAGATCATGGACATGGTTGAGAAGGTTGATGCCGAATATGTCTCTGAGAGAGTCGTCATCAACCGTCTGTACCACCGTGAGCTCTTGGCCCGCATGACCGAGATAGAAGAGCTTGAGAAGAAGTGGAACTGCAAGATTGAGTTCCCCAGCACTGAGCTTGCCAGCGACGTTGTGACCATCTCTGGCCCCGAGTACCAGGTTCCTCAAGCGGTCGACGCTCTGCTTGGCATGGTACCAGAAAGCCACGAGCTTCACTTCCAGAGCTCGGTGGAACTCCGTGACTACTTCAAGTCCGTTGATTTCATCGCTGACGTCCGAACCAAGCTTAAGGAACAATACGAGGTCGATATCAATGTTGATGTTGGTGCTGATTTGCCCACCACTCCGGAGGAGGAGGGCTCCTCTTCTCCCGTCCCTGGCCCCGAGGACCGTGTTGTTCTTGGCTACACCCGCAACAACGCTGGCGGTCTCAAGGATGCTATTGACTTCTTGATCTCTCGTCTGGTTGGTCACGGACTCGACGCCAACACCGTCAAGGGAGCAATCCCTCGCCCCAAATCTGACTCGTTTGAAGAGTCCCTCCCCTTCTTCGACTCGAAGCTTCTGCAGCACGCCCCGGCACCCCTCTCAACCGACTCGCCCACCCGCCCCAACTTCTCTGATGAGACTAGCGAGCGAGGCTCGATCTTTGAGCGCCTCCGCAAGCCTGGAAGCATCTCATCCTTCTCCTCGTTCATCGGCCGCAAGAACCACTCCGCCTCTCCCGCATCGTTCTTCAAACATGCCTCCAGCAATGCCTCCAAGGCATCCCTTGTGTCCATGGAGTCTCGCGATAGCGGCTACCGCAACCCATGGAATGACTCTGGAGTGAACCTTGCCGAGGACGACGTGCCCGTCCTCGGCAGCTCGCACAGCCACAAATCTAGCAATAGCAATGGCTGGCCCACCCGCTTCGACGCCAAGTTCCCCTTCGGCACCGCGCCCGGCGACATGACCCCCAAGCATGACCTGCGCACCTCATTCGACTCTGGTCGTCCAAGCACATCGAATTCTACTTCTGGATACCCGGCCCCAATTGGGCCACCGCGTTAAACCCAAAATATCCATTTGCAGCAGTATACCCTTTTTTGGTCTGAGTTCTTGTTCTTGTTTCCTGTTTTTTGTTTGGTTTCTTGGTTTCTTTATTCCCAGCGTGATTCTGTTTACTTTTCGGTTTGTCTTTTTTTGTCCGATTTATTGATTGATACCACGGAACGCAAGCAATGAAGGCGTCAGAAAAGAAAACGAGATATCCAAAATCTGCAATAGAGCGGGCCATTGATGTCCTGTTGGGCTAGATGACTCCCGCTTTGAGATTTGTCTTTTTTATGTGCGCATTTGTCGGAGGAATTGGATAGTCTGAATTTCTTGATCTTCGGATCGGGATGGGATAGGGAGTTTTCGATAGTGTGTTTTACTCCTTTGATATCCCCCATCAATGAGATTTTGCCATTAGACCCCCAGTGTACGATGTAACGATATATCCGGAGTTCCGGATAGCCCTAAGTAGAGCTGCAACCAGGGGCTATGTGTCACCAGGCCAGGTTGTTTACTATATCTGTTTTCGACTTGGAGGCGCAGGATTTATCCATATGCATAACAGTTATTGCCATTCAGATGCAATATTTACTTTCTCGACTTGATACCCACTCTGTTGCTTGTTTGAGCCTCACTAGCCCTTCCTGGCTAGTCTCAAGCCAGAGTAATACACAGTCCCATCGACCCAGAAGCAAGATCTAAATACTGGACATCCAATGGTCGAGACCTTAACCCCGCGAGTGACGTTAACGTGGGGTCGAAGGACATTAAAACGCCCAAACCCCTCAAGAGTCCAACTTCCCTCGAACAACATCCCTGAAAAAAAGAGACGAAACATTACCTTGTTCACAACCATAACCAACCCAGACCAAAATTCTCAAAATGACAAGCTATCCCCGTCCAGACTTCCAACGGACTACCCTGAACTGGAGTAGCCTCGATGGCCCATGGACCTTCACATTTGACGACGCAGACACGGGCAAAACCGAAAACTGGCACAAAACAAGCCTGAAAAACAACATATCCAAACGTGAAATCAATGTCCCCTATGCCTTCCAAACGCCAGCCTCGGGAATCAACCTCCTGGAGGCGCACGAGGTAATGTGGTATGAGCGCAATATAACCGACGTCCGTAACGCAGACGAAAAAGCAAAGGGGAACAGACTCCTCGTCCGATTCGGTGCAGTCGATTATGAATGCGAGGTTTGGGTAGATGGGTCGTTCGCCGGTGGACATCGGGGTGGACACGTCCCCTTTGACGTGGATGTGTCCGATGCATTTCATAGCGAGAAAAGCGAAGCTCGACTTACGCTGAGAGTACGAGATTCGCCATTCGATCTGACCCAGCCGCGTGGGAAACAGTTCTGGAAGCCTGTTCCTGAGAGTATTTTCTATACTCCTTCTGGTGGGATCTGGCTTTCTGTTTGGCTGGAGAGTGTTCCTGCCATGAGAATTGCCTGTGGAAGTGGTGGGACGGTGCTGAGGTCTGATGATATCGATTCTGGAAAGTTGCATGCTCAGGTTGGGGTACTGGGACGACGAGTTGGGTCTGAATCCGCGGCCAAGATTGAGATTGAGGCGAATCTCGGTGGTATCTTTGTTGGAAAAACCGAGGGCGAGCTACCTCGGGATCAGAATCTCGCCAAGTTGGAATTGAGTATGAAGGCGGAGACTGCAGCCTCGTTACAAAGTCGGGAACCCTTCAATGCGGACGGTGTCTGGCATGAAGGTGTAGCACTCTGGGCTCCGGAACATCCAATCCTCTACGATATTACACTTCGACTGTACGATGCCTCTGGCAGTCTAATCGACGAAGTCCAAACAACAACCGGCATGCGAAGCCTCTCCTGGCAAACAGGCGACGGCACATTCCGCTTGAACGGCAAACCCTACTTCCAAATGCTCTTCCTGGACCAAGGCTATTGGCCCGAAACAGGAATGACACCCCCCTCATCTGAAGCACTCAAGACGGATATTGAACTCGCCAAGAAAATTGGATTTAATGGATGTCGCAAGCACCAGAAAGTCGAGGACCCTCGATTCTACTATTGGGCCGATCGACTCGGTTTTGTTGTTTGGGGAGAGATGGCAAATGCGTATGAATTCGGGGGTGAATATGTCGAGCGTTTTACGGGCGAGTGGACTGAAGCTGTGAAGCGTGATATCAATCACCCGTCTATTGTTACCTGGACGCCTATCAATGAGTCGTGGGCTGTTTTTGCACTGAAGGATAATATTGAACAGCGGAATCATGTTCGCGCGTTGTACTATTTGACGAAGTATGATTCACCCCGTCCCAACCAATCTATATCAACACAAGAAGAACGCTGACCAGAAAAGAAACCTCGATCCAAGCCGGCCCATAAACGACAACTGCGGCTGGGAACATGTCAAAACAGATCTCACTACCTTCCACGACTACAGTGATAGCTCAGAGTTGACAGCCACGTGTGCCAGTATGAGCGGAATCCTAGGTCCCAAAGCCGGACACGATATGTTCGCACCACCCATCTACAGCGGCTACTCGGGTTCTGTCATTGTAGACGAGGGGGCGAGACATACACCAGGTGCGCCAGTTATCTGCTCCGAGTTCGGAGGTGTGAATATCACTCCACCGAAGGATTCAAAGGAGGCGGGCGAGCGGGATTGGGGTTATACAACTGCTAGTGACCCCGATGATTTCTTAGTGAGGTTTGAAAAGTTGGTCATGGGTGTTGTGAAGGGGGGACATGTCTGTGGACTGGTATGGACGCAGCTGTGAGTTTTCACTACATTTGGGCTTGACTATTGCGAACAAGAGGGTGAATGCTAATGTGGCTGGGTTTACTATAGGTGTGATATTGAGCAGGAAGTTAACGGGTTATACACCTACGACCGCAAAGATAAGGTCCCCGCTGAGAAGGTTAGGGCTGTTATGGATGCCGCGAAGGACCATTACTATGGGCACGTTAGTAGCCACCACTCGAAGGGATTCAGGAAGTTGCTGGATCAGTATAAGCAAGTGGTGCACCGGAAGTGAGTTCGGTTGGTCTGGGACATGACATTGCGGTATTGAGGAATTTGGATCTGAGTCTCTCGACAGAGATATTGGTTACATATTCATACAATGACGGTAGTAGAGTAGCTTTCGGAATCAGCTATCACTTACCTCCATAACATGACTACTTGATCCGGGGATTGCTTTCTCTCTTCTCCAAAGATAGGGTTCAACTCTTCTATCGAACAGAGCAGGCCTAGCCCTATCCCCTTGTTGTTTACCGAAATAGACCATATTCAACCTCTCGCGTCTTTTTTCAAACTTATCTATCGGTAATAATTTCATTCAAATCATACAATCCACGGGTTCTGCTCGCCGCCGCACCTCCAATTGAGCCATAGGGTCAACGCTCACAAAAACCCCAAAATGGACGGGCTTTGAAGAAGAACCATCCTTCAACCGAAGGTCATATTTCAACAGGATGTGAGCCAAGCACAACTTCAACTCATCACTGGCAAAAAACCGACCAGGACAAATGTGTCTACCACCCCCAAACACATTATGCTCCCGACTCGATTGCACGAACTGGCTTGCTTTGTTCCCCGCGTGACGTAGCTTCAAGAAGCGGTATCCGTCGTATACATTTGGATTCTCATGGACGTTTGGATTCCACATGTCGCTTGCGTCGACCATGATGCGAGTTCCCCTGGGCAATCTCGTCCCATCCGGAAGAGACGTATCGCGAATCACCTTGCGCTCCAAACCCACTATAAGACAGCGTCAGAGTCATATTGGCTACTGTGGTCATGGACACTTACCTGTGGGAGGAACCAGCCTCTGTGACTCTTTCATCACACTATCAAGCAACTCCATTTTGACCAACGCAACTAGCCCAAGGCCGTGATTTGACAGCGAAGTTTGAATATCTCGTCGCAGAGGTTCCACAAGCTCAGGATGTGTGGCAATGTCAATGAGAATCTGCTTGAACAACTCGGTGGTTGTAAACAGCGCAGCCATGGCCAAAGCGAGCTGAACATCCCCAGCGGGATGCTTGTTACCGGGGACCTGCATCGTCCAGGCCACAACATCATTGTATCGAGGTGCTTCTGAGTCTTGCATCTCTGCCTCTTTGGCTTCTTGTTCTCTCTTCTGAACCACCTCATGCATGATACTGCGAGCTCGGCGAATCAGGTCTCGACAGGCCGAGGAATGAGGCAGAACCCATTGCACAATCGGCCTCAACGGTGCCCTCCATGTGTGCAGATCACCCACTGCAGCGAAATATTCGCGCACATACGCTTGCACGACCGTCTGCCACTCGGCATCCGCGGCCTTTTCGGGACCCACGAAAACAGAGGCTGCCGCCCGCGAAACTATACCAGTCGTATCGTCATCCCAGTGGATGGTATGCCAGACTTCGCTGTCACCCCAGTGGTGCTGAAGAGCTGGTGCAATATGCTGGTTGATGGTCGGCAACAGTACTGCATTTTGGGATAATTTGGTCCGTAGCAGATCAATCAACATTCTGTCCGAGCTGTGGAGGGTGAACTGGGCCTCGAATCCAGGGTATCGGGCAAAGTATTCCTCCCTGATCAATTCTTGGTGATCCAGATCTCTGTTTGTCTTGACCCAATCGCTCAGGGCAGAAGGCAACACGATTTTCGTACCACCGGGAACAATGACCGTGATAGGACCGCCATGTTGAGCCAGACCGTCGGCGATCAGCTTTTTGGCATTCGTGCTGTACTCGCGATATGCTTTTCGGCGAAAGAAGTCACCGGGATAATCGTTCACAATGGGAAAGATTGGTCGCTGTTTTGTGGTCAAGTGGTATAAGACGCCGACGATCGCAATGAGCGTCCAGACGAGCCCGCTCGTGAAGAGTTCAAGCAGCATCACTGCGAACGAGAAAGCATTCAATAGGCCGGAATCCTAGTCGAGCACCTGAGCAAGATATAGATCTGAGCTGCAATGGCTCATGATTGGTCACCATGAGTCATGTTAGTAGCGCGTGTAATTCACTATGGAAATTACAGCATTTCAGGGTTTGAGCTCGTATTGTAAGTTACGGAGATCCTTCAAGGGCATTCCTGATTCAGGGTAATTCAGTATAGAGGCATGCAGTGGTGTTGAGTATTTGATCGTGGGGACATCGGTATATATACTATTTCCTTCACATACCTTGCTCACTTTCACGCACAAGATATCCATCAGAGTCCCTACGAAATGCCGTCTAAAGGTACTGTATAAGACTACTACAGGTTATGCTCAGCTCAGTTACGAGGACAATCATGAAAAACAACCAGTATTGCATGCAGCCCAGAAAATCAATTGAAGAACAACCATTTAAATACATTTTAATCCGCTGACGAAAAGATCTCATTAATGTACGATTAGTCGATGACGCTGAATGCTTCGCAGGAAAAAAGAGACCCCAAACCCGAATAAGAAACTCCAGAACATGCCGGGAGCGGAAAGTTCAAAATCAACCAGTCAGAGAACCTCAGGAGGAACATGCCGAGAGGATGTGAATGCAGATGGCAAATTACAAAGATCGCGAGAAGAATCACATATTGGCCAATTCCAGATCAATCTGGCGGTCCAAGAAAGCACGTTTATCGCCCGCGAGGGAAGTCTGCAGACGTTGTTCAACGAGGACGCGGACCTGCTTCTTGGTAACGGTGTCCAGATCAACTTCTGCGAGACAACTGCGGATAGCCTCGGTGATGGAAGCCTCGTCGGGACCGCTGCCAGCACGGAAATCGAAGGCGGTACTGGCAGGCCTAGAGGGGAATTGGCCCAGGGGACTGCGAGAGCGGGAGATTCCACCGAGGAGATTATCTGTGCTCTGGCCGAGACCGACGCTGTGGCGGCTGGCATTGGCCGGATTATCTTGGTAAGCGCTGAGACCACCCATGGACATGTGTCTCGACGCCGAGGCAGAGTGACCGCCCATCTGGGCGCTCATCTGTGGCATATCCGTGTACCGGGAAAAGTTGGACATGTGTGAGTTGCGGTTGCCAGGGACGTTACCGCCGACGAAGGGAGCGGGCGATTGAGGTGGCATGTATGGCTGGTGGCGACCTTGGCCGGGGAATCCGGTTAAGATGGTGGACGCCGGCTTGACAGATGAGTATTGCGACTGCATATCATCCATCTCCATGGCCATGTCATCGTAACGGCCGTTGTAGAAGACCTTCTCTTGGCTGGCGCCAAGCTCACCGCGGCGGCCGGGCAGGTTGTTGGCCATGGCGTAGTCGTCCCAGCGTTGGAGAGGAATACTACGAGGGTCGAATGGCTCATCTTCCACAGCGATCACTCGCTTGTCTCCCTTCTCGCCAATGACGACACGGGTGTTACCCCATGTGAAATCGTCCTGTCTCCAGAAGGAATACAGGGGCAAGATGAAGTTGTAAATTGGGAAGGCAAGCAGATAGATGAGCATCCATCCGATGTGCTGCCACTGACGCTTGACAATGAAGATGATTGCCTGAAGACCATAAACACCAGCCAACATGATAATTGAAATCATAGGGAAAGCTCCACTGTGACTGGCGACACGGTAGATCAGATAAACGAGGTAGACACAAGTGGCGGGAAGGATGATAGTTCCCAGCAAATCTACAAGAACGACGAAACGCATACTGAAGCAGCAGAAACCACATAGATCGTTCAGGTATGCCAGTTCGACCAGGTTGTGAATTGTCGAGTTAATCCAGCGACGTCTCTGCGACAGCAATACACTCCAGGCTTCGGGAGCAGCTGTACTAGCATAGGCATCGGGAATGAACTTGTAGGACATGGTCGGGAAATGTTTAGTCATAATGGTGGTCAGGTAACGATCCTCACCAAGAGACAGCAGATTCTTCTTGTGGAGGGTATCGACGTCGTTGTCTGCGTAGTCATGAATGACCTTGTCCGAAATGATAAGAGGGCGTCCCTTGTCCGCAGTACGAAGGCGATACATGGTGAAACTATGATTGTTAGTACAAGTTGGTAAACAGAGACAATGGAACTTACCATCCAGGAAGACAAGTAACACTGCCGAAAAGCGATTCGAATGCCTTGGCCAGGTGATGCGAGATGTAGTACTCGTAAACCTGGATCATAGTCCACCAACTGCGCTCCTCGTTTTGAAGACTGGTCTCACCACAAATGCCGGCAATCTTCGCATCTGCTGCACAAGCAGCAACAAGTCGATTGAGGGAGTCCTCCCTCACAGTAGTATCTGCATCGACCATCAGGCAGTATTCGTACAGCTCCGGGTCTACTCCAATGACGTTGTTAATCTGGTGGAAGATTTCCAGTTCAAGAGGCGACATAGGCGAGCGGTGATGGACACGGTTAAGGAACTGCATCAGAAGAACCTGAGTATCACGCTTTCCACGGTTACCAGGCTTGGACTTCCGCTGTTCAGACTCCTTGCCAACCTTGACCACAACGATATAAGGCACGACGTTACCCTCATATTCGTAGAGACCAGAGTAGACCTTGCCGTAGTTCAGCTGCTCACTTCCTTGACCGAGTGACTTGCAGGGCAGCGCTGGCGGGTCCATCTTAGGATCAACTCCAAGAATGTCCAAAACAATCTTAGGCGTGGGACGGTCGTTTCCACCACCAACGATCATACCGTCGCAGATGACGAAGATCAGCTTTCTCTTGTTGTCATACTGAAGAGCAGTTAGAGAGTCGAGACCCTTACGCAGATCATTTTCACCCTCAGTGTAAGCAGGAACCATGCAGATAACAAACTTGTCCTGGGGAGTGGGCCGACGCTTAGATCCCAGCTGCAGAGCTGCCAGGAACTTGACAAGAATAACAGCACAAATCAAAACCGTGAAGGAGAGCAAGATCCAGTTGTTCACAGTACAACGTGGAGAATCACGGATATCAATCTCGCCCACATAGAAGACATAGTTGAGACAAGTCTCAGCATTCTTGAAGTCCGCTGTGTCTTGCCATTTATCGGTAACATCTTCGCCCATGTTTTCTTTGAAAAGTTTGGTGACAGCCGATGGAAGGAAGTCGTACGAGGCAAGGTTGTTCTGCAATTTGACGGTGTAGAAATAGTTTGTTAGGTCGTAAACCTTTTTGTTCAAAATGACCCAATAGCGAGCGTCGGCGTTGGCCTGGTTCTGAACAGTTTTGCGGGTCCATACCAAAGGACCCTTGTAGTAGTCACCGATCTTTGGCAAGAAGACGTCTTCATACCAGGTAATTTTGTGCAGGGCAGTGGTCGTAATCGGTTGTTGAGTAGGGCCCGATTTGTGCTCGGCCGTGGGGTAGAGAATAGCGTTGGTATCATTGTTGGAGAGAGTAATAGACTGCTCGGTGACAAATGAAGAACAGTAGCGGGTGAGAGGGGGAGGAAAGTAAGCATCCAGGCCGAGACCCGCAAATGGTTCCATGTTTGTGGAACTGGTGTCCTCTCCAGTAATGTCACTATGCTGTTGACGGTAGAATTTGCTGATATCGTAGACACGACCGTGGATACTGACGAAGAAATCGTTACTTGTTGTGTGCCATCCAACTTCTTTCTCGTTCCACATCTTGTCCTTGTTGGGACAAAGAAGATTACCGAACTCGATGATGTAGAAACAGACGATTCCGTTGAAAAGCAAGATCAGACCGACCAAGACAAACTTTTCACGCCAAGCCAGACGCACATCGGGACGCTTCATGCGGCCAACATATTGAAGAACAAATGAGGGAATCCAGAAGGTCATCGCCCACACAAAACCGGCCCAAAGTCGACGGCCAGGAGTGATTGTTTTCTTCTCGATGTGCTTTGGGTCACCGAACTCAGGGTCAAATTCACCGATATAGTTGCCATACTCGTCGTAGTAGGCAATGTCTCCTTTCTTGTCATCGCCCTTGCGACCAAGACCATAATCACCGCCAGTAGCACCAGCCTGGGTGTATGGTGCGCTGGGGGCAACGGACTTGGCACCGCCCATGACACTGGGTGCCATGGCACCGACAGGGGCCATGTTGAGTAGGTTGGTCGATTCACCCATGGGAGTACCCTCAGGAGTGTATCCAGTTTCGTACATGGCAGGGCCATACATGAACGGGTTAATTGGAACCTCCTCTGGCTTAAGATCCAGCATACTCTCGGCCTCCCACCAGGCACCTTCCCGCATCCAGACACGTTGTTCACCTACAACGGCATCGCCATTGCTCCAGCCTCTCTCGATGATCCAGTTCTCGACACCATCCTGGCCCTCGGCACAACCAAGTCGTGCGTACCGACCCACGAACTCCTCGACATCGAAATCTGCGGTGAAATCGAGCTGTTTCAGGCGACGGTTGGCCCATTCCGGAAGACGCCAGTCACGTAATTGACGGGACACTGCACCGGCGGACCAAGCAGGACCTGCGGCCAATGCAAGCTGTTCTGGCATGTCATCAGTGGGATGGAGGGAGAGATGGTACCACACACGACTGCTGTTGAGAGTTGTAGCAAGATCGAAACGGCCTCGCTTGCCGACGGAGATACCTTCAGTATCAACGGGGAAGAAGATGCGTCGCAGGAAAGCATCTACCTCGAGTTCCACACCGATCTTTTCTAAGACACCCTGCCGCTTGTCTAAATCGTGTTCACGTTCTCTCCCAGCAGAGCCAGTAGTGATTCCAAGGTCAGGCTCCACTTGTGCCACTGCAGAGTTCATTTCACTAATCACGGAGCCGCCGATAGGTGGTAATGGGATTCCATCATCCTTCATCTCGGCATTGAGTCCGAGGGCATCATCGAAGACACCTCGCATCATGATGGCTTTGGCCAGAGCAGGTCTGGGAACATCAACCACCGTGAGAGTGACGGTATCTTCATTTGACCACTGCGCTCCTGTGCCGGACTCATTCTCCAAGGCAATCTGGATTTCGGCGGCAATGGCTTCGTTGGCTTTCGAAATTACCCAATCGACAAGGGCCTCATAAATTCCCGCAATGAGAACCTCGCGCTCATCAGTGGAGCACTTATGCAAGAGGTTCTCAGGATCGATTCCGAGAAGACCACCAGCATCCTCGCAGATCTCCTCCAGATCATCTTGGTCCGCCTCAAACCCGGCCGCATTGCCTAGCTTCAGCAAACCTGCGAGAACGGAGAGCAAACCACGTTGAGAAGCGCCTTTGATGCCAATGGCCTTCATACAAGCACGGAAATCTTCTGCAGCGGCAGCATCGTCGGCGGTGGGAAGGTAGGAGGGCGGCGTGTAGGTGTTGGATCGGCTGAGTAGGGCGTAGGCAGAGTGGTCCTTCAAGTCCAGGAACTCACGCTCTGCGGCGGTAGATGCAGATGTGAGCAGGTAGTAGAATGCATCGAATGCACGGTAGCCCGTCTCAGGCTGGATCTCCAAAAGACCCTTGCGGACATTGATACCAGAGGTGGACAAAGCAAAAGAGAGGCCAACGACTGATCCTGGCAAAGTCAAGGTATATGTAGCAGCGAAAGCCGAGTGGAGAGAATACGAAGGATTGAATGAGGTAACTGCAGTGAGGAAAGGTCGCAGAGCACCGAGTGCCGCAAATGCTACCCCCGGTGTTTCAACGGGGATCGATGTGAGGAACGGTTCCAGCAGAGATGGAGTGGACTGATGAAGGGCGCTATTTAACGTTAGTCTGGGGTGTTATCATTCGGCAATGAATATTTGACGTACCCTAGAACGATACATCCATCTTCAGCTCGTCGTCGGGCATGTTCCCAAGCCCGGATAGCCAAATCACGGTCGACAGTGGCACCGTTTCGACCATCCGGCAACGTGGTCGCGGCAGTCACCCATGTGTTCACCACTAAACTGGTAGCCGAGTCTAGCTGGTATGGCTGGCCAGCGGTATAGAACGAATGCAAGGCATTCAGTAACGTTGTTGTCGACACCTGGGACCCTTGTTGTGGTCGTGGCCCAGCCGACAGACCGGCGGACTGGGTCGAGAAAACCGAATAGCGGTTCGACATGACGAACGACGCGGTGATCGGGTCGAGTTCCAAGGCAAGATACGATGTCTGGCCTGCGCGTTATCACAGCCGCATGAGGGGACTTCTATATTCGTCTGAGGTTGGGGAGTGGTTGAGTGAAGGATACTGTCGCACACACAACTGGGATCAGCTAGGTAAGTGGACGGATGATCGAATTGGGAAATGCAGATGAGCGAGTGGCCGGAGAAAGGACTCCTGAAAGTTGAAGGAGAAGGAAAACAAATGGAGAGAGAAGCTGTGGGGGGAGAAGAGAAAGGCGAAGTGAAAAATACAGGATCGTCGGTATTGCTGATCGGTCTCCCCGTCCCCAGTTTGATCAGCTAAGCTTTAGGGGATCACGGTGACAAATGCAATAGGGGAAATAGTTCGTATTGAGACGGACAGTTCGGTGGACCAGTTCCCTACCAAATGGTGTATTACCCTGTTCTTTTGTGTGCATGGAGGGTGTACTGTATGTTTTGTTTTCTCTTTCACCCTGAATAGCTTGTAGACTTCCGCCAATCAGAGTTGACTCTGAAGCTAAGCAGATCTATGTCCAGTACCGTTACAGCTATATTTGGCATGTCTCACTCTGTGATATATGTAAGTTAATTTTTTTTTTCAGCCTGATGATCACTTCGCCACTGTTTTCTCTCCACCGTGTGACTCGGCCTATTGTTAGCCGGGAATGTCATCTGTATTAATCCTGTAGGCCGAGCGCCCCTAGTTTCAGACGGTTCCGAGTCTAGCTTCAGATCGCTCCACTTTACATTGCACATGTTACAGACTATACTCGGCTAGAATGCTTCACTCGCTTCTCTTCGTTTTTTTTGAGGAAGTTCTTTTCACTTTCGTTTTTTAGGATTCGATATTATGCAGACAGCAAGGAGTCAATACGGATAGACAGGTACAATCGACCTGTCTAAACTGGACCCTGAGCATTCTCCTGTCGGGTACATATCAGTGGAGAACTATATGTGAGACCCTGATCCGTCCTAGCGGGAAATGCCTCTTCTCTGCTTTTCTCTCCTTTTCTGCCTCTTTGGTTCACCCCTCAGCGTGGTCTCATAACAACTTCAATAGAGTGATCCTAGAGTAGTGTCCACTGTGAATTGTAGCATACTTCCCTAGAACCCGAAATGCAAGTAAATAGCTGACCATCAGCATCCAAGGCAAGTGGGTAAGACGTCTAAGTCCAATGAAATAATGCAATTCTGCTTGGCCTATTCTTAGCGGGGCTAGTATTTTGCAATACCATACTGGTATTGCAAACTCCCCCGGACCTTATCGATTTGTTTCTTTTTTCCCTTTCACGACTCTCTCCTCCCCGTAGCCACACTCGTTCACTGGCATCTACACCTCCCCCTCATGACTGCCACCCCCATCTGTTTCTAGGGGTCCTCATTCCGCTAGAAGCTTCCGACACCTTGACATTCTTCCTCCTCCCACGTTCATTCCACTGCGTATCGAACCACCCGCCTTGATTTGAGCATCTTGATCGTGTCAACACTCGTTCTCATCTGTCAGAGTTGAAGGGGAATCCAAAGATGGCGGGTACTTTCGCTGGCAGTGGTCCGGCACATGCCCAGTCTTCACTTCCATCGCTCCCCGCCCATCTCCAGTCTGATACACACCTCACGGCCCATCTAGCTAGCCGGTATGGTCTCAATCCCGATCAATCAATCCGACTTGTTGCTAATGGACCCCAGGTTTCACGTTGGACTACCGACTGCTCGTCTGTCATCCCAGGCGCTGCTCGCCCTGAACACATATTCCTCGGCTACCAAGGGCCCGAATGGGGACAAAGAAGGAAGTGCCGCAGGCGAAGCGGAGGACCTCGCTCGTCGTGCCTTCACTCGCCTAGGTGCTCGCGCTGAAAACCAGGCCGTTGTGTTTTTGTGAGTGGGACTACCCAGATACGGAGGTTCATCATATCTAATCTTCAACAGGGGAGAGAGTGGATCTGGAAAGACGACCCTTCGCTCACACTTGCTATCTTCGTTCTTATCCTTTTCATCAACTCCGCTATCCTCCAAACTCTCATATGCCGCCTTTGTTTTCGACACTCTCACGACCACAAAATCTGTTACTACACCCACGGCCTCGAAAGCTGGTCTCTTTCTTGAATTGCAATATGATGGTTCTTCCTCCGTGAACCCCACTTTGATCGGTGGTAAGATCATTGATTACCGATTGGAGCGAAGCCGTATCTCTTCCGTACCTACGGGAGAGCGCAGTTTCCATGCGTTGTACTACCTACTAGCTGGAACAAGTGCGGCCGAAAAGTCCCACTTAGGCCTTGATACAGCGATCCACGTTCAGACTGGCAAGCTATCTGGTAGCAATGTGAGCCACAAGCGCTGGAGATACCTCGGTCACCCAACCCAGTTGAAGGTTGGAATCAATGACGCAGATGGGTTCCAGCACTTCAAGACTGCATTGCGGAAGCTGGAGTTCTCGCGCGGGGAAATCGCCGAGGTCTGCCAGATCCTAGCTGGTATCCTTCATATCGGACAATTGGAGTTCGCAACAGGTCAGTCAACTACCACCGGTGCGGAAGAAAGCGGTGGCTACTCCCACGAAGGTGGTGAGACCGTCACGGTGGTCAAGAACAAGGACGTTCTTGACAATGTTGCGGCTTTCTTGGGTCTCAGTGTTGCAGCTCTGGAGAACAGTCTCGGATACAGAACCAAGACCATTCACCGTGAGCGAGTTACAGTGATGCTGGACCCCAAGGGAGCGCGAGAGAATGCCGATGCATTCGCACGTACCATTTACTCTCTTCTCGTAACGCACGTGATTGAGACAGTCAACCAGCGGCTTTGTGCTGCTGAGGACAGTATTGCCAACACGATTTCAATTGTCGACTTCCCCGGATTTGCTCAAGCTCCCTCAACTGGCTCCACTTTGGATCAACTTTTAAGCAACGCGGCAACTGAATCGCTTTACAATTACTGTCTTCAGTCATTCTTCGACCACAAAGCTGACGTCTTGGATCGCGAGGAGATCACAGTGGCAGCGACCAGCTACTTCGACAATACGGATACCGTGCGTGGTCTCCTCAAACATGGCAACGGTCTGTTGAGCATTCTGGATGATCAGACAAAGCGTGGACGCTCTGATGCCCAGTTCCTCGAAAGCGTGCGCAAGCGCTTTGAGAACAAAAACCCTGCCATTTCCGTCGGAACTTCCAGCGGAACTGGTTACATGGCGCAGTCCCGGAGCGCCTTCACAGTTAAGCACTTCGCGGGCGAGATAGATTACTCTGTCACTGGATTGATCGAGGAGAATGGCGAAGTGATCTCTGGTGATTTGATGAACCTGATGCGTTCCACTCGCAGTGACTTCGTCCGTGAGCTTTTCCACCAAGAGGCTCTTCAGACTATCTCTCACCCGCAAGAGAAGACTGCCATTATGCAGGCCCAGGTTAGCTCCAAGCCTCTGCGTATGCCAAGCATGGCTAGACGCAAGCTTGGTGCACCATCTCGCTTTGCAGCCCCTTCCCATGCAGATGATGATGATATAGAGGAAGTTGAGAGTCAAGCGGCGGGCTCCAAACGGGAAACAGGTCGAAAGAATGGCTTGCCGTCTGGTCCTGCCCAGGAGCCGCTGGCCAGTTCCTTTCTGGTCTGGAAGTCATAAACAAATGCTTGAGCTCCTCCAACCTCAACCCGTACTTCATCATTTGTCTTAAGCCTAATGATCGTCGTATCGCCAACCAATTTGACAGCAAGTGCGTCAGAATGCAGGTTCAAACGTTTGGTATCGCCGAAATCAGCTCGCGGCTGCGCAACGCAGATTACAGTGTCTTCCTGCCTTTCGGAGAGTTCCTCGGCTTGGCTGACATTGGCAACATTGTTGTTGGAAGCGACAGAGAAAAGACGGAAGTCGTCCTTGACGAAAAGCGATGGCCTGGCAATGAAGCTCGGGCAGGTAGCACTGGTGTGTTCTTGAGTGAAAGATGCTGGGCCGATATTGCCAACGTTGGGGAACGTGTATTCCCGACCTATGGCGCTCCCGGTGCCGATGGCGACGGCTTCCAGACCTCTGGTGGAAACCCGGATTCTAAGGTCCGACTTCTCAACCCCGCCGACCAATCTCCCGGTGCCTTCATCTACGGAGAAGAAGGCAAACAGGGCTACTTCGGAAGCCGTGAACTTGATGGGCGTTCGGACGCTGGTGGATCAGCCTTCAACTCTGGTGACATGTTCCACAACCTCGAGACCAAGGAGGAAATGCTTGAGAAAGGCAACAACAAGGATATGGAAGAAGTGGATGAAGCCACCGTCTCAGGCACCCGTCGTCGCTGGATGTTCTTGGTTTATCTGCTCACTTTCTATATCCCAGATTTCGCCATCAAATTCATTGGTCGGATGAAGCGAAAGGATGTACGTGTTGCCTGGCGCGAGAAGCTTGCCATCAATCTTATTATCTGGTTCGCTTGCGGTGTTGCTGTGTTCATGATCGTTGGTTTCCCCGGTGTCGTTTGTCCAACCCAAGATGTCTATAACACTGCCGAACTCAGCAACCATAACGGCAAGGATGGTCAAAACTCCTTCGTCGCTATCAGAGGTGTAGTCTTCAACCTTGGCAACTTCATTCCATCCCACTACCCCAACATCGTTCCGGAGAAGTCGTTGAAGAACTATGCTGGTGTGGATGCCACCAACCTTTTCCCCGTCCAGGTGTCTGCGTTGTGCCAGGGAACTACCGGAAAGGTTGATCCCAGTGTGCCCCTCGACTACCGATCAAACTTGAACGATTCGGCAGAGACAACCACCAGTACCACTTTCGATATCAACGCCAAGTACCATGACTTCCGCTCTTGGACCAACGACTCTCGTGCGGATTGGTTCTATGAGCAAATGGTTATGATGCGCGCAAACTACAAAAAGGGATACATTGGATACACGGGCAAAGCCATGAAGAAGCTGGCCACGGATGATTCCAAGAACGTTGCGAGCATTAATGGAAAGATTTACGACATGACTTATTACATCGCTGGACCGCGCGTTGCCCGCTTCCCCACTGGAAAGAATGGAAGTAGCAACGTCGATACCGACTACATGGATCCCTTAGTTGTCGACCTCTTCCAAGGACGTTCTGGTCAGGATGTGACCAAATACTGGGATAATCTGGACTTCGATACCACGCTCCGCTCTCGCATGCAGCTTTGCCTCGACAATTTGTTCTTCATTGGCAAGGTAGATACGCGAGACTCGGTCCGCTGCCAATTCGCACGGTACTTCATTCTTGCCATCTCTATTATGCTATGTGCCATTATTTTGTTCAAGTTCTTGGCTGCCCTCCAATTTGGAAAGAAGAACCTTCCGGAGGACTTGGACAAGTTCATCATTTGTCAAGTGCCGGCCTACACCGAGGACGAAGAATCCTTGCGTCGTGCCATGGACTCCATGGCTCGCATGCGTTACGATGATAAGCGCAAGCTCTTGCTGGTTATCTGTGATGGCATGATTATTGGACAAGGCAATGACCGCCCTACTCCTCGCATCGTTCTTGACATTCTCGGTGTTCCCGAATCCGTCGACCCTGAGCCTCTCAGCTTTGAGAGTCTGGGTGAGGGTATGAAGCAGCATAACATGGCAAAGATCTACTCCGGTCTATACGAAGTTCAAGGTCACATTGTGCCCTTCCTTGTTGTCGTGAAGGTTGGAAAGCCTTCCGAAGTTTCCCGCCCTGGTAACCGTGGTAAGCGTGACTCTCAGATGGTTCTCATGCGTTTCCTCAATCGTGTCCACTACAATCTGCCTATGAGCCCTATGGAGCTTGAGATGCATCACCACATTCGCAACATCATTGGTGTCAACCCAATGTTCTATGAGTATATTCTCCAGGTCGATGCCGATACTATGGTTGCGCCAGATTCTGGTACTCGTTTCGTCTCATCCTTTATGTCCGATACTCGTCTCATTGGTGTCTGTGGAGAAACCTCTTTGTCCAACGCCAAAACCTCTGTCGTGACCATGATCCAAGTTTACGAATACTACATCTCCCACAACTTGACCAAGGCTTTCGAGAGTTTGTTCGGATCCGTCACTTGTCTGCCCGGTTGTTTCAGTATGTACCGTGTCCGTGCGGCTGACGGTGGAAAACCACTCTTCGTTAGCAAAGACGTGGTCGATGCCTACTCTGAGATTCGTGTTGATACTCTTCACATGAAGAACTTGCTGCATCTTGGTGAGGATCGTTATTTGACGACCCTACTCATCAAGTATCATCCTAAGTACAAGACCAAGTATATCTTCCGAGCCCACGCCTGGACCGTCGCACCTGAGAGCTTCGCAGTTTTCCTTTCCCAGCGTCGTCGTTGGATTAACTCTACTGTGCACAACTTGATGGAGCTGATTCCTCTCGACCAACTCTGCGGTTTCTGTTGTTTCAGTATGCGTTTCATTGTGCTCATGGATCTCCTCATGACTATCATTCAGCCTGTCACCGTCGCCTACATCATCTACCTGATCTACTGGTGTGTTAGTGAACCGGACGTGCTTCCAATTACCTCCTTCATTCTCTTGGGTGTTATTTACGGTCTGCAAGCATTGATCTTCATCATCCGACGCAAGTGGGAGATGGTCGGGTGGATGTTGATCTACCTCATGGCTATTCCCATCTTCTCTCTCGCCCTGCCACTCTACTCCTTCTGGAACATGGATGACTTCTCCTGGGGTAACACGCGTGTCATTACTGGAGAGAAGGGTCGCAAGGTCGTCATCTCCGATGAAGGAAAATTCGACCCCAACTCTATCCCTAAGAAAAAGCTGCTGGATCATCAGGCCGAGCTCATGGCCGATGCCCAGACCTCCCGTGACGACCGTTCCGAGTTCTCCGCTCACTCCTACGGCACCAAGTCGCACGCCTTCCCCCAGTCCGAGTACGGGTTCCCGGCTTCTCGTCCTCACTCCCAGTTGGACTTGCCTCTTGGCATGGGCTCTCGTTACTCAGTCGCCCCATCTGAGATGATGAGTCACATGGACATGAACATGGAAGATCTCAGCCATCTGCCCCCCGATGACGAGATTCTCGAAGAAATCCGCCGGATCTTGGAGACCGGTGACTTGATGAAGATCTCCAAGAAGACGGTCAAGCAAGAACTCGAAAGGCGTTTCGGCGTCAACCTCGACGCCAAGCGGCCTTACATCAACTCCGCTACCGAGGCTGTTCTTTCCGGTGTTCTTTGAACATTACACATATTCTGATTTTGCATGCTTTTAGCACTGTTTGGAGATGGAGTTCATTCGATCAATTTGTGTTATTAATATTGTGTTTATGTACCTTACTCTTTTCCTTTTCGAGCGACTTATGCATGGATGAGAGCTTTGCTCAGCGATTCAGTTTCGGCCTATAATATTCTTGGATATGCTCATTTGCCTCATAAAAACATTCCTGCATCAATTTGATAATTCCCAGACGGAATCTGGTGTTTCCAATTTGTTTAATCTACTCGTTCTCGTATGCACTATACACCTTCTCTTACCCTTTGTAGAAACTGAGGGCTCTCAAGCCCCACGTTTCATACTAATCTCACTCTGAAACACCCAAGGGCGGATGTGGTCCCCTGATCTCATTAGCCCTACCTCATGGCGCGTCCACAGTCGGCAATGGCAGTCCGGCTTATGGGTTCGTTTGTGACCCCAGGGTGTCCGGGCAAGTCTAGCCCGATTCTGGCGCTATCATATTGCCTGTCAACTGTGGAGGTCTTGGACCCTGATTCTTCTCTATCAATGGAAGAAACTTCACGCCGAGTTTCATCTGGCTCATTGGTGGTATTGTTTGAACGAGAGCGAGCACAATAGGCGGCTATATAACAATGCTTCTGTAGCCTGATCTCACAACTTTCCCAGCTACATTCACTCTTTTCTCTCTCGAGTCTGGTATTTGAGAATTCACCCTCTTTCTGCGTCGCTGCATCCTTAGACAGCCCGTCGCCTTCCTTCTTTTCTTCTCTTCACATCCCAAAGACCGTCCAAATGCGTCTCAAAATCACCCTTACCCTGATAGCAGGTCTATCAGCAACATCTCTCGCCAAAGAAAGCCGCACCTTTGCCGTGAATCACTTCTACGGCAACGGCGCCCTGGTAACAGGCCGTATGGATCCAATCGTCAACCCAGGAGTCGCAGCCTCACACGTCCACACAATCCAAGGCGGAAGCAACTTCAACCTGACCATGACCGACGACGCTCTGATCGACTCAAAGTGCACCTCGTCTCTGGTAAATGCGGACAAAAGCAACTACTGGACGCCCAGTCTTTACTTCCAAGCCTCCAACGGTAGCTTCCTCTCCGTGCCGATGTTCTACATGAACGTCTACTACTTCTTCGAAGCGACCGACGACGAGATCAAACCCTTCCCAGTCGGCCTTCGCATGATGAGCGGCGATAAAGACCTCCGCACGCCCCCGAAGAACGGTGCAGCAAATGTCCTCGACAGCGCCGCCGGCCCCATCCAGCCAGTCCAATGGACCTGTCCACGAACATCCTACAATCCCCCTTCGTACCCAGCCAACTCTGACGGCCTTCACGGCGTCGGAATTCAAGACCCAAATAATGCAGGTGCTGGCGCTGGATTCCCGCATGTCAATTGCGACGGCTACGCCTCGCCCTTGCGTGCTGATATCCATTTCCCGTCTTGTTATAACCCTGCTGCTGGGCTGGACGACTTCAAGACCAATATGGACTGGCCGAGTAGTAAGGGGACTACGGGCGGCAAGGCAAACTGTCCTGAGGGGTGGGTTCATCTTCCGCATATCTTCTACGAGGTTTATTGGAACACGCCGTTGTTTGACGAGCTGTGGACTCCCGGAATGGGGGAGCAGCCGTTTATCTTGAGTAACGGGGATCGCACAGGGTATTCGCTTCATGGGGACTTCGTAAGTTGGTGTCTTCGGTCAGTGTGGGTTTGGAGGGCGATTGGCTGACAACTGAATGTTTAGATTTCCGGCTGGGATGAGGGTGTCTTGCAGAAGATTATTGATAATTGCGATGCTGGGGATCTCGGTATGGATAAGTGTGCTGATGCTGGGTTCCTCAATGATGCATCGACGAGTTGCAATATCGACAATCAGATTGTTGAGCCTATTTTCGGTGTCCTTGACAAGTTGCCTGGCAATAACCCGCCCACTGGATGGGGACAGGGCGCAGTGGATACACCTACTTCTTCGTCGACCGCAGAGAGTGTCTCAGTCACCGCTACCGCTCAGTCCAATGTCAACAGTGCTGCACCTTCAGAGACCAGCAGCACAGATAGCTCCGTGTCCGGCTGGTCATATCTGGGTTGTTACTCGGACAATGTATCTGCTCGCGCCCTGACAGGAATTCAATTCGCAAATCTTGGTGTCGGCAAAGTGACTTCCTCAGGCTGCACGGATTACTGCGGCAAAGCAGGCTTCAGCTTGGCCGGGACTGAGTATGCAGGACAGTGTTTCTGTGGTGACAAGCTGGAGGGAAGTGTCAAAATCGGAGCGGAGAAGTGCGACATGAAGTGCAACGGCGATGAGTCGCAGACTTGTGGTGGTAGCAACGCACTCAGCGTCTACGAGATCACCCAGAAGGCTTCTACTCAAAAGCTCAGGAGACATTTACGGAGTCACCTGCGTGGAGCTCATGCATGAGTGTAATTTGGGGATTTGTATTTTTATCACATTCCAGAGGAACCCCAGAGGAAGTTTCCTGTATCTATAGGTTACCAACTGACACCTGTTACATCTATCGATATCTTCTTTGTGTATTATCATACTGAACTTCCAACTGCTCGTTTGCCAGTTCTGCAGGTTATGATCTGAGGAACTGAGCAGATTCGGAGTGTTTTTGAGATTCGCTTCGGATGCTGTTGCTGTACTTACTGCGTAGACCTAGATTGTATACATTAGGAGCCCTGATGTTATATGCGGAAACGTTGAAGGTAGTTGACGCTCCTTGGCCTGGAGAACTCTGTCACTTCGATCCTGATCTGGAGATATAAAGAAAACGAAGTCAAGTCAGTTGTAACAATCTAAATTAGCTCCTTCACCCTTCTCAAAACCCTATAGTGGTGGTTCATTTCGCCATCTCGCTCGGTGCGAAGGTCATGGCGAATACCGATTAAATCATCAACCAAAAAGTCCATCGCTTGCTCGAACAAGGAGAACCGAATAGCAAAGTATTCTGCGGGCTTTTCTGTTACTGTTAGACACTGCGGCATATTCCTCTGCATGTTAAACCCATTTCGTTGTATGATAGGTACCTCTTCAATGAGACCAGCAATTACATCAAGGGCCTCTATGCGACGACCTGGAGTGGTGATATTTCCCTCTCTGATAGTCTTTAGTTCTCTGTACAGGATGTCCTGGAAGATAGCGTGGTGTGCGAGATAGGTCAGCTCGGCACCCGTGGCGTTGGTGATTTCGGTTGGCATGCTGGGTGAGTGCTTGGGAGTGTGGGTGAATGATAGTGGCTGATTGTATTTGGTAGTGAGAATGAGTGGAACTTGAAGGTATTTGTATTTGTCGCTGCCCTTCATGAAATGATGCTATATCTATCGTGAAAGAAAGCAACAAGAGCTACAAAGCCCATTGTTGATATCTTTCATCTGTTTCGGCGAGAGTACTATTTTTGACTCGGCTTAGACCAACTTCTTTTGGCGCGAGGACTACTTATCAAAGCGATTGTTTGCGTCCTTTGTCTCTTTATGAGATGGCAATATGGAGATTCCCCAGGTACAAAAGCTACCAAGTCTCCATATATGGATGCAGTCATTGCCACGATCATCGACTCAATCACAAGAGCAATCGTCTCTTTCCATCTTTGTCCGCTTCCTGCAGACTTGAATAAAAAAGAAAGAAAGAAAACCATGGCGCGGTATGTTGACCTCGGGCATCTTGACCTCTACCTGACTATTTGCAAGCGCCGATCCCCCGACGATCCCATCCACTGGATGATGATGATGCGCAACCCAGGCGCAGAGCGATGCACCTGGCTTCACTGTACCGGCAAGCTCGGCGACCGTGAGACCGAGATTGAAATAGACAAGAGATATAGTAGCTGGGGAATTGACACGAAAGACTTCCTAGTTCGATTCCCAGCACAGTATGGCCATAAAGTCATTGAACAGGCCCGGGCTCTTCCGAAACAGAGCTGTCGATGGTGGGTTCTGTATTTGATGCTTAGACTCGAGCTCAAGGGCTTGATGCCTCCTGGAACATTTGACGAATGGGAGAAGCATCGTCGCACTGGAAGTACGGAGAACCTGGGAACAGGCTGTCTCGGAAAGTGTTCACGCCCCGGCGCTCTGTGTGCGCGTGTCAAATGCTCAAATATGGAGTGTGGACGCATTAATTGCAGGAACGAATGTCTGGGTGAGACTTACTGATTTTTGAGGATTAACGTGTTGCAGGTTGGCTTTTTATATTCCTTTTCTTTTCTGGATGCTGCTTTCTGCGCATTCCTCTCACGTGTATTGCCTTTCGTTTGTTACTTCGCCCTTTCAAACGTGATCATCAAATAGCAAAGATATAACTATTTCCTTCTGAACATGTCCATATCGTAGTTATAGTGATTTCAGTAACATCCATTCGGCTTCCGTATTATTGTATTGGTAAATCAAGCTTGTATTCCCTCACCAACGCATTTATGATTCAGAGAACAGACTCGATGCATATTTCAGCAGATCAAGCCTGGCAGACGCAGAGACCGCCTTAATTGCTGCCGCAAAGTAGGGAATATCCTGTCCATTAAAGTCGCAGCTGTTTCCCTTGACATCAATCGTCACCATTCCAAAGTCATCATCACCCAATACGGCCTCGTGAATCAACATCGACGTATCTATTGAGCCAAGCACTTCCGTAGTCGTGCCATTCTTGTCCAAGAATAGATAGGGAAGATCAACGTAGCCCAAGTCTGAGCCGCCCATAGACAGATTGAATGTCACATGTCCCTAAGACGTTCAGTATCCCTGGGGTTGCAGATGATAGAAGAGAACTTACCAGTTCTACGATGTAGGGACTCGGATTCCGTACCGTGATGGTGGCATTGAAATTGAATCCGTCCACTGGTTCATCGAGAATATCCACTCTGGTGACATTGAAAGCGCCATCAGTGTTGATAAATTCTGTGGATGTTGGCATTAGATCGCTCAGTGGAATCCATGGATGGCTCTGTATCAGTGCTTACCTGTAACATTATATCCTGACCAAACTCATTAGCTCGTTTTCTAGACTAAAATGAAGGAAGTCTCACCAGCCACATTCATGGTCTTATCAATATTCAAATGAGCAGTTGGGAGGCCACCAAATTTGAGATCTGGTGTACCAGTAATCAGCAAAGACGAGTTCTTGCTCGATGCAGCTGAAGTAGCCAGCGATGACAAGCACTCCACACAAGAAAGATGCAAATCCTGATCAATATCCAAGCTGGCCCCGTTACTAAATTGAATCTCTGGTACCGGGAACACCGCAAAGACCTCATTGGGATCTTTAGTGCGAATAGTGGCATTGAATGCAGTCAAATGACCGCTTCCGCTAAATCCCCCCCCATACTCAGACTTTTCGATTGCTGAACATGAAAGGCAGTGGGCCGAGGATTTGTGATTCGGAGACCGTCATAGTCATACTCGTATTTGTTGATATAATCATTGGCGAAGTTGGGAATCCCGACATAGAAACTGCATAGATCAGCATTAGCACAGAACTTGCACTATCCAGGCTGACGATTTTACATGGGCAGAATAATTACTAGCACTGCGCAACAGAACCCAATTATATATGCCCACCAGAATCTTTTCATGTGCGCCTTGAAGCGTTGCCATAATGTCGGCTTGACAGGTGCTGCGGCTGCTTCGTTGACATCGGAGATCTCCAACGTCTCTGATTTGGACATGGTGGACGCGAAGTTCTTTCCTGTCTCGCTGGGTTGACTCAGATCATAAGCGACGGTTAAGGATGCTGAAGATAATGTTTCCGTTTCTCATGATATTATTGCATGTGAAATTGCTCTTATGATATTATAGCAAATGCCGAAATATTTCTCAACCTTCCGTCTCAATCAAGGGGCACATTGGGGGTTTTCATAGCTGAGCCCGTCTTGTCGATCAGATCCACTCTTCACATGAGGACATACTGTACTACTCTAGGGTAGTGAACAATGTTGAACTTCCCTCGAACATGAACAGATCAACTGAGCCTCGGCATGTGATGTCATGCAAATGCCAAAGAAGTGTAGAAATTTCTATTTGAGTCAATATTACTATCTGTTATTTATCGCGTAGGTCTAAATCATGCGTATACATGAAGCCGGGCAGGAATTCTAGCCAATCAAGTGCGACGGTGACCAGGGCTGATATCCATTGGGAAGTTCGCGTAATAAGCACAGAGCCCCGTATTCCTCATATGAATACGCGATCGACGCGAGATGGCTGATGGGATGTCGATCATGCACGAAATCGGCGAGTCAACCGAGGCCCCTGTCATGGCTTATTATGCAAAGACTGACTGGCGACTTGGATCACAAATTGATATCTGGACGGTTGGTAAGTCGCTCGTCAGAGTCTCTGTTCTGTGCTGGTATGTTATGCGGCTGTACCTGTCTTATGTTTTGAGGAGATCTGTACAGGGTCAGACCCCTATGACCTCTAATGATAGAGATACGTTGCTCGACGTGATCTATAACGTGAGCCTCATCCTCTTTACACTATTTAGCTGCACATTTTCGTTATCATGCGATATATGACCAAAGTCACACCCAATCTACATTGCTGGCTTTTCGAAGAAACAAGTTCAGCCCTACCTGATAAGGTAATATGTTGAAAGGCAAGACCCTGTTTGCTTTGAAACGAACTACGGCCATCTCTCCAATTCTTTGGAAAACTTTCGTTTATTATAACTTGACCACACTCCCGACCAGACTAATCCGCCTGTATAGATCTATTAGGCACTATGCGGTTTGACGTGTCCGCGCCGGTCCAAGTTTCATGGGAACATCGTTGCCAGGCAACGCATCGACATATTCTCCAGAGCGATATCTGCCAGCTCGTCCGAGAGACGCACATGAGCAGGGTGTGCAATCCATTTTCCATTGTGTCCCCCTGAACCGTGGTTGCGAGTGGCGCCCATGCCTGCGTGATATCTTTGTCTGGCGCAGACTTGTTCTTGTCTGTGTCTTGCGTTCAGATTAGCGAGAATAACAAGATGTGTTGCGTTCAGGCGGCAAGTCAGATCACTGCTCAGATAAGCAGGGTCGCTGCTTCTCTTGTCTGGGGTAGCGTCATCCCGCCGTTTGCGCTTGGGCTGGGGTCCCCTGATATTGCAGAGGTTGAAATGTTGGTTGTGGAAACGATGTACTGAGAAGCGAGCGTGGCTTGACTCGTGAGTGTGGCCAATGGAGTAAGGAATATAATGGAAGGTCGAACTGAGCTAATGAGTCAGTAATGAGTAGGCCAATGCAAGTGATGTGTAGTGACTGAGAACGAGGTGAGGAATAAGTGAGGAATAGGTGAGGAACCAGTGAGGTTTGGAGTAGGATCCAATGCAGAGAGCGTCTATAATCTCGAGGATTAGCAGAATATAAAAAACTGCCTGGCATCAAAGACCAAAGCCAAGACTCGGATTCGTAATCGCATTCGGACTCGTAACTTGTCATTGGCCCACGAGAAGTGAAGTGAATTCTTGCTGCCTCATATCGTCTATTGACGCCAAAAAAAATCTCGAATTGAGCCTCTTGTCAATTATTCTGTGTCTCTTGTCCAGAGCATAGCCCGGCCAAGATGCTTACGCGACGCTCTCACAACAAATCCAGACACGGTAAGAATCATCGTCATGGATTTCTTGTGATTCAGCTGATGGATTTCAATACAGGTTGTTCCAATTGTAAGAGAAGAAGAGTAAAGGTATTCCACCTGTCTTGACCATACCAGTGTACAGGTGTCCTAATTGTGATCACAGTGTGACGAGCAACGGCCATTTTGTAAAAATTGTGAACATCGACATGATGAATGTGTCTACAACGCCGAAGGGCCCTATTTCTTCGCTGAACATCAGTCTCGACCGAGACGAAAAAGATCGTCTGCGAGTCAGTCCCATGAGGCTCTGCCAACCTCCATGTTTGATGCCTCGAGTATCTTGAACATCCCCGGGGCCGCAGAGGGATCATCAGTTTCCTCTTCACTAAACATGGAACAGCTAGAGCTGGTGATCCAGTGGATGATGCAGACACATGAACTTCTCGCTCGTAACGAAGAAACGCGGAAAGTTTGGGAGATGGCCGTATTACAAGAGGGCCTGCGAGCACCATTCCTAATGCATGGGATCCTGGCCGTGTCCGCCCTCCATCTATCACACATTCGTGAACCCGAGCAGGCCAAATGGCTAGGAGTCGCGCTATCCCACAAAAGCCGTGCGCTATCAGTGTTCTCAGCCCAGCTTCTCAACATTGACCAGTCCAATGCTAAAGCGATGGTGGCATTTGCAGGTCTAGTCGTGGTCTTTGGTCTAGGAGCCGCCCTCATCCCGGGAAATGAAGTCGGCCCTAGCTTCGACACGCTTCTTGAGATCTTCACTCTGGCACGCGGGATGCAGACTGTCCTCAGTGAGGAGTTCCAGTTCATAAAGCAGAGTGACTTTGCACCGCTGTTTGACATAACACCACCGAAAATAGTATTCCCGCCTGATATCTTGAAGGCCTTTAATTCTCTGGACGAATTAAACATTCAATTCGGTCAGCAGTCGACGCATCATAAAACTACCGTCTATCAGCCATTGATCAAAGAGTTACGAGAACTCGCAACCTTTAGTTTGGCCCTGCCGACATCAATGACCCTTGTTGGTGGGTGGGCAATCCGAGCGCCGAAAGAGTTCATAAATGCTCTTATTAGTCGGGAGCCATTTGCTCTTGTATTGCTTGCTCATTTCTGTGGGCTTTTGCACATAAGTCGTGAGAACTGGTGTGTGGGAGCTTGGGGCCGTATCGTTCTAGAAGAGGTTTATCATCTACTCCCCCTAGCTGGCTGCTCTATATTCAATGGCCAGTTGAGTATGCTCTGGGAGAGTGAAGCAATCAGTTATTTGTTTCAGCAGACAGTTGCGCAACGTATCTAAATTGAGTAAAATTCCACGTACGTATTGCTGAGATGTAAGCCTGATATCAATAGGGAGCGATGCTTGTTGGTCGATTATTAAAGTCCCTCTGTTATGGGATGTAAGGTTATGCCTACAGCTCACTTATACAGTAGCTGGTCACTGAAATTAATTGGGTCATGCTGTCTTTGCGACCGTGTCCTACGGCCATTGGTGGGAACCCAATCAGATCTCGGCTTCGTTTTATACTTCGGCTTCGTATTCGTGTTTCTCGCCCGTTCTCGGTATTGATACAAGACGGTTCGCTGCCCATATTGCAAACCGTTTTCCTCAGTATCCCCTCTGTTAAAAGTTTCCAGCATCTTGCAGATGGACAATCCTCTTTGGGGGCTCATTGCCAATTCCTTGCTCAAATAACTTGAACGCTCATTCGGAAATTCACCGGGGTAAGGTTACAGTCTCTGGGCTCTTGTTATTAGCAATGGAAAGGAGTCTGATTTGTTTGGTCATATGTTATTATATCTCATTTTCACAGAAAAGATTTCATCTTTACTTGCCGCCGCATTTCCAGATCACCTTCAGTCATCAGTGAATGCCCAGGTTGGAAACTCTCCTCGGGCGAAGTTGTGTCCGATGGCTTTCCAGCACGGGCCGATCTATGAATTACTGTCTGCAAGCTGATATATCATCGCAACACACCATTTGATGAAGATGAAGTGCATCCGAGTTCTTGCGTCTGGCTACAAACCATTAGTAATCCCATTGCTTCTTCTGTTTCAAGTTTTTCTTCTTGGGATATTAATTTAATAATAAATTCGTGCTTTTCGTAAAGATACATCGAGTTGAAGACTTGTGCCGCGAGGGGCTTTCCTGGGAAATTGAGTTGAACGAAATGATCCAAGTCATAACCACTTGGTTATAGGAGACTTCGTGTCGAGTCGGGCCTTCAAAATCCTTACATAGTATCTTTGTTAAGCCGCTCTCATTTGACTGGCAGTGGCAGAGATATTATTGATGAACTGAGACTGTTTATTGCAACATTCGCGGATGGTATCTTGACACACCGACTATAAGTCTGATAGTATTGGTATCTTTAGTTTGGACTTCATCTAATCCATGAACAAAGAAATTCCACGGCGTCTTTAACCTTCATTTCGGGTAAACTGATAATACAACTTGCTGGGACACTACATCTCACAGCAATATCACGCCAACGTATGGGGAATAGAATAGACAATTTCGACTTAATGGCAATTAACATGATATATTAGACATTTTGCCGAAAGCATTGGGTATGAATACGTGAGTGTCGTAATAAACTAGCCTTTGCTTCTATGCTTCACTATCTCTCATCTCCAACGCAGACTCTGGGACAAAGTCGCGGGTTATGATGACTTTGTCAGAGTATCGCGTCCCACGGCCAATGATGCAATTCACCTCACTGGGATGAATGATATGAAGGACCATCATCACCACAAACATCAACAAAGCATCAAACACGTAGATGAAGACTTCCTGCTTCATGAGGTATCCATCATATCCCTGTAGATACTCTACAACACGAACAATCGAACGAACTAGGATCAACCCACTGGCGATATAGAGAGCGGTCAAATGGCGGTGCCATAGGCTCGAAAGTTCGCCAGACCGTGCAGTAGGCTGTTTTTTGACGCGAAGTTGGAAGACAAGAGCGCTGACGACGAAGAAGCCGAAGAAGATAATTTGCACGAAAAGACCACCAATAATGATCCGTTCGCCCGTAGAGGGATTATCTGTATCCTTGACCATGATTCCGGCACCTAGGGCTTGGTAAGTTTCGAATCAAAATAATTTATCATAGTAGAGAAGACGCACCCGAGGCTTGCATCAAGAAGGATAGCACATCACCCGCAACAAAGATCTTGGTTAACCATTTGAGTGGAATTAGAGAAATTTTCTCCCCATCTAGCATGAAGATGATCCGCCCGAGAGTCATGTATATGCTCGCTGCAAGGAACGCCGGGGCGATCAAAATAAGGGCACTTTGCATAATGTAAGGGCCCGTGGTGTAGTTGGGTGACTCAGTCGATGATAGCAGACGGCCAATATAACCGACAGTTTCCACTAGAGACGAAGTATAAATTAGAAAAGCCTGGCCCAAGAAGAGAATCTGATATGATATCTGAACTCACTGATCGTTCCAATCACGAATGGAATCATAAACCAAGTGCGTGTGCGCAGGAGTTGATAAAAATGGAGCAAAGTGCTCACCCCCATTAGCCCCACGAAGATGCCAGCGGCTGGGGCTGAGGGGGTATAGTAATATAGGGTCCACTGCATTTTGAGCAGATAATGCTTGAAAGAAGAATATTTCGGTGTGAGAGTCTTGTCGAAACCTCGTGGGTACTAAGAAGCATTTATAGACAGATCATTAAAGGGGCATTGTCGCAGCCTAATTCAAGAGTACGTGTACCCATACTCTCCCATATATTGATACTACCGTATCTCGTTTTGAACTCTATGTTAGGAAAGGCTGCGGGAAAAACAGACGCAGAGTGTCCCAGGGCAGCCAGTAGAGCAATGCCCCTTTGGGACTAGCGTTCGTACTCGTAAAATATTCCACTTGCAGGACCACGAAACGACATATGATTGGATGAAAGTTGCTTCAAACTGAAATCTATAGTATGGATCAATATTCTTAGAGGGCTAGAGGCTCCTAGTTTGAGCCTTTCGTAACCTTTTGACCCATCGTATTCTTACCTTGAATGGAGTTAGTCTTGACCGATTTCCACTAATCATTCTTCTAGTGGAGCTGATGCATTTCCGTGGGGACTCCCTGGTGTCCAGTCAAACTAGCTCAAGATCGTTGCTCGACCAAAGAAAGTGAGTTGCAAGATGAAACAGACGAGTTTTCTGACAAGTAGAGCTTATAGGAGTCCTTGACCTGCATCTCTGCTTAAATCTTTGATTTCGCTCTCATTTTCTGAACCAGCGCTACCTCGTGTTGTCCTTTATTTATCAATTTACCAACTCTCGTTGTTTACTGCTTTAGCGAACAGAACTTTCGAAATGTCTGAAGGATTCAAGTTATACCACTATAACCCATCTGCCGGAGCAGCGGTGCCTTTTGCAGCCATTTTTGCCCTCAGTTCCGCTCTACACATCTGGCAATTGGCTCGGAATAGATCATGGTACTTTATACCATTCGTTCTTGGTGGTCTCTGTACGACTATCTTTCTTTTTCCTACGTTTAATCTCTATGATGCTAACAAACTCTATTCATCTGAAGTCGAGGCTCTTGGGTACGTCGCTAGGTACTTAAGTGCCAAACAAACCCCGAATTGGACAACGAAGCCATACATCGCACAGAGCTTGATGCTTCTACTAGCTCCCGCATTCTTCGCCGCTTCTATATACATGATTCTCGGACGTATCATTCGTCTGTTGAATGGAGCCTCCTGCTCACTGGTCCGACCGAGCTGGTTGACCAAGATTTTCGTGACAGGAGATGTTCTCTCGTTCTTTATCCAGAGTGGAGGTAACTTTATCGCCTTGCCTTCATATCTAAGTGACAAAATAGCTAATCGAACGTAGGTGGTGGACTGCTTGCAACAGCAAAAGACAAGTCCAAGGTCAATCTTGGAAACAACATGATCGTGGTCGGACTCTTTGTGCAAATTGTATTCTTCGGGTTTTTTATCGTCGTCTCCCTCGTTTTTCACCGTCGAATGCTTAAAACACCTATGCACGCTGTAGGCGATAGCACGATCCCGTGGAGTCGTTACATGAAGATCCTCTACATTGCAAGCACTTTGGTCATGATCCGATCTGTTTACCGAGTGGCCGAATATGTTCAGGGCACGGATGGGTATCTTCAAAGTAAAGAGGTCTTCATCTACGTGTTTGATGCGGCTTTGATGCTTATTTGCTGCATGCTGTTCAATGTGTTCCACCCGAGCAAGCTTCTCTCCGGGATCCGTAACAAGGGAGATGCGGCGGATCTCGAGATGTTGAATCAGAGTGGATATACTGGGTATACTCGACAGGGTTAAATTGGGTTTATTACCATAAGACTCTCATCTGCGGCCGGAGTTGCTGACGGGGGAATATTTGAGGCTGTATTGCGATATACCAACATGAACGCTAAGCCTTTTGGGGACGGATGTCAGCCGTTGCACGTGATACAAGATCCCATTTTCCTTCAGATGCTTGGCCAAATAGAGATATCTAAATGGGTTGGTTTAGACTGGGAAGCATTTTATATCTAGATCAATGAGATTGTTTGAGTCTGGTCTTTGCAACATAAGTGAAAGATGCCTTATGAAATCAAACCTCTGCGCTACTATAGACTTCGATTCTGATTACATGAGAGAATGCCAAGACAGATGCCTCATAAACCAGGCCTCGGTCTTGATATACGCAATTCGGGATAATCTCCACAACTTCAAGGGGACGAACACATCATCATATATATGCTCCACGAAGCTGAGCTATATCCTCTTGGTCTATATCTCAATATCACTTGCTCGTCCAGAACTGGTCGACATCATGGCAGAGAATAGCGGACATGCTGTGACTTCCCGACCTAACTCGGCGGACGGAATCGCCCAGAACAATCAAGTAGACGAGACTACCGCCCTCTTGGGTTCAAACACTCAAACCAACTTATCCGATGGCGAAAGCATTGACGAAGATGATGATGAGGGAAAGCCATTGCCCAAGGTCCAAATCCTGCTACTCTGCTACGCCCGAATCATAGAGCCGCTGGCCTTTTTCTCTATTTTCCCCTACGTCAACCAAATGATTCAAAGCAACGGTGGTGTTGCAGACACAGACGTAGGCTTCTACAGCGGTCTTATTGAGTCATTGTTCTCTCTCACGCAAGCCATTGTAATGATATTCTGGGGTCGAGCAGCTGATCGCTTCGGGCGGAAGCCAGTCCTAGTCTTCTCCTTGTTCGGCGTGGCCCTGGCTACAGGTCTCTTTGGCACGGCAAAGACCATTCCCCAAATGGCCTTGTTCAGATGTATTGCCGGTGTCTTTGCTGGCACCATTGTCACTATCCGTACCATGATCGCCGAGCACAGCTCACCAAAGACCCAGGCCCAAGCTTTCAGCTGGTTCGCCTTCAGTGGAAACTTGGGTATCTTCCTTGGGCCTCTGCTGGGTGGCGCCCTCGCCGATCCTGGACGTCAATACCCTGGTATCTTTGGATCCGTCCGATTCTTCCAAAACTACCCCTACGCGCTTTCCAGCTTGGTAGTGGCACTAGTGGGATTAACGGCTGCCATTTCTAGTGCCTTCTTTATTGAAGAGACATTACAGAAAGACCCAGATACTACGGACGGCGAGGAGGAGACAGCATCCGACGTGCCAGTGCACAGAGCCGAATTGTCTACCTGGGAGCTTTTGAAATCCCCGGGCGTGGGCATGGTCATCTATACCTATGGCCACATCATGGTCCTCGCATTTGCATATACCGCCGTTATCCCCGTCTTCTGGTTTACGCCCGCGAGGCTAGGAGGCTACGGCTTCACGCCACTTCAAATCTCGCTGATGATGGGTTTGAGCGGCGCCGCCCAAGCTGCCTGGCTCCTCCTCGTGTTCCCACCGCTCCAGCGAAAGATCGGCACGAACGGGGTCATCCGTCTCTGTGCCACAGCGTATCCGTTCTTCTTCCTGTGCATTCCATTTGGCAATGTCCTCCTGAGGATGGGGACCGAGGCGTCTGTCAAGGTCTTCTGGGTCTTTGTGCCGCTAGTGCTAGTCATCGGCTGCGGAGTCAGCATGAGTTTCACGGCAATCCAACTCGCTGTCAACGATAGTGCACCCTCACCAAAGATCTTGGGTACGATCAACGCCCTCGCCTTGACTAACGTCAGCGCCCTCAGGGCCTTTTGTCCTGCTCTCTTTACCTCTCTCTTTGCTCTGGGTGCGAGAACCCAAGCCGTGGGAGGTTATGCCATCTGGATCCTGATGATCATGGTTGCTGGTGGACTCACCGTGGTATCGAGATACCTCCCAGAGCCCCAGAAGAACCGCAAGCGCCGCAATCTATAAGAGTTTTGACACGACCTTGGTTTGTGGAGTTTAAAGTGTGATCAAGAGTTGCCCAATGGTGCTCTTTTCTCTTAGCAACCGCTGCAAACCATGAGTTCTGGGACTGAAGCAATTTGGAGCTTCACTGCATATAAGCATGGCTATGTAGATTTGCCTACTATTTAGCTTAGACAAACATAACTGCCGGATTCAAGATCAATTATGGAATTGCAATGGCACACGAGAGGCTGTCTCATCGACCTTTGTAGCATCCGAGTTCTTCTGTAAGGTGAGACCAAGTCGGGGCTGGCTGTCATGTCTTCCTTGTTAGTCGGATAAGCTGGTTCGCAGCTTGAGATTGTTTCAATCGTAGAGTAAGTGGCGAAATGTCAAATAATTCCAGTCCATTGCAAAAACCGAAGCGGGTTTCTTTGTTAATTGGCGTTGTAGGAAGTGCAGGAAGACACTGGCATCGTATATATTGATAGCATTGTCTGCAGTGATAGCCTCAGTTCAGCTTCTGTAGGATGGTGGATTAGGCAGCAAGACAAAGAGTTGCCATTGTCAGTTCCCTTGAGGAGAGTCACGTTGACTTGGGCAACTGCGACAGGTGCTGGCGCTCCCATGATGTGTCCCAATCAGGAAGTCGCCAGCTCTCCCCCAACCTATGTAAAAATCCCTCCCTCTCTTTTTCTCTTTCTCTTTCTCTTCTCCTTCTCATCCTTCCTCTTCCCTCTTCCCTCTTCTCTCTTCTCTCTTCTCTCTTCTCTCTTCCCTCCTTCCTCCTTCCTTCTTCCTCATCCAAGCTCAACGTAAGTCTTGTCTCCCCTCAAGCTAACCTTCTTCTTCACTCAGTCTGCTCAGGACTGCTCCCATTTCCCGAAACATAGATTTCTCACCGAAACGATGCCGAGTATGCAGTCCTCTGTTGCCACAACAAGGGTCTCGGAAACGCTAGAGATGGGAGGATTGAACCGCCCACGCCAAGGCTTGCCAGTGGGTATGGGCAAACATTGCTGGTAGAGGTGAGCGTGATCTCTACTCTGCAAGCCCGGGGTCAGTCTGAAGTCTCGACCCGTGAAAGTGATGGGCTGTGGGACTGGGAGACGGGTAGCTATTCTCTGTGGGCACGAGGGCGAGAAGACTGCTGAATTGCTGGCACAGGCTCCAAAGCTTTCCATCTTTGGAGTCCTGCATCACTCGGCAGATCTATCATTGACTTTCCTTTGTAGCTTGAGTTGGTCTTGTAAGTGATTGTGCTGGCCGCAATCATGATCTCCTTGACTATTCAGGCTTCGGGAATATATTTCTTTTTGTAAATCCTCGTGGTGTCAGCCAAATCATGTAAACTTTAGGAGAGTGTTGGCATATGAGTGTATCGAACTGAATACTCAAATAGCTTCCTTCTTTTCTTTTGCAATTCTTCCAATGTTTTAGCTGGTAGTCTCCTATGTCCATGTGGTAACGTTGAATGACGCAACTCACTGCTCGTGTACCTGGCGAGGCTGTCTAGGCTGTCATCTACCCACACTACCAGGCTCAGCCCCATCTAACCGACTCCCCTCCACACCATATATCTCCGAGGGTCAACAGCAACGCAGACCCACACGGGAACGCACAGACCAACCACATGGCAGGTGGGGTTCAAGCTTAATCGCAACCAAGATCCAACAATCCATCTACAAACCATTACAGTATCCAAATAGTATACCAAGCCCCCATAAATAATTCCGAAATGACGGACCAGACCCTGAATCACTCTCACCCCCTCTCGCAAACCCCAAATTCAGAGCAAACCCCAAGTCCAACAACAGACCAACACCAAAAAGAAGCCCTAGCAGCCTTCACAGCAACATTACACTCAGTGGGCACAAACCTAGAAGCACCACTCCGGGATCGAGCAAGCAATATTCAATCCAACGCCGTGGCCCTGGACCGACAACAAGCCGAACTAGCAGAGAATACGCAGCGGCTGGCGCGGCAGAATGCGCAGTGGCTGGGCTTTGCGGATGAGACGAGGGATGGGTTGAAGGAGATTGGGGATGTGCAAAACTGGGCGGAGCTGATTGAGCGAGATCTGTTGGCGTTGGAGGATATGATGGATTCTGTGGAGGGACGCAGACGAGGGAGTGGGAGCGGGAGTGAATCAGATTCGGATCGGGGGTCGGAGGAGGATATGGATCTGGAGAGTGATGAGGACGGTGCGTTTGAGGGACATGGTGATAGTGCTGTTAACGGGGGCGCGGATGGTGTTGTGAATGGGAATGGGAATGCAAAGAAGGTGGAGCGGCCGGCCTGGAGTTGGTTGCGATGGTGGTGATTGGTCTTTTGATCTGTTCATTTGTGTTTTGGATTTGACTGTTCATACTATTACACATTTATATCACACAGTATCTGGTTTCGCTATGCCACTTCTTCTTCTTCTTCTTCCTCCTCTTCCTCGTCATTCTCTTCTTCCTCTGCAGCCTCCAAGTACTGCTTCCAAGGGTCCAACCCTTGATTCTCATCCTCATCCTCATCCTCGAACTCGTTCCATCCATCCCACTGTCCAAGACTCATCAAATGCCGCATCGTCGGTCTTCCATGCGGACAATTCCACGGTTTATCAATAGTCCCCATATTCCTCACGACACGCTCCATCTGCCGCCCCGTCAAAGTTTTACCGATCATAATACTAGATCGACAGGCACGCATAGCAAACATCTTGCGCACTTTGCTCGGTCGCGGGACGGAGACTTCATGCGAAACAGACTCGGACAATAGAACAATGAGCTCTTCCAGATCCCTTATACCGAAAACGACTTCCTTGCTGAGGGGCAAAGAGACTAATTGACAGCGACGGCCGATGGGCTCGTCGCCGCTTTCGTCGACAGTCACCACAAACCCGTTTTTCTCGAGTGCCGCTCGGTTTTCAAGAACAACTTCCTCCTCAACGGCGGTGAGGTCGAGGCGTTGCGGGCGAACAAGACGTTGGTTCTGTACAACGGTTTCAGATTGTAGTCGTTCAAAGTTGAACTTCTCATCTGAAGCATGTTGGTCGATGATGAAGAGTTCTTCGCCATCTTTGGCGGGACGCACGGCGATTATAAATCCGAGATTGAACTGACCAATGATGCGCATCTGGGCGAAGTCTTTCTTGCTCACAGTGAGGGACAGTCGGTCTTCGGCTGTTTGCTCGTCAAAGTCGGAAGCTTCTTGGTCCGTTGGCCTGGCACGCTTTTGCAGACCCTCGCGCAGTGCTGCGATTTGGGACTGGAGTTTTGAGACGGATCCATCGACTGTGCTGGCGAGGTGAATAGTGGCATCACGATGTGCGGCGCCCTTATTCATCCTATTTGCACGACTGGCGTTGTCTTGAGACGAAACGGCGGATTCTTCGGCTTCGTGGATCAAGCGTTGGACAACGGCCTCTTCCCGTGATTTTTTCTCGGCTTCATTGAGATTTTCGTTCGCGTCGGTGCCATCTCTGTTGGGTTCTGTTATCTTTTCTTCCGACTCCGGCGGATCTTGTTCGGTAATATACTCGGCGTTTTTAGATGGCTCGGCCTCGGGTTCTTCATCGCCATGTCGAGTCTCTTGCGTCTGCTCAAGCTCGATCTCGCCTTCTTCATCTTCCTCCATCGGCTCAGCCTCACTCGCAGCTTCTTCTTCTTCCTCTTCTTCGAGAACATCTGCGTCGTCAACTTCCTCGTCTGCTTCTTCTTCTTCGTCCTCCTCCTCATCGTCCTCTTCCGCCTGTGATCCTGGCGCAGCAAATGCCTGCATGTGCTTTCCGAAGATATTAGGCCGTGATGGAGTATGAGAGAGCCTCTTTCGCCGCGGTGTTTCTCTCAGGGGAGGTGGATCTTCAGATGCCCGCTTTCGTGGTAGACCACTGCCAACCATGGAAGTGACAGTTCGATTGCCAATAGTTATAGTAGCCATTTCAGCAGGCATTCGTCGAGGTCGCATCCTATCAAAGGCATTCTGAACGACATTTGGTGTTTCTTCTGAGTCGCCGCGTCGGCGACTAGGAGTCTCATCCAAAGCTGATAATTGGGAGGATGGATCTTCTTGTGTTTGCTCATCTTGTTCTTCTTCTATCTGAGAGGGAGCCTCTTCGTTGTCAGTTTCACCGATGGTCGATTCCGGCTCATTCGCAGACGGGATTGGAGTCGCAGCCTGAGAAGGCTTCGATGCAGCTCGTGGCATTCTCAAAGACGACGCTGGAGAAGGTGTTGCTTTTGATGGGCTTTCCATGCCTTCTTTTGAGCTCATAAAACGATTGGTTGCGCTCTGCTGACTAGCAACAGGTGTTCCCGCTGGACTATCTCTGCTCTGACTTGGACTGGAGCTGTCCGCTTCAACACTTTTACTGAGCTGTCGAGCAGTGATGAATCCAGGAAGTGATGCCAACGGCTGTTGCTTTGCAAAAGTCTTGGACTTGATCTGCGACTGCGGCACCGTCTGATCTGTAGCTTCAAATAATTGCGCAAGACACTTCTTTAGAGACTCAATCAACGCCCCCGCGTCATGTAGCAAAATCATGCGCTTATCAGGCGAGACATTAACATCATAAGCATCCGTGTCCATTTTGAAATCAGCAAAGACAAACGGCGACTGGGAAACGTTGAAAGACTTGTAAACTTCATTAAAAGCCTTTGCAATCTGCGGCAGACCACAGGGGCGCGTATTAACAAAGAACATCTGTCGATCAGGCGTCTGCCGTCCCTCCCCAAAGACCGGCTTCGAGATATGACCCTGAACCTGGATTTTATTCAGCCCGTCTGCATCTCCAGCCCGCTTCATGGCAGTCGAAGGCTCATACTCCAAATCCAGATCCAGCGCAATGAGCGCCGAAAGCGTCTTGGCACCGTAAACATTGGCGATATTTTCTCTCGTAGTTGCATTTCCATTTGTAGAAAAGACCACTACGTTCCGCGTCTTGCCAACCGTATTCTTAACGCTGAACTTGACCCCGGTGCTAATGCAAGCATAGGCATGAAGCAGATTCAACACCTTGCCATATTCCCGTTTGATATTCTTCTCTAGTTCGCGTCGGCGCACTGGGAGTCTCTTGAAAATGCCTTCAACGGATGATGTTGTTCCTTTCTGCCCAGCGACGATCTGCGGTTTTCGCAGCTTTCCGGATTGCTCGAAATCAAGTCGGCTCGCGCGTGGAACTTGCTGCGCCTGCGCGGTTATGATGTGGAAGTCGGATAGGGCGCACAGCGAGGATATCGCCTCGCCGCGGAAACCGAACGTGTTTAGACTAGCGAGGTCATCGTAGGTGGATAGTTTTGAGGTATAGTGTTTCAGGGCTATGCAGCAATAGCATGAAAGTATTAGCAGAAATACAAGCTGCAAACTGTGAAGGATAGACTCACCAACGTTCTCATAGTTCTCCGGTGCGATTCCGCTGCCGTTGTCCTGCACTTCGATTAGATCCAATCCATTATTCTTGAATCGAACCTCTGTCGAACTCATAGCGTTAGAGTACAGCTTCTAGCCATATCCTCCCTGTTGATATCGCCCACCTATTGAGGTTGCACCAGCATCGAGACTGTTTTCGATGAGCTCTTTGGCGACGGAGCATAGGTCAATGATGACCTGACCGGATTGGATTTGATGGACCTGGCAAACGCGGTGGTTAGAAAATTCCAGTAGAGCAGTGATCAAGAGTCATACCGAGCGAGCCTCGATGGCCTGGATGGTCGCCATGCTCATTACATGGTGACTGTGGTGGGTTGGGCGCGTCGCACTTTACGCGTGGGTTTGCCAAGACTTGATAAGATATGACTGACGTCTCCGAGGCTCGGTTCAAGTTGTCTGCCTGTCTATATTTACATTCAACGTTTGCGTATCACTGACATATTTGCTATTACAGCTATAGACAAAACAACTAAAAACAACCAAAGGCATCAAGTTTCGCTCTAAACGCCAGTTCAATCACGTCATAGACATATCTAGTAAACACCAAAGCGATCCGGCAGAAGAACAGGCGCAACCAGGGTCCACAAGTAGATAGCATAGCAGACCCAGGAGCTCACGATCTTCACCCAGCTAGCCCAGTATGTGCGACCAACTGGAGCAAAGTCACCGGTAGTCTCGAGTGACAGTCCCTGGACCAGCAATGTGGCCACCCAAGTTGTGGCCAGGAAAAAGATAATGTGGAAGAGGGAGTAGTTATACTGGGTGGATCCACGCTCATCATCTTTGGCGGTCTCATACTCGTCCTCATCGTCGCTGTCATCCAGAGCACTGGCAGGCAGACTACCACTTTCAACGGCGGCCCGGAGGGCTTCGGCGCGCATCTCACGACGGGCATTGGGTTGCTGGGTAACCAATCCGTGTTCATTGTCATCTGGACCCAGCTGGATGTAGCTGTGGCCACCCTTGGATCCCAGCGCGATCCCTTGTGTGGCAGCGCGAGTGGTGGTGTATGCAATTGTGGCCATGGTGACGATGGCTCCGATCACAATAGTGGCAGTCCTGGTTCCGCGAGACCGGATGAGGGGGTTGCAGTTGTTGTCATCAGGCTCCATCGAAACGGCAGACATGGTGAGATAAGTACAGTAGACAGTGACCATCGCAGCCTGAGCTAATCCCGCACGAGAGTTAGACTCCTGAACTGCCGGTTGGACCGAGATGAAGGAGATGATCAGGAAGACAACCAAGTTGACCTGCAAGAGTCAGTTTTGTGTCAGAGGCGGAGAGCGGATAAACTTACGGTGATAGCAGCTTGGTTCATAGAACATCCGCTATTGGCGAAAAAGATATACATCAGAATGGTCATGACAAAGGATGCCAGGTACATGCCCAGGGTCGAACCGATAAGCAGACCACGCCACACACGGGAATCGCTGTCCTCAATCTTCTGCAGACACAATTCGGCCCAAGAGTGCGCAAGGTCCACCAGTAGGATCAAGCCCAGAAGGAGGAAGAGCATGGCGCAGAAGAAGGCGATATAGTTGCCGTAGACGAAGAAAAAGGGCTCGGGGATGAAGAACGACATAACGACGAACGCCATCCAGAGAATGATCTTCGGACCCCAGTATCCATTTTGAAGGGAGGCGCGACTGTCTTTCGAGCTTTTGACGCCGAGGAGCAAGAGGGCGAAGATCAAGTGGAAGAGACCGAGAGCAAAGTTGATGCGATGAACCGCAACCCAACCGTGACATTCCTTCCCGTCGCATCGAATCTCCATCCAGTCGAGGGTCAAGTGTTGCAATTTCTTCAGCGCCCATGGCGTGAGCATAATCCAGGAAATTATCGAGTTGATCAAGAGGATGAAGGCATAGGCAATTCTCGTCGCCATACTGTTTTGCTGGTTAGTCCGGAATCTCTGCATTAGGCCGTCGCTGATAAGTACCTGTTTTGAAACTTCCCACAGGCGCTGCACACCATCGAGCACGTCGCTGCTCCACAGCATGATGTTCCGATTGTCACGAGCTGGTTAAGAAAGGCAAGTCAGTCAGGCTGCAGGGTTCATTGCGATAAGCGACAACATACTGTCCCAACACTCGGCACGGCCAAAAGTGGCAGAGAAAGGAGGGCACCCATGTTGGGAATTGTCGGTATCAGTTCTACCAGCCCGGTGGAATTGTTTCAGGTTGTGTATGTACGCAGATGCAAGTGCGTGAAGTGTGGAGAGGAGCAGTTGGAGATGGTCACCTGGTTAGGCAGTGTCCCGGGGCCGCCTTCGTCATGTTATGTAAGCAGCGTCCGGGACAACCTTGGAAACAACTACAGTAAGAACTCCAGGGCTTGGAATGTGATTGGGACTTGACACAGCCCTAAAAGGACCGAGATACTCTTATCGACTGAGTGCTTTGGAGATTTTACCGTCGAGTGGTGATCAACTAGGGTGGTGACGTATAGGAGGAGCTGGTTTCGCAATATTTCAAGATACTGAGGTGCATATGCAGCTGTTATCTAGACTGTTCTCCCGTCTATGCCGAACTTCCTTTCTATATATCCTTGCCATTGCCATTGCCGTTGCCATTGTCAACTCTCCCAGTTATCCTCTCTTAGCACATCTGACGTTCCGACGCGGGTCAAGTGTCCACAGGTGATCTCCAGATTCCTTACCTAACGGGTCCCCCCCAGGCCCGATTACGACGCTCCTGAAAAGTCCAGTTGGCCTCCGATTTCCGTTTCGGTTCTTTTACAAGATCCATTCGTTCCTTTCTTTCCTTTCGTGCTCCCTCACACACTCTCTCGCTCTTTCTCCTTGAGCCTCTGTTTCTTTTCTCTTGTCCTCCAATGTCCTCCCCGTAACCCTCTTATCTATCCTAATCGTTACCACACTCCGACCTCCGACCTCCGATCTCCGGCCCCACGCGTACTGGGAAACACTTGGGAGGACATACCGTATACCTTACAATCGAGAGAATGTCGCTCCATAAAACTGCCCGGACTATTTCTGTTATTGCGGGGACGCTGGTCGCCCTGTCATGTGGAACAAATGTGCGTGATATCTCCGATCTTATCCCCTTCCAGGATGATTAAAGTTAACAGTATGATAGTATGCATACTCCGCATGGGCGCCGCAATTCGCCCAAAGGATGAAGCTTTCCTCGACGGAGAGCAACTTGGTTGTGAGTGGTGCTAGAGGGGTCGCGTGGACAGTGTTCTAATAAGCTCTAGGGTGTTGCCGGAAACTTGGGCATGTATGCCATGGGAATCCCCATGGGCCTATTAACTGATGCGCGGGGCCCCAGACTGGTCACGCTGGTCGGTTCGATCTGTTTGGGACTGGGATATTTCCCGATCTATTTAGGTATGCCCTACTACTGCCGGTATACTTGACAGCGCTGATCTTAGCAGCATATGACCATGGCGAGGGATCCATGCCGATCATTTTCCTATGCCTATTTACTTTCCTAACTGGCATGGGTGGCTGCGCTGCTTTTGGTGGTGCTATCAAGACAGGTAAGTTTGATGGAACATATGCTGGGGCTAGGGTTAACCAAATATATCAGCGGCATCCAACTTCCCCGATCACCGCGGCACAGCTACTGCTTTCCCGCTGGCCGCCTTTGGCTTGAGTGCTCTGTTCTGGTCCAATGTATCCACGCTCATTTTCAAGGATGATACCGGCCGATTCCTATTACTCTTGGCCCTTGGTACCTCGATCTTGTCCTTCGCCTCAATTCCATTCCTGCGAATACTCGCCTCGGAGCCCTACTCAGCTGTCCCTCACAATGCATCCGAGTCTAACAGGCTACACCATCCCACGGATCTCCGATCTGTGCCAGAAGATGTTGAAGACTCTGGTTTACATGGCTCGACTGCGTTCGAGCACGGGCAGCATCCCGCGCACGCTCGTTCCCAATCAAACGTCTCAAATCACAGCAGATCGCTCGGCCATGACGACGAGACATCATCCCTAGTCTCAAAGAATGACCACCCCCGCCCATCATTCGACACTCTGGACGATGACTTCCTAGACGAAGTAGCGGACGAATCACACCACCTTGACATTAGAGGCCTAGCAATGCTGAAGCGCGTCGAATTCTGGCAACTATTCCTGACAATGGCACTCCTCTCCGGAATTGGCCTGATGACAATCAACAACATCGGCAACAGCGTCAAAGCCCTATGGCTCTACTACGACGACAGCGCCACAGACACCTTCATCCAACACCGCCAAGTAATGCACGTTTCAATTCTCTCCTTCGGCAACTTCCTCGGCCGCCTCTTCAGCGGCATCGGCTCAGACCTGCTAGTCAAGAAACTCGGCATGTCCCGCTTCTGGTGTCTTTTCATCTCCGCCGTTGTCTTCACCCTGACCCAACTGGCTGGTACATCAATCTCAAACCCAAACAGCCTGGTTGTCGTCTCGGGTATGACCGGCATCGCCTACGGTTTCCTCTTCGGCGTCTTCCCTTCCCTTACCGCTCACACTTTTGGTATTGGTGGCTTATCCCAGAACTGGGGCGTCATGACCCTCGCCCCCGTGTTCAGTGGTAATATCTTCAACATTCTCTACGGAAGCATCTACGATGGTCACTCTGTTGTCGGAAAGGACGGCGATAGGGATTGTCCCGATGGTCTGGGCTGCTACCGCTCGGCTTATTTCATGACTTTCGTCTCCGGTATCTTCGGTATTGCCGTCTGCCTGTGGAGTATCTTCCGCGAGCGCTCGATTCATAATGCCATGAACATGAAGGCTGGTCACCGGCTTGCGTGAGCTTTCTTCATTGTTTATAGCTATATGACTGGCTCATGCCTTATCTCGTTCGATTTTCTCTATATCTTTCTTTTTCTCGTTTTTTTTTGATATCTTTTCGTTTTGTCATGATTTTCTTTGTATAGAGTGCATTTGATGGCATGTTACATGTCTGGTCCTGGTACTAGATATACCCACGATGCATATTTTCTCTTGACTTATAGAATTTCTTCTTTGCGTCTGGCGAATTTTATAACATCGTTCTCCCTCATTCGTGTGTCAGCTTCGATTTCTTGTCTTGCCTCTACTGTAGGTTAATATCAAGCTTATTCAATGCCTTCGTGTCTGTGCTCTTATACAATGCTAGCGACGATCGGATATATACGTCCAGGTAGCGCAAGTTGAACACCGCGTTGGAGACACAGATTGTTGGGACCAGAGGCCGAGATCAACACCAACTAAACATCACAGCTACAAAATATATCAATCTTACATCCTCCCAACCAGTAGAAGAGGAATATGAATAATATTGTATTAGAAGCATAGGGAAATT